CTACTTTGTCCTAAACCATCCCGTGTCCCCAGGTTCTCGTCGTCCTACTTTGTCCTAAACCATCCCGTGTCCCCAGGTTCTCGTCTTCCTACTTTGTCCTAATTCATCCCGTGTCCCCAGGTTCTCGTCGTCCTACTTTGTCCTAAACCATCCCGTGTCCCCAGGTTCTCGTCGTCCTACTTCGGCAGCGCCCTCGGCTACATGGTGGACAAGATAAACGGCACCGCCGCCATACAGAACCAGACTTTCTGGCAGATCAGCAGCAACGGCACTGCTATTACACTTGGTATGGTCATTTACTTTTAAAATGCTGTAAAACTTTCTATAGTTATGTTCTGTAACAACATGATTTGACTCGTGTGTGATAAGATTGACATTAGTAACCTGACGGTGAACTTAGTTAGACCTCACAGACGTCAAAAGCAGGCAAAGAAGGGGTTGACGGTGGATCTACATTTTAAACGTTCATTATATTGATTGTGAGTTGATACAATGTGTACGTGACAAATTATATCATAATTCAAATGTCAACGATTCTCTGAATTTTTTTTCTCGGAATAGAGGAAACTGTAAGAGTAACCGGTGTAAACGGTATATTTAACACATCATTTTCATTGAAAACTTAGATCCATATGGTTAGCTTTTGAAAAATGCACGACCAGCACGCGTCACACGCATGCTTAGAGCGTGCAATCGATATGATTAGCTTCTTAAAACATGAAACCTGTATGATTAGCTTCTTAAAACATGCAACCTGTATGGTCAACTTCTTAAAACATGAAACCTATATAATTAAATTCTTAAAGCATGAAACCTGTATGGTTAACTTCTTAAAACATGAACTCTGTATGATTAAAAACGTGTAATCCCCCCCACCAGGTGTCTCCACCTACTACCCCAGGAACAACGAGGTCATCCTCTTCAACTTCACCACCAACGCCAAGGCCGGCCACGTGTGAGAGACAGCAGCTCACATTCTCACCGACATTGTCACTGACATTCTCACTGACACCATCGATGTTTTCCCCAGATCCTTTCTAACAAATTAACGAGATTACCTTTCTAAGATTACCTTTCTAGGATTACCTTTTGTATGTCACTAAATTTAAAGCATAGTTGGAAATCTTCTGTTCAAATGTTTGTTTTTTTGCTTAATAAAGCTTATATAAGATCCTAAAAACATTGTATATTGTTTGTTTGAAGGCCAACCAATTCCTAAACGAAAATATCGTGAAAATATTTTTTCACGAGAAAAATGGCCCGTTGAGGAAGGATACAACGGGCGTTAGGTTGATAGTGCTGTCTCTTTTCTCTAAATTACCCCCCCCCCCCACACACACACACACTCCAAAACATGTCTAAGGTCCCATTTAATTTAATATAATTATATACTTTTTCCAGTGTCCGCCCCCTCCCCGAAAATTCTACCCCCCGCCCCCGAAAATTTTTAAGTACCCCCACCTCTCTCCGGGGAGGAAAAAGTCTGAAAGAAACACCATTGGTCGCATTTGTAGATCATACAAACTAAAGGAAGAACCTGGGCGGGGCTTCGCCCCTACCGGAAGAGATGCATAAAAAAACTGCACGCTAAGCACTTTTTTTAGATTAGAAAAATTCCTCCCTCCGGAGAGGAAAAAGTCTGAAAGAAACACTGGTGTCGCGCTTAGCCACTACCCGAAGGAAGAATTGCATGAAAGAAACCACTTTTTAGATTAGACACATTAATTAGACGGTAATTTTATTATAGAGTATCGATGAAGAAATTTCTTTTGAGTTGGGGAGGGGGGGGGCTCAGACGTTCTTACGCGGGGGGATGGGCTTCGCCCCTACCCGAAGAATTGTATGAATGAAACTCTTCACGCAAACCACTTTTTAGCATAGACACATTAATTAAGTTGTAATTTTATTATAGAGTATCGATGACATTTTTTTAGTTGGGGGGGGGGGGGTCGGCTTAGACGTTCTTACAGGGGGGGGGGATGCGCTTCGCCCCTACCCGAAGAATTGTATGAAAGAAACTCTTCACGCAAACCACTTAGATTAGACAAAATTGGCTTTTTAATTCAATGTTTACTCGAGAATCAATGACGTCATATTACTGTGTGCACTCTCCAGCTTGATACTATTTTCTTCTATATGCTAAATGTGACGTCATATTTCGTTTCCGTATTACTATGCATGTTTTTAAATTGCTTGTGTTTTCTCTAGAGCGTTCTTTTCAGATACATAGACAGATAGACAGACAGCGAAACAATTAGTATTACTTTAATTTATACAAAATATAGTCATAGGCATATCCCTAAACCATGAACCTAATCTCATTCATGACAAAAGTCGCATTTAGAGTTTCTTTCAGGCAACTCTACTTGGGAGGAGGGGGCTTCGCCCCCCCCCCTCCCCCCCCCCCCTCCCCCCCCCCCCCACACACACACTCCAAAACATGTCTACCGTCCCATTCAACTAAATATAATTATATACTTTTTCCAGTGTCCGCCCCCTCGCAGAAAATTCTACCCCCGCCCCCGACAATTTTCAAGTACCCCCCACCCCTCTCCGGGGAGGAAAAAGTCTGAAAGAAACACTGGTCGCATTTGTAGATAATACAAACTAAAGGAAGAATCTGCGCGGGGCTTCGCCCCTACCGGAAGAGATGCTTGGAAAAAAAAACTGCACGCTAAACACTTTTTAGATTAGAAAAAGTTCCCCCCCCCCTCCGGGGAGGAAAAAGTCTGAAAGAAACACTGGTGTCGCGCTTAGCCACTACCCGAAGAATTGCATAAAAGAAATTGCAAGAAAACCACTTTTTAGATTAGACACATTAATTAGGCGGTAATTTTATTATAGAGTGTCGATGAAGAAATTTCTTTTGAGTTGGGGAGGGGGGGGGGGGGGCTTAGACGTTCTTACGCGGGGGTGGGGCTTTGCCCCTATCCGAAGAATTGTATGAAAGAAACTCTTCACGCAAACCACTTAGATTAGACAAAATTGGCTTTTTAATTCAATGTTTACTCGAGAATCAATGACGTCATATTACTGTGTGCACTCTCCGGCTTGATACTATTTTCTTCTATATGCTAAATGTGACGTCATATTTCGTTTCCGTATTACTATGCATGTTTTTAAATTGCTTGTGTTTTCTCTAGAGCGTTCTTGTCAGATACATAGACAGATAGACAGACAGCGAAACTATTAGTATTACTTTAATTTATACAAAATATAGTCATAGGCATATCCCTAAACCATGAACCTAATCTCATTCATGACAAAAGTCGCATTTAGAGTTTCTTTCAGGCAACTCTACTTGGGAGGAGGGGGCTTCGCCCCCCCCCCTCCCCCCCCCCTCCCCCCCCCCCCACACACACACTCCAAAACATGTCTACCGTCCCATTCAACTAAATATAATTATATACTTTTTCCAGTGTCCGCCCCCTCGCAGAAAATTCTACCCCCGCCCCCGACAATTTCAAGTACCCCCACCCCTCTCCGGGGAGGAAAAAGTCTGAAAGAAACACTGGTCGCATTTGTAGATAATACAAACTAAAGGAAGAATCTGCGCGGGGCTTCGCCCCTACCGGAAGAGATGCTTGGAAAAAAAACTGCACGCTAAACACTTTTTAGATTAGAAAAAGTTCCCCCCCCCCTCCGGGGAGGAAAAAGTCTGAAAGAAACACTGGTGTCGCGCTTAGCCACTACCCGAAGAATTGCATAAAAGAAATTGCAAGAAAACCACTTTTTAGATTAGACACATTAATTAGGCGGTAATTTTATTATAGAGTGTCGATGAAGAAATTTCTTTTGAGTTGGGGAGGGGGGGGGGGGCTTAGACGTTCTTACGCGGGGGTGGGGCTTTGCCCCTATCCGAAGAATTGTATGAAAGAAACTCTTCACGCAAACCACTTAGATTAGACAAAATTGCATTTTTATTCAATGTTTACTCGAGAATCGATGACGTCATATTACTGTGTGCACTCTCCGGCTTGATATTATTTTCTACTATATGCTAAATGTGACGTCATATTTCGTTTTCGTTTCACTGTGAAAGTTTTTAAATTGCTTGTGTTTTCTCTAGAGCGTTCTTGTCAGACAGATACATAGATACACAGACAGCGAAACTTTAAGTATTAATAGCGTTATTGTATCACACACCCTTCTCCAATTAACGCTATATAACTTATCCTAGACCAGCACCCCACACGCAAGTTCATTTTATTGAGACGTCCCCTGATCTCCCCAAACACACCCCCACATATCACACCGTACATCCACATATACATAACTTTTTTTTTACGAGGGTGGGGGGACTAAACAGAGTTTACCGCCCCCCCCCCCCCCGAAAATTTCAAGTGTCGTCGTCCCCCCCCCCCCCCCCCCGGAGAAAAAAGTCTGGAAGAAACACTGGGACTAAAGTTTCCGGGAGGAGGGGGAAGGGGAGGGGGTGGACACTGTTAAAAGTATATATTTTCTATACAAATTACATTTTGTTCGGGGGTAGCAGTAGACTTTCTTCGGAAGGTTAGGGTTAGGAGCCCACCCCCCACCCCCCCCCCCCCCCTTAAAAAATATTTCAAGTACCCCTGGAGAAAAAAAGGTCTGAACGAAACACTGGTGACATCATCACGTGACCTCAAGACCAGTCAACAGGATACACGGGGCACGGGGTCAAAGGGCGTGGGTGGATGACCTCGCACCACTAATCACATCCGGGTGGCTTGTAGCCCATCCAGATACTTGTCGTTGTCGTTCCATTTTTTTAAGGCGGCGACCAATGTATCCTACAATACAAACATGATAAAAACTGACACCGCCAACATTCCGGGTCGCCCCTAACACCACGTGACACAAGCTTGTCAACACGACCTGCATACCTCCGGTTTTCTACTTAATTTATGACGTCATCGGCAGTTCATACCTGGGTGACCTTGATCTTGAATACTTTTTTTAAGAAAGTCAAAATTACCTAACTATAAAAGCTCCGTCGGTCTCTGGGAGTTCAGTAGCAAACGATCCTTTACGGAACAAGTGTCACATAGAGAAGAAGTTGTCACATAGAGAAGTTGTCACATACAGGACAAGTTGTCACATACAGAAGAAGTTGTCACATACAGAATTAGTTGTCACATACAGGACAAGTTGTCACATACAGGACAAGTTGCAGGTGAGATTATCTTGGTTATAGTTGTACAAATTGTTGTACATCTGACTTGATTGACTCTTAATGTTCACTTGTTGACTTTTTAGACGCTGTTGTTTGTGTTCTTTTTTTGGATTTTGTCGTGACTAAAGTTAATCAATTACAAATTGAGTTTTGTGGGCCTGTTTAACATTAATTGTTTGAATTGATCGAATGGTTAACGTTGAACTGGTTGTGAGGAAGTATTTTGTCACAACAACATAAATTACGCTTATTGTTTAATATGCAAGTAGAAGAACAAAATTCTAAATAGGTTTAGACGTGGATACAATGATGTGAGAGTGCGTGGGATATTCGAATACTAGTTGTAGCCAGTTTTATTGCACGCCAGCTACGATCTTAAAGAAATGGTGTTTAGGAAGCGTTCAAACGCTAGATATGATTGTCTGGTGCAAGCACTAATTACATATAAAAATAAAGTACAGAGTACTTCAAACCTCAGATTTAAGTAGAGTTTCTTTGGTGTCAGCGATATATAGGCATCATTAAGCAGAGTCGCTATTATTACTCTCTCATAAAAAGTTGGGAAGTCTCATTGTAGTTCCATTGGCGCTGACCATGGATCCGACCAGAGTTTCTTCCAGGCATCTCTTCGGAGGGGGGGGGGGGGGGCTAAGGCCCCCCCCCCCACCCCCCACCTTGAAATTTTTTTACCTCCCCCCCCCCCCTCGAAAGAAATGAATTTATATAATTTATAAAGAAAATATATACTTTTAACAGTGTCTGCCCCCCGAAGAAAGTCGAACACCCCCCCCCCCCCGAAAATTTCAAGTGCCCCCCCCCCCCCCGGAGAAAAAAGTCTGGAAGAAACACTGGATCCGACCTCGAGAATTAGGGGCTATCAATAGTGTTCTACCACTCAAACAAGCGCAATCTGAAACCACCTCTTTAACTGTGTCTGAACTGTCTATAGACTTCACGGTTGTTTCTACAGCCAACGGGAAATTTATTTTTTCTTCACAGTAAAGATGGCGGCTAAACTTCACTTTTTCGTGACGTCTCTGGCTTTCTTGACCCTTGCTGTGATGACCAGTGGTCATTCGAACAACAATCAACCCAAGTAGGTTGAGAAGATGGACATTTAGGATCAAGATTTAAGCTTGCTCTTTTTTATTTAAAGTTCATAAAATTGTATATTACTGTTTAGCAAAGTATTTAAAAAATACACTAAATTATTTAACCTAATTGTATAAATCATGTATCAATTGTAAACTAAATTATTGATTCAGTAACTTGTATACACATTAGATAAAATGTCAACTAAATTATTTTCCCCAGCCAATGTCAAACGAGTGTTCCCTCCTGCTTCCCTATAAAACCTTACATCCGGGTGACGCTACAGGCCAAAAACATCCTGCAGGCGCCCACCTTTAATTACGTTGCCGTGGTTACGCTGCGCAAACAAAACCTCTTGGGGTTTTTGGAGAAAGCGGTGGACACAAACTACGGTTTCAGGTGTGTAGGTTTATAGGTTCAGGTGTGTAGGTTTACAAACGATACGTTCAGGTGAGTAGGTTTACAGGTTCAGGAGTGTAGGTTTACAAACTACAGGTTCATGTGTGTAGGTTTACAAACTATAGGTTCAGGTGTGCCAAACTATAGGTTCAGGTGTGTAGGTTTACAAACTACAGGTTCAGGTGTGTAGATTTTCAGACTATAGGTTCAGGTGTGTAGGTTAACAAACTAGGTTTACGTTACGTTAGATACATTCTAAGCAAAAAGTTGACAATTAAAACTGACACCGTACATTAGGTTGACCATTAAAACGTACATTGCTAGACGTAGATGCTGGTGTAAAAAGTTGCTACATCGAGTTTTGTCCTAAACCATCCCGTGTCCCCAGGTTCTCGTCGTCCTACTTTGTCCTAAACCATCCCGTGTCCCCAGGTTCTCGTCGTCCTACTTTGTCCTAAACCATCCCGTGTCCCCAGGTTCTCCTCGTCCTACTTTGTCCTAAACCATCCCGTGTCCCCAGGTTCTCGTCGTCCTACTTTGTCCTAAACCATCCCGTGTCCCCAGGTTCTCGTCGTCCTACTTTGTCCTAAACCATCCCGTGTCCCCAGGTTCTCGTCGTCCTACTTTGTCCTAAACCATCCCGTGTCCCTAGGTTCTCGTCTTCCTACTTTGTCCTAAACCATCCCGTGTCCCCAGGTTCTCGTCGTCCTACTTTGTCCTAAACCATCCCGTGTCCCCAGGTTCTCGTCGTCCTACTTTGTCCTAAACCATCCCGTGTCCCCAGGTTCTCGTCGTCCTACTTTGTCCTAAACCATCCCGTGTCCCCAGGTTCTCGTCGTCCTACTTTGTCCTAAACCATCCCGTGTCCATAGGTTCTCGTCGTCCTACTTTGTCCTAAACCATCCCGTGTCCCCAGGTTCTCGTCGTCCTACTTTGTCCTAAACCATCCCGTGTCCCCAGGTTCTCCTCGTCCTACTTTGTCCTAAACCATCCCGTGTCCCCAGGTTCTCGTCGTCCTACTTTGTCCTAAACCATCCCGTGTCCCCAGGTTCTCGTCGTCCTACTTTGTCCTAAACCATCCCGTGTCCCCAGGTTCTCGTCGTCCTACTTTGTCCTAAACCATCCCGTGTCCCCAGGTTCTCGTCGTCCTACTTTGTCCTAAACCATCCCGTGTCCCCAGGTTCTCGTCGTCCTACTTTGTCCTAAACCATCCCGTGTCCCCAGGTTCTCGTCGTCCTACTTTGTCCTAAACCATCCCGTGTCCCCAGGTTCTCGTCGTCCTACTTTGTCCTAAACCATCCCGTGTCCCCAGGTTCTGGTCGTCCTACCTTGTCCTAAACCATCCCGTGTCCCTAGGTTCTCCTCGTCCTACTTTGTCCTAAACCATCCCGTGTCCCCAGGTTCTGGTCGTCCTACTTTGTCCTAAACCATCCCGTGTCCCCAGGTTCTCGTCGTCCTACTTTGTCCTAAACCATCCCGTGTCCCCAGGTTCTCGTCGTCCTACTTTGTCCTAAACCATCCCGTGTCCCCAGGTTCTCGTCGTCCTACTTTGTCCTAAACCATCCCGTGTCCCCAGGTTCTCGTCTTCCTACTTTGTCCTAAACCATCCCGTGTCCCCAGGTTCTCGTCGTCCTACTTTGTCCTAAACCATCCCGTGTCCCCAGGTTCTCGTCGTCCTACTTTGTCCTAAACCATCCCGTGTCCCCAGGTTCTCGTCGTCCTACTTTGTCCTAAACCATCCCGTGTCCCCAGGTTCTCGTCGTCCTACTTTGTCCTAAACCATCCCGTGTCCATAGGTTCTCGTCGTCCTACTTTGTCCTAAACCATCCCGTGTCCCCAGGTTCTCGTCGTCCTACTTTGTCCTAAACCATCCCGTGTCCCCAGGTTCTCGTCGTCCTACTTTGTCCTAAACCATCCCGTGTCCCCAGGTTCTCGTCGTCCTACTTCGGCAGCGCCCTCGGCTACATGGTGGACAAGATAAACGGCACCGCCGCCTCCACACAGAACCAGACATTCTGGCAAATCAGCAGCAACGGCACTGCTCTTAACTGTGGTAAGGTCATTCACCTTTAAAACATTTCAGGATTCATTAAAACTTACTAACGTTTTGTTCTAGAACATCGTGATTTGACACGCGTATGCCAGGATGGACATTTGTGACCTGACGGTGAACTCGGAACTTGCAAAGCAGGCGAGCATGGAGATTGATTGAAGAACTACATTTTTCTCCTTGTTTTTTTTTTAATTATTATTTGTTGACGTTTTTTTCTTCTAAATGCAGCATTAAAAAATGTTCATTATCGTTTGGGAAGTAATTTGAGTTGACACAAAGCGCGCTTGAACATTGATCAACTGTCAACTATATTCTCTTAGTCTTATTTTTCTCGTAGTAAAAGACCTTGTATTGTAATCCTCCCACCAGGTGTCTCCACCTACTACCCCAGGAACAACGAGGTCATCCTCTTCAACTTCACCACCTACGCCAACGCCGGCTACGCGTAAGAGACAGCAGCTCACATTCTCACCGACGTCACTGAAATTGTCATTGCAACTGATAATTTCAGTGACATTATCATCGACATTGTTACTGATGCGCCTCTGTCTTCCCAGATGTTTTTATAAGAAATCAGCGAGATTACTTTTCTTAGATTACCTTTTGTATATCACTAGTTGAATGCATAGTTGTAAATCTTTTGATCAACTATTTTTGTTTACTCAATAAAGTGTATATAAGATCTTCTAAAAACTGTGTGTTCTTTTTTAAAGACAATCGATTCCTAAAAGTATCGGGAAAATATTTTATCACAAAAATATGACATTGTATCACCCCCTCCCCTACTTCATGTAACGTTATATTACTATATCCTAGACTAGCACCCCACATACAATTTCATTTTTTGTTGAGCCAACCACTCACCTCCCCACACACACACCACACACACACACACACACATCTTGGATGTACAAATATTTGAGAATCAAATCTTTTCAGTGAAAATGTAACAGAAGTAATTACATCGAACTATTATATAAATATATTAACCAGGCACACTGTATAATTCACAATGATTGTAGAGGTATAAATTTTGTATATCTAACTGAAACGATACTCGACTTATAGGGCTGGTAAGTAGGTCACCAACCAGTTCTACGGCTCAATAATACCTGCATGAGCCATATAGCTGGTTGGTGACCTACTTACCAGCTCTATAGGCTTTTGAGGATCCGGAAGTAAAGTTAATACCACTTTCGGACATCGGAAATCGTTCAAAGGTGAAAGAAAGCTACATATTTGATATAATACTATATATGAAACTTTGTTAACCTAACCGAAACAGTGATCAAGTTATCGTGTTTACATACTCATAAACACACGCACACACACAGACACCCCCCCCCCACACACACACACTAGTGGCGTTGCTATGTCGGGTGTCACCCGGTGCTGCACTTTGTGGTGTCACCCAGTGGCGGATTAAGGGGGGGGGGGGCTGAGAGGGCTGCTGTCAGGGGCTCCCGATTTTTAGGGGCCCTCAAATTTCCTTTTCCATAGTAAAATTTACTTTAAAGCGAAATGGTTGTCGTTGTTTTTTTTTTATTATAAAAACCAATTTTTTAATATTTGTTTTTTTTTTCAAAATATCAAACACGAGTACACACTTTAGTATAAATACCACCTGTCATCACCTTCTGCCCAATACATTGTTTACATAAAGGCGACGCTCCGTAAAATAAATAGTCCCGACAGCTTTTGCTAATGACAATAAAATTGGTTGATTTTTTTAGTTAAAAAGCACAATCAGCAGCCGAATTCTGACAAATGAGTTTAGGCCCTATGATTGACGCCTCTTGAAAAATGCACAGCAATTAAAGTTATTCATTCAGATAGGGTCTACATTGTGAATAGCTCATCTCGCAAGCATTGAGACAAGCAGCATTATATACTAACCCTAGCAATCAATAATAAAATACTTAAAAAAAAACTTTTTTAAAAACCACGTTTTTCTTGTGGACTAAAAAGTAGAAAATAAATTTTCATACATTTGATGACAAAAAACGTGGGTACGTTCACCATCAAATTTCCCGACCCATCTGCCCGACCCACGTTTTTTGTCATCAAATGTATGAAAATTTATTTTCTACTTTTTAGTCCACAAGAAAAACGTGGTTTTTAAAAAAGTTTTTTTTAAGTATTTTATTTTCTCCTTTTTAGTCCGTTGCTACACATGAAAAACGTTGTTTTTAAAAAAGTTTTTTATATAGTTTATTTGCTACTATATCTAATGACTTGATTAAGTATGACTTGACTAAGTGTTTATAAATACACGGACTAAAAATCTTGAGCGACCAGGATTCGAACCTGGGTTGTCGCGGCCACAACGCGAAGTACTAACCACTATACGATCACGGCCAGCGCGCTCACATCGATTGGGGCCGAAGTAACTGTGCCAATAGGCCTCCAGTCTTGTCGGTATCTTTAGAAATCATGTCCTCAATTTTATGGTCCTTGGGGCGTAATTAAATTAAGCTAATTACGGTCTCTAATTGCTAGTTTTTATGATTGCATCTGAAATTGTTAGGCGAAAGTAGCCTACATGCCAAATTTCAGATCTATTGAGCAATCAGAAGTGGGCTAATTTTCGATGTCAATTTTAACAACAAACAAACAAATCCACAAACGCGAAGCTGAGTTAAGATAAGATAAAATACTTAAAAAAAACTTTTTAAAAAAACACGTTTTTCTTGTAGACTAAAAAGTAGAAAATAAAATACTTAAAAAAAACTTTTTAAAAAACCACGTTTTTCTTGTGGACTAAAAAGTAGAAAATAAATTTTCATACATTTGATGACAAAAAACGTGGGTACGTTCACCATCAAATTTCCCGACCCATCTGCCCGACCCACGTTTTTTGTCATCAAATGTATGAAAATTTATTTTCTACTTTTTAGTCCACAAGAAAAACGTGGTTTTTAAAAAAGTTTTTTTTAAGTATTTTATTTTCTCCTTTTTAGTCCGTTGCTACACATGAAAAACGTTGTTTTTAAAAAAGTTTTTTATATAGTTTATTTGCTACTATATCTAATGACTTGATTAAGTATGACTTGACTAAGTGTTTATAAATACACGGACTAAAAATCTTGAGCGACCAGGATTCGAACCTGGGTTGTCGCGGCCACAACGCGAAGTACTAACCACTATACGATCACGGCCAGCGCGCTCACATCGATTGGGGCCGAAGTAACTGTGCCAATAGGCCTCCAGTCTTGTCGGTATCTTTAGAAATCATGTCCTCAATTTTATGGTCCTTGGGGCGTAATTAAATTAAGCTAATTACGGTCTCTAATTGCTAGTTTTTATGATTGCATCTGAAATTGTTAGGCGAAAGTAGCCTACATGCCAAATTTCAGATCTATTGAGCAATCAGAAGTGGGCTAATTTTCGATGTCAATTTTAACAACAAACAAACAAATCCACAAACGCGAAGCTGAGTTAAGATAAGATAAAATACTTAAAAAAAACTTTTTAAAAAAACACGTTTTTCTTGTAGACTAAAAAGTAGAAAATAAAATACTTAAAAAAAACTTTTTAAAAAACCACGTTTTTCTTGTGGACTAAAAAGTAGAAAATAAATTTTCATACATTTGATGACAAAAAACGTGGGTACGTTCACCATCAAATTTCCCGACCCATCTGCCCGACCCACGTTTTTTGTCATCAAATGTATGAAAATTTATTTTCTACTTTTTAGTCCACAAGAAAAACGTGGTTTTTTAAAAAGTTTTTTTTAAGTATTTTATTTTCTACTTTTTAGTCTACAAGAAAAACGTGTTTTTTTTTAAAGTTTTTTTTAAGTATTTTATTTTCTCCTTTTTAGTCCGTTGCTACACATGAAAAACGTGTTTTTTAAAAAAGTTTTTTATATAGTTTATTTTCTACTTTATCTAATGACTTGATTAAGTATGAATTGACTAAGTGTTTATAAATACACGGACTAAAAAAATCTTGAGCGACCAGGATTCGAACCTGGGTTGTCGCGGCCACAACGCGAAGTACTAACCACTATACGATCACGGCCAGCGCGCTCACATCGATTGGGGCCGAAGTAACTGTGTCAACAAGCCTCCAGTCTTGTCGGTATCTTTAGAAATCATGTCCTCAATTTTATGGTCCTTTGGGCGTAATTAAATTAAGCTAATTACGGTCTCTAATTGCTAGTTTTTATGATTGCATCTGAAATTGTTAGGCGAAAGTAACCTGCATGCCAAATTTCAGATCTATAGAGCAATCAGAAGTGGGCTAATTTTCGATGTCAATTTTAACAACAAACACATCCACGCGAAGCTGAGTTAATAAAAACGTGTTAAAAAACGTGTTAAAAAATGCCTGACCGCCTTTGTTTACACGCTACGCTACTAAGAAAAGTATGAAAGATGCTTTACATGTTTGTTATTGGAAGTGAGTTTCGGATAGTCGGTTTTTTTAGGTATAGGATATCTGGATCTAGATATTTTGGATTAAAACTCCATAGATGCATTTCTTAGTTGCCCATTCGGGTCTTGTGATCATATGAAATATTAGGTAGGAGTTCACATATTTTGTTTTTCTCTGCAAATTAGGAGATATTCTGATCAGTTCTAGATCTATCCCTAGCCGCCTTTAGTTTTCAAAATATGAGACAGTACCCATCTGAGTTGGAAGTTCTTAGATTTGAAAATGGGATCAGAGCTCAGGACTTTTACTTTTAGGTTAGCAGTTGTGCGTTCTACCACCTATTGTGAACTCGTAATTTTTTTAAAAATCTCAATAGGCCCAAAACCGTTTGGCCTAATTAATTAGCTTGTAATTTCTTTGGCGTCTAACATAGATTTATCTTGAGAATACAAGAAATCATCAATTTATGTATGGGGGAGGGGTGGGGGGTGAGGAAGTGCCTATGTGGACATCACAATCATAATATGTATTGTTTATAACAAAAACAAAATTGCATAAAAATTGCAAAAACTTATACGGCAGTGCCTGTTATTTTAACCCACCTCGACTGCCAATTATGCCACGGCAGACCTATTTGGGCCCTATAGAACCGTAATTGACAGTCAGGCCTACATTAGACTTAAACTTTTAAAAACCCTATAAGGCCTTACTTTCAGTGAATTTTTACTTACATCGCGTGTAGAAGCTAGAGGCGGCGTTCTTTATAAGGAGACGCTTATGGAACACTCCCATAAATGAATGACACTTAAGAGGATGGAGGTGTGTAATTTGACGCTTATGGCGTGCTTACTATTTTTCGTTGGGCCTAGTTTAACCTCTGTATGTTATTGATAATTTCCTACATAATGTGGTTCGAAATTATATGTTTTCTTTTTGCGTCTGCAATCAAACAAGTGCCAACAGTCTTTATCGTCTGCTTTATAACGACATTAAAATATTATCTTGGATATTTATTTTTCTTCAATGTTGGTGTGAATTGTCAGCTTTCACACATGTAAAATAAATACTTGAATGATAGTCGAATAACTATAAGTTCTGATTCAGATGTTGGAGACTTATACAGGCCTAAAGTAAACAGCCATTAAATATTTAGTACTGCTGGCGTAGGTGGATCTCACCTCTCGGTGTTTTGTGAGTGTATGTGAGGTACCATGAGGTGCCGCACCGGGTGACACCCGACCTAGTGACGCCACTGGTTTCAATACATTCAGCTTTTAAATGTATTCGGTTCAACTTAGTGGCTAAGGTCAAAATGTTCTAGAATGTACTTGGTTCGACTTTGTGGCAAATGTCAAGTTGATCTAGAATGTACTTATGTCATCACTCTCTTCCTGGTCGGCTGAACGAGACGAGTTGTTGGAATAAAATATTGAACCAAGTCACGTGATGACGAAAACATGTTTACCTGAGCTATTAATACATTGGCCATAAAGTGGAACTCGGTAGGTAGGTGGAGGTTGGTGGAAGTTGGTGGAGCTCTTAGATTCTGTTGTTGGAAACTCGGTCAAGGGCAAGCCGATTTCTGAGAAAAATATTGTTTTTTAACCGTTGTAAATTTCTGGAAAATACCAACCATTTCTAAACAAAATTGTTATTTTTATAAACTTATGGGCTAAACAAAAAAACAGCGTTGCTGTTGGGCCTTATGCTTAAACAATGACCCTCTACAAAACACAAATCTTTTCAACATAAAATTAATATTTTAATCTTTAAAAAGCTTGAGAGACTTTCTTCCTTTTCAGTTAAATGATTATCAAGCCGATTTAATATATGTCGAAAGGATAGTTGCACCGGTGAGGGGGGGGGGAGGGGCATGACAGATATCGCAAAAGTCTCGACGCGCGATCGTGGACAGTAGAGGTGGTTGGGTATAATCCTGACCACACGATTGTAGACAGTAGAGGTGGTTGGGTATAATCCTGACCACACGATTGTAGACAGTAGAGGAGGTTGGGTATAATCCTGACAACACGACCGCTTCACATAAATCAACTCTTCTGTATGTTCCCAATGCACCGTCGCACCTAAAATTTTGCTGTACTAATTTACATTGAATAAAAATAAATATTTCTTTCTTTAATCAAATCAGAAAATTGAAATTAATATTTTGAATAAGGGGTCGTCTATAAATGACGTCACACTCGTAGGGGGAAGGGAGTCCGAAATGTAGTGACGGTGTATGATGAGGGGGAGGGGGGTTCAGATGGTGTGACGTCACACTTTTGCATTATAAAAAAGCAATGTTAGAAAACGAGTTTTAGCCGTTATTTTGCGTTTTAGAAAACAGTTTTAATAAATTGTAATAGGAATTGTTTAAAATACTCTATTTTGACAGAGTTCTGACAAGATTTTGGAAAATATCGATGTTTTTAAGAAAATTCAACAGCAATTTTGAGGGGGGGGGGGGTTGTAGGCTGAGGTGTGACGTCATTTTAGGGGGTCTGGCTTTTTGTGACGACGTGTGACGAAGGGGAGGGGGAGGTAAAAATCGTCCAAAAAAGCGTACGTCTTTTATGGATGACCCTTAACTTTGCAAACAGATCAACATCTAAATCAATCTGTTCATCTGTAGCGCTGACTGGTAAATGCAAAGTAGGCCTACTTATCCTATAAAATCAAAACACATTTTATTTAGTTTAATCTTTGAAATTAGTTTTATAATTTATGTAAATCAAACACAAATATCCGGTTTACAGCGGGGTTTTTTTGTGTGTAAGCCAACGGTCTATAAATAACCTCGCATTGTGTGTCGACCAACAGAAAACAACGAGATCCGTGATTATTCTGTCCAAACACTCAGCAGACAAGGTAAGAACAATGTAGACCTTCATTTCTCTTATTGTCCCATTTGTTATGCAATAACTTTACCACTTTCATCCACACATTTTATTTTTCTAGCAGACAAAGTAAGAACAATGTAGACCTTCATTTCTCTTATTGTCCCATTTGTTATGCAATAACTTTACCACTTTCATCCACACATTTTATTTTTCTAGCAGACAAAGTAAGAACAATGTAGACCTTCATTTCTCTTATTGTCCCATTTGTTATGCAATAACTTTATTATTTTCATCCACACATTTTATTTTTCTAGCAGACATGGTAAGAACAATGTAGACCTTCATTTCTCTTATTGTCCCATTTGTTATGCAATAACTTTATTATTTTCATCCACACATTTTATTTTTCTAGCAGACATGGTAAGAACAATGTAGACCTTCATTTTTCTCATTGTCTCATTTGTTATACAATAACTTTATCACTTTCACCCACACTTTTTGTTTTTCTAGCAGGCAAGGTAAGAACAATGTAGACCTTCATTTTTCTTGTTGCCCGATTTGTTATGCAATAACTTTACCACAATTTGTGTCTTTCTAGCTGCTCAACATTTGATCAATAATGTGATTTTAAAATGTGGTAAACATTTATGTATTCAGTATCAAATGTTTTCTTAAAAACTCTGATTTGTGACGTCAGTAGGCCAGGTTACTGAGGCCTAGTTACTCGGGCTTAATTACTCGCTTACTTCACAGGCGGTGTTACTTTGTGATGTTATTACAACACATCCTTCACTTTCTTTACTCAATAAGTTCCCGGATGTTTTCCCCCGATAGTCTTGTTCGTTTGTCCCTGGGACTGACACGTTTGTCCTTGACTGACACGTTTATCCCTAGACTGATACCTTTGTCCCTGGGACTGACACGTTTGTCCCTGGGACTGATACGTTTGTCCCTGGGACTGATACGTTTGTCCATAGACTGATACGTTTGCCCATAGACTGATACGTTTGTCCCTGTGACTGATACGTTTGTCCCTGGGACTAATACAATTTTCCCTAGACTAATACGTCTGTTCCTTGGAAATAATACGATGTGAAATAAAAACAAAGACATTGACTTTACTATCCCATTTGTCGTAAAATGAATGTAGATCTAGACCTAGATGATTTAACACTGTACAGACACTTAAAACAGACACTGTTGATGTTATCCACTGTAGGTTTGTTTGTTGACATTACGCAATTGAAATAATTACACATGAGCTCATTACAAGAAGTGGCCTAGTTAGTGGATACAATGAGTCACAGTCAACATCGCAAGTGTTTCCCATTATTTGTAACACAGTTCACCCACTAGAGCCTTCACATTGTGGTAGACATTAGTGTGGTAACTTCAGTTTGAAGGTCTCCCTTGCCCTGATCCATGCAACTTGTGTGCGTGTATTCTGCAGATAAAAACAATGGCGGCTTCTCTACAAGTCAGGAGTTTTTTGACCGCTTCCAGCGTCGTCCTGTTGTTGGTAGTTGTCAGCGGCGCAGCTAAGTAAGTGTTATTTGGTCACAAAAGCTCTCACTGTCCGTCCGTCCGTCCGTCTGTCCGTCTGTGTGTCCGTCTGAGCATCAGTCCATCTTTCCATATCTATCTATTTGTCAATTGTCGTTGTATTTTCTTCATGTGATTACATATAACAATTAATTTTGATTAATTTCATCCAATTATTGTGTTGGTTTCAGCAACTCATGTGACTTCGATCAGCCACCGTGTGGATTGTGTGGGAGAAACATTAACGTGACCCTCATAGCAAGAAACAACCTGGTACCCCCCACATTTGAACTTGCCGCTTCCATAACGAACGAATACCAAAGGGCCCTGCTAGCCTTCTTGGAAAAAGCATGCAGTATCAACAAAAGTTTCAAGTAAAAAGATTGTTATTTGCACTTTACATTTTTTTGTCTTGCATGATAGTTACTCTACACACAATAGCCCAAACAACACCCTCTCTAGCCCAACCCCTCTAATAAACTAAAACGTTGTACTAGAACAATAAACCCACATAAAAGAAGTTTAAAGTATCAGTAACATTTAAACTATCGTTAATATATTAGTATCGACAACGTCTTAAATTATCGATAACATCATCAATCATCTTGTAACATTTTAAAGAATAGATAACGGTCAAGATGGATCTAAGGCTAAGTAATTCATCACTTGCTCTAAATTTTAATTGTGGGAAGTGTCTAAGTGGAACTTCAAATTGTATGCCGCCTTTTATTCAGGTTCGAATCCACCTTCTACGCTGGGCTGGGCTACTTTATTGACAGCATCAACGGAGTTCGAGGTTCGATACCAAGTAAAACTTTTTGGCACATCAGCAGCAACGGTGTGTCGGCTGATTGTGGTGAGTCCACTCAAATTTTGTGTGTCCAACATTTTTTATTTCAGCTGGGTGACAACCGGAAATTTTAAAAATAATAATAACAATAATTATGTACACAAAACAAATAATTAAGTGTAAGAAAAAAATAAGAAAAGTATTTCAATGCAGCGTTAACTAGTTAGTTGGCCTGGTTTTAAAGGATCAAATCAGATGGAGAATTAAAAATTATACTTGTTTTTACAAAATAATATTTTTTAATTTCCATTTCTAGGCGTGTCTAGCTATATCCCAGTCAACGGGGAGACAATTCTGTTTAACTTCACCACCTACCAGGACTCTGGCTACGACTTCTAACGAAAGTTTTCTCATTTGATGATTGTACGTGTGATCTATGTGTTATGATATCTGTATATATGCTATTTAAAAGATCACTTCTAATTGGTTTTTAGAATGTCATACCATTTTCTGCACTACTTACACTTTGTGTTCCTTTACACATGTGACCTATTAATTAAAAACTGTTTTAAGTGTAATTTAGTTATTGTTTTTGGCTGAAATAGATTAAAAAAAGAAACGATCAACAGAAGCGGATGTTAAAGCCTTACATGTTACATTTGTGTATGTTTATGTCAATGATGAGGTGAATGAGAACCACTTGTTTAATGTGCTAGAGGATGGGGGCGTGGGGGTTGGGGTTGTACCTTTCAACTAAATGTTGGGTCATGTGTCACATCCGCAAAGGTGGGAAGTTTTTTTTTCTTACAAAATAAAGGTCCGGGTCCTAAACACATTGTTTATTTATAGACTAGCTAAAACATTCCGGTTCATTCACGCTTTGTATTGGGAATGTGTTGGGTTTAATTATTAGTGTGGTCGGCTATTTAGTTATGTATGTTGTCATAGGCCGTTTGGCTATGTTGTCATGTACTGTTTGGCTATGTTGTCATGTACTGTTTGGCTATGTTGTCATGTACTGTTTAGCTATATTATCTGTGCTGTTTAAATATGTTGTCATGTGCTGTTTAGCTATATTATCTGTGCTGTTTAAATATGTTGTCATGTGCTGTTTGGCTATGTTGTCATGTGCTGTTTAAATATGTTGTCATGTGCTGTTTGACTATGTTGTCATGTGCTGTTTAGCTATATTTTGGTGCTGTTTGGCTATGTTGTCATGTGCTGTTTAGCTCTATTTTGGTGTTGTTTGGCTATGTTGTCATGTACTGTTTAGTTATATTATCTGTGCTGTTTAAATATGTTGTCATGTGCTGTTTGGTTATGTTGTCATATGCTGTGACCAGAGGCGAAGCGAGGAAGGGCTGGGGGTAGTTATGTCCCCGGGCGCCGACCCTAGGGTGCGCCAAAATGGGTTGGAAAAAAATTAAAAGCTCATTTGCGCTGCAGTTTAGCATAATAAATATAAAAATATACATATATATAGGGGGGAGGGTGCCAAATTAAAAGTTTGTCCCCGGGCGCCGGGAAGGGTGTTTAACCATAATGTCATGTGCTGTTTGACCATGATGTCATGTGCTGTTTGACCATGTTTTGTTACGTCACTAAGTGACTGCATGTCTGTTACCCCCGCACATATTCCACCAAACCAACCAATGTGGCTTTAAATGAAAATATTTCCGGCACTATATTTAATATGTTGAACCACATTACAGTTTAAAGTGCAGTTCTAAACGTTATTTCCCTTTTTAACACAAAGAGTCAACACGCCCCGGTAAAGTGCACTCTCACAGTCGGGTATTCAAAAACTTCTTTTCACATTTTTAACAAGGCACGAAACGAAGTTTGCTTTGGTCCCAATCAAGCACCAAAGTCTCGATTTCTCGTCCAACTTTTAGATCTGTTTACTGTTTATTTCCTCAAGTTATCGTGTCAAGTGTTTCGATATTTCAATGCTGTGACCCAACTACGGCACACGACGCAGTAGTAAATGAGGCCAGGTTTAAAGCTTATATATCTATCCATTTGTTTATCAATTATTTTCTAAACACATCCGTGGGAGGGGGGGGGGCTTACTTGTGAGATGATATATAATGTGGGGGGGGGGGGAAGTTTAAGAAATAGCCTAACATGTAGCTATTATTTTGTATTTAACAATCAAAAAGTTTATTATGATTAGAAATTTAATTTATTTTAGGATGGCGAGTGGTGGGAAAGGGAAGTTGGGTATAGATGTGACGTCACTGTAGGGGTTAGGCTTGTCTTTTTGTGACACAAAGGGGTGGGGGTGAAAAAAATCAGCGTATTGCCAACACTGTACTACCCTAAATGTTCTAAATGGGCCAGTCTAAATAATTAAACCAGTCAGTGACAGTATACTTGATCATACAAATCTTTTTGCTTCTCTTCTGGTGGTGGGTGAGGTGGTACGGAATTATGTTTTTTGGAAAAAGATTTAAAGAAAAAATAAAATTATTTTAATTCTCACTCCTGAATTCCTAAAGGTATAAAACATTCAAATTCAGATGTTTTGGTTGTCAGTAGACCTCACAGAACCAAAGTCAAATGGAGAGTTCAACATTTAGCAGAGAAGTGGAGTTCATCAACATTCATAACATTGATATGATCCATGTCTAATGGGTCATGAGATCTAATAAGTCAGGATGCAGACAACAGATCTAAACACTAAAACAATGTGCAACTACATGTACTTATCATGACAAATGCTAGCCAAACTGTGTCATTACTTTCTTTTTTCTATTCTACTAAATCAACTTTAAAAAAAGAAGACAAAACAGGTTTTTTGCTTGATTTTTTGATGTATATTTTTTAACAAAAACTGTTGGTGATATTAACATAATACAAATTTGAAAGACAAACAACAGCTGCTTTATAAAGTGCTGGCACAGCAGAAAAATATGTATACATGCAGGCTGCACACTACCCACACACAACAAATCATTCAAACTGGCCACTCAGATCACATCACTCACACTGCCCACTCACATCACACAGCCCATACAGGTCACACAAGCTGTCCACTCAAATCACTCATTTTGTCACATCCACAACACATGGATAAGTCAGTGGTCAGTAGGTCAACTAGTGGAGTAAGTCAGTGGTCAGTTAGTCAACTAGTGGAGTAAGTCAGTGGTCAGTAGATCAACTAGTGGAGTAAGTCAGTGGTCAGTAGGTCAACTAGTGGAGTAAGTCAGTGGTCAGTTAGTCAACTGGTGGAATAAGTCACAGGTCAGTAGGTCAACTAGTGTAGTAAGTCATTGGTCAGTAGGTCAACTAGTGGAGTAAGTCAGTGGTCAGTAGGTCAACTAGTGGAATAAGTCACAGGTCAGTAGGTCAACTAGTGCAGTAGGTCAGTGGTCAGTAGGTCAACTAATGGAATAAGTCACAGGTCAGTAGGTCAACTAGTGTAGTAAGTCAGTGGTCAGTAGGTCAACTACTGGAGTAAGTCAGTGGTCAGTAGGTCAACTACTGGAGTAAGTCAGTGGTCAGTTAGTCAACTGGTGGAATAAGTCACAGGTCAGTAGGTCAACTAGTGTAGTAAGTCATTGGTCAGTAGGTCAACTAGTGTAGTAAGTCAGTGGTCAGTAGGTCAACTAGTGGAGTAAGTCAGTGGTCAGTAAACTGTTGAGGTCAACAAGAATGGCACAGAGCGGCTTGAGCAGCTCCACCAGAGTTGTGCTGTTAACCAGTCCTAGACTCCGCTGGTACAGCTGTTTTATACTGCTGTTGGACTTGTCCCTGAAAAATTATTGAAGCCTCAATTTTTTATTTTTTTACCTCAAGAATTTTTTTTTTATTTTGTTCTGATTTTGTAAAATAATAAAAATGGCTACAATGATGATATGGGAAGTAACTCACAATTTGAAGTATTTCATGAGGGCTGTATTGAGATCAGTGTGCAGTTTCTTCACACACAGAAAATTTGTGCTCAGAATTTCCAAATTGTCTTCAGGGTCAAAGTCATTATTTTCTATAGCATACAGTGGAGGCAGAAGTTCACACAGGTGGGTGAAGACTGCATGAAACAATTTCTTTTTCCCCTTGACAGATGCATCTGTAAGTAAAATGTGAGCTGAAATTTAAAACTGTTACCCTTTTTAGAATGTTTATATCAATATAAAATGCCATTAGTAGTCTTGAATGTCAATATGCAATGTTAACTTCAACAACTAATACATTTTAAATGCGTATGTTTTGAAAACAAAAAATGCATGAAAACCCATGAAGTGGAATAAAAAAACATTTGCAAAAATCATATTTGTTTCTTAAGTTTTTAAAAAATAATTTTTAGTTTTTCATGTCTTGGTATGTTTGAATCTAAGTGCAACCCAGAGTTCTTACGGCTGCCTTTGTTTGGTGCTGGCTCATGGAACTTTCTAATGCTGTATTTATGATCATATAGTTTGAACACTTTCAAATGCTGTGATCATATAGTTTGAACACTTTCTAGCGCTGTATTTATGATCATATAATTTGAACAAGTGAGAAGAGTTTAGTTTACCGAAAGAAAAAAGAATTCAATGAAAACTAACTAGCTTCAGCTTCTTCTGTAATGGTCTCCAACCAGAAATATTTGACGCACATCTGTGACCTCCGCCATTTGATCTGGTGGTAGATCTCAAACGCTTTTTGAAAATTTTCTTCCATTTTCTGTTTAAAATTTTTCTTTCTTGTCTGGTGGGTCTGTGGGAAATGTTTTGTTCAGTTTACCCAGAGTACAATTACAGTACAGTAACATTACTTAACATAACGGAAACATCACCTAACACAACACAAACATGACATAACACAACACAACATCTCCAAACACAACTTAGCACAACATCACCTAACATAGCACAACATCACCTTACACAACATAACATCAACAAACAACACAAACATCCCTAATCACAGCACAACATCACCTAAGACAATACAACACAATCATAACCTAAGAACCCAAACATCACAGAAAACAAAAGCTACAAACTTACAGATTTAAAACTTTCCACATCAAAAATCCTGGCCAGGTTCAAGTGGTTCAGCCCTGCACAGATCTGGCTCTTTTTTAACTGCCTGCCTCCAGCAGTCAAAAAACAGTAGGACAAAGATTTCTGAATGAGGTCTTTCATACTTCGCAAATCCTTTTTAAAAAAGTTAATAACAGTTAATAAAAAAGAAAATTAAACAACACAATTAGGTATCTGGTACAAAGCTGCCTTAGTGTACATTAAACTAATACTCTGGGCCAACATAAAAGAAGAAAATCCCATAAGGTACAAGTTTTAATGGTTTCTAGGCCCAATTATGAAAGGATTACGAAGTGATAAAATACAACTTATAAAAATCACATTAATCCAAATCATAACATTTAAATGTGAAACAAGCTCTGGAACTTTTGGGCTAGGAAATGGATGCAATGAGCAAATATTTCAGCAGTGAATGCTAACCTGTTCTGTCACAGATCTGGGAGGAATGAGGAAGTATCTTGTGGCCATCTCCTGGTACTGCATCCTCATGTTGTGGTAGATATTTTCTCGGGCATCGTCCATCCCTTCACCTCGGTCATACTTGCTCAGCCCTTTCTCATACCATTCAATAGCCTGCAGTAAAAAGTCACAAACATGTCAACAAAGGAAAACACTAGCCCCTTCTCATACCATTCAATAGCCTGCAGTAAAAAGTCACAAGCATGTATAAACAAAGGAAAACACTAGCCCCTTCTCATACCATTCAATAGCCTGCAGTAATAAAGTACCAAACATGTCAACAAAGAAAAACATATACTGTTGTCTATACTGTTTCAGCCTTCCCAGACACCACAAATTATACACAAAAATGAGACCTATTAAAACAAGAAACAGCCAACTGTCATTCCTGCTGGAGTATGGGCCACCATCTACAGAAATGTACCAGCGTTCTGTATTTTTTTTTCCCAAATGGAATGTTAAATTAGTTTAGTTACTTCCCATTTATACAATTTAAATAAGCAAGGGAAACAACCTATCCTGACTTGGATTCTGAGAGTGGGTTAAACAACACTAAACCTTAAGTAAATGATCCTTCTCCTGGGGCAGGAAACCAATCTCTGTGGTGGAGTTATGGACGCTGGCAGCAGCTATGACATGCAGATAGGCAGCGTTGCTACAGACATGGCCTGCAGTGTTCCTGTCATTGACAGCCTCAAACATCCTGATGGACTTCTGGTAGTTTTTCATACCTTTTTCCCATACCGCTTTTATGTTTTCAAACAAGTCTTTGTTGTCTAAAATTTGAAAAAGTTTAACTTAGTTGAGAAAAAGAATTTTTTTTAATGCAAAACATGTTGGCCACTAATCTAAAATCCTATGTTTCTACATTTTAAAAATATTGGCTTTTTTTAATTATGGGTCTTTATGATCAGTAGGCATATTTCAGTGTAAAACCTATGAAACATCAGTTTTTACTTAATAAAAAAATATTACTTAAAGAGTGCTACAGAGAGATTTGGTGTTAAATTTTTCTTTTTTATGTATGGCACCTAGTCATGATTAATAGATTGGGTGTAAAGATTTGTCTCAATCAATGTGTTTATGGATGGCACCTACTCATTACTTTATCTTTACAAATCTCCATCTGGGTATTCCCCAGGTTCATCACACAGGCTGCGTGGTTTTTCTTCATGAGTAACCTAAATGAGGCGGATTTTTTCTCTAAGGCTGGGAGTTTAAAAGCTTCCTCATAAAGCTCATTGGCTGCAAGCATGTTGGCTTCTTGACTGCTGGGCCATTCATAAACCCACGAGTTCTCTGAAATTTAAGAAAGAATTGAATTCATCAACAAAAAGATGTGACTATCTGACCTATGCTTCAACATAAAAGCTACACCAACTGAATGGTCCATCAAAATAAAGACTATACTATCTCATCTGCCTTTTTAAAGAAGAGGCTACCTCCTCAGCATTTTTTATTCAAATTTTTTAAATTCAAAAATGAACTGACTATTTTGTAAAGACAAATTCAAGGTCATTTTATATCACATATAACAATTTTAAATAAAATACGTTTTTTTTTTTGTTTTTTAATAATTTTTGCATAATTGAACTAAAAGAACTAAAACATAACTATGACAATAATATACATAATACACTTGTTAAAAGAAATTTGGCATAGAACTACCATGCACATACTTGGTGTAGGAATGACTGTCTGAGCAGAATGTAATATAGCGGCTTCTTCTTCTCCAAGCTCATCAAAGTCTCTGTGACACTGGTGCCAGTTGGACACCAGGCAGCATCGAGCCTGCGCAGCCAAGTACAGCAACATGACATACAAATCTTGAGAGTCATCTTTCACACTTTTAAATAGCTCACACGCCTCTGAAAGTTAAAAACATGTTAGTAAAACTTCAACATTTTCACACTAATATTATGTAAAATAGGGGGGGGGGGGGGTGTAGTAATTCTGGCTAATATTTAAAAAAAAACATTATTTTTTAAGGTGGAATTTTATCTCAAATATTATTATTAATATTTAGATGAAGTTATAATTCTAATATTTAACCGTAAAAATTTGAAATAAGTTATATTCGTCATTTGACTAAAATCAATAAATGAAATTAAAATTCTATTGCTTTACTGAAAACATTAAGGTGAGATCTAACTCTAATTGTTAGTTTACCGTAACAGTGAACAGCATAACGAAGATGCCGAAGTGTGTGCCCGTATTTTTTTATCTCAAAAAACTCCTTGGCCAAAATAAAGTAAGTGATGGCAGCCTTCCTAAGGAGCTGGAATTTGGCGTCAACATGCCATGTGTCATATACGGCTCTCTCGTCATGACATCCTGACCTGCTTGACCCCTCAGATGCGTCTGACTTGTCAGTGACCTCTGACAGGAAGCTGTTAGAGCCAGAGACGGGCGTCACATGATCAGCTGATGTTCTGATATTGATGGCGTCTAAGATGTTGGACAACTGCTCCATGTTGCCGGCCGAGTCTTGCATCTTGTTCAGGGGTGTGTATTTCAGGGGAATGGCCCTAGAGGGGTCACACATTTCTGGGTCCCCTTCTTCCTGCTCTGTGCTCTCTTTAGCTCTGTCTGAACTCTCTTTAGCTCTGTCCTTTCCAGCCACATTAAGTGGTTGATAAAACAAAGGGATGGCCTTTGATGGGCTGCATGTCTGTTGTTTCTCTACTAGGCCAATGTTTTTTCCTTTTCCTTGATCTCGATCTATACAGTTAAGCCCCTGTTTATAAACATTTTAATAGTTAAGCTGCTGTTTATTAACAAGCCCCTATTTATAAACATTGTAAAATGTAAGCCCCTGTTTATAAACATTGTAAAAGTTAAGCCGCTGTCTATAAACATTATAAAACATAAGCCCCTGTTTATAAACAGAGTAAAGCATAAGCCCCTGTTTCTAAAAGGCAAGCCCATGAGCCAATACCCACCTTACGGATATGAGTTAAAGCCATCCTACAGCGTTCATCCGTTGTCCCAGCTATCCTACAAGCATGCACAACCTCCCACGCCTTGCGCTTGATCATTCCGCGCACAACCAACTCTTTGAGTGCCACAGAATTTTTCAGCTCTTCCTGCGTCCTATCAGTTGCGGTGTCTGCCTCCCCAGTGATAGCTTTTACGCCATCATCAACTGTATGACTGATCTCCCTTGACTGTAAATCTACGCCATTGCTCTCATCAGAGCTTGCTTCATCTTCATCATACAAATCTGAAGGCTAGAGTTTCATTCAGTTCATTTTAGATTTGTATAATCTTAATAAACACAAAGCATTAACAGAAATAAAGCTAATTTTATAGTTGTAGATGTTTGATTAATTTTTCTAATAATGTAAAACAGCTATATCAATCAAAACTAAAAGAGAATTTAAAAAATTAAAACGTACTGGGTCAGAAATTTTTCCTTTTTCTTGCCAGATATCAATGACAGATTTATCTGGCACCCACATATCAGACAAGTGGAGATGGGCATCAGCACATACCTGTCCAAAATAAAAATATTTATATGCACATATGAGCTCTTAAAGGTGTCTTTAAAACAGTAAAATATTTAACTTGAATGACATACAAATCTAAAGCTGGCAATAGAAAAAAATTAGCCAAAGCAGAAGATGGGGGATTGCTGAACGTTGGCTTCATGTGGTCACTGCCCAATATTCCTTCACAGGCAGGTGCGGGGTGCGGGGGGGAGGAAATAAGAACAAAAGCTGATCCTAGCATTGTACCCGATATACAGATGTGCTATAGCTCTAACATACAGGTGTGCTATAGCTCTAACATACAGATGTGCTATAGCTCTAACATACAGATGTGCTATAGCTCTAACATACAGACGTGATATAGCTCTAACATACAGATGTGATATAGCTCTAACATACAGATGTGATGTAGCTCTAACATACAGATGTGATATAGCTCTAACATACAGATGTGCTATAGCTCTAACATACAGGTGTGCTATAGCTCTAACATACAGGTGTGCTATAGCTCTAACATACAGATGTGCTATAGCTCTAACATACAGACGTGATATAGCTCTAACATACAGATGTACTATAGCTCTAACATACAGATGTGATATAGCTCTAACATACAGATGTGACAGCTCTAACATAGTGTACTATAGCTCTAACATACAGATGTGATATACCTAACATACAGATGTGACATAGCTCTAACATACAGATGTGACATAGCTCTAACATACAGATGTGACATAGCTCTAACATACAGATGTGACATAGCTCTAACATACAGATGTGACAGCTCTAACATACAGATGTGCTATAGCTCTAACATACAGATGTGATATACCTAACATACAGATGTGCTATAGGTCTAACATACAGATGTGATATACCTAACATACAGATGTGATATACCTAACATACAGATGTGATATAGCTCTAACATACAGGTGTGCTATAGCTCTAACATACAGATGTGACAGCTCTAACATACAGTGTACTATAGCTCTAACATACAGATGTGATATACCTAACATACAGATGTGACATAGCTCTAACATACAGATGTGCTATAGCTCTAACATACAGATGTGACATAGCTCTAACATACAGATGTGCTATAGCTCTAACATACAGATGTGCTATAGCTCTAACATACAGATGTGACAGCTCTAACATACAGATGTGCTATAGCTCTAACATACAGATGTGATATACCTAACATACAGATGTGCTATAGCTCTAACATACAGATGTGATATACCTAACATACAGATGTGATATACCTAACATACAGATGTGACAGCTCTAACATACATATGTGATCTAGCTCTAACATACAGATTTGCTATAGCTCTAACATACAGATGTGACATAGCTCTAACATACAGATGTGACATAGCTCTGACATACAGATGTGCTATAGCTCTAACATACAGATGTGATATAGCTCTAACATACAGATGTGACAGCTCTAACATACAGTGTACTATAGCTCTAACATACAGATGTGATATACATAACATACAGATGTGATATAGCTCTAACATACAGATGTGATATAGCTCTAACATACAGATGTGATATAGCTCTAACATACAGATGTGACAGCTCTAACATACAGATGTGCTATAGCTCTAACATACAGATGTGATATACCTAACATACAGATGTGATATACCTAACATACAGATGTGACATAGCTCTAACATACAGATGTGCTATAGCTCTAACATACAGATGTGATATACCTAACATACAGATGTGATATAGCTCTAACATACAGGTGTGCTATAGCTCTAACATACAGATGTGCTATAGCTCTAACATACAGATGTGATATACCTAACATACAGATATGATATACCTAACATACAGATGTGACATAGCTCTAACATACAGATGTGACATAGCTCTAACATACAGATGTGATATACCTAACATACAGATGTGATATACCTAACATACAGATGTGACATAGCTCTAACATACAGATGTGATATACCTAACATACAGATGTGACATAGCTCTAACATACAGATGTGCTATAACTCTAACATACAGATGTGATATACCTAACATACAGATGTGATATAGCTCTAACATACAGATGTGATATAACTCTAACATACAGATGTGATATACCTAACATACAGATGTGACATAGCTCTAACATACAGATGTGACAGCTCTAACATACAGATGTGATATAGCTCTAACATACAGATGTAATATAGCTCTAACATACAGATGTGACATAGCTCTAACATACAGATGTGATATACCTAACATACAGATGTGACATAGCTCTAACATACAGATGTGATCTAGCTCTAACATACAGATGTGCTATATCTCTAACATACAGATGTGCTATATCTCTAACATACAGATGTGACATAGCTCTAACATACAGATGTGATCTAGCTCTAACATACAGATGTGCTATATCTCTAACATACAGATGTGCTATATCTCTAACATACAGATGTGCTATAGCTCTAACATACAGATGTGATATACCTGGGCATGTTTTGCATCATCCAACAATCGCAAACAGTTTTCAAACATTGCCCTAGCATCAGCCATACGCCTCTGTCCAGTTCTTTTCAAATTGCTGCCCACTCGATGACACAGCAGCCCAACAGGAACTGTGAAGGGGTTGTCACCTTCCATGATTTCATTTTTACAGTAGTCTGTCAGGTCATACAGCTTGACCATGTCATCATTCTCACCTGGTGGATGGAAAATCAGCTTCAAATACTGACTAACAGTAGAAACGTTTATTTTTTTATTATGTAGTTAGGAATCTATTAATTGTATTTTGGGAATATGTTTGGGCATTGTATTGGGGGAACATACCAGAATCTAATAATAGATTTGGTCTGTGTATTGAGGAACATACCAAATCCATCTAACTCTAAACCCAAACCCTCATTAGATAGATGGTACTCTTCACTAGAGAGAAAGTACAAGTGTGCAGCTATTGGAGCCAATACTGATGTGTACTGAGTTGAGCAACTTTTAGTCAAATACATCAAGAGTAGCCTCGGTTTATTTCGGGATTTAGCAATAACAATGGCGGTGGTTTGGAGATTATGTTGAGAGGTGGAAATACAACAAGGGAATATATTTTTTAAATTAAAGACTAAATTAAAGAAAGTTTACTTTTGTAAAGCCAGTAGGTATGGCCCTCTACAGCAGCATTTCTTTTAATAAAGGACATTATATTCTGGGCGATGTCTAAAACTTCATTCGGGTCAAATTTTGAATTCTCCAGGTTAGGTATGTCTTCTGTCTTTATCACTTCATATTTCTGAAAAATTACAGGGAAATAATATAACATTAAGCACACAAAAAATGTGCAAATAAAGTTTTTAAATTAATTTTAATTACTGTGGTTGTGCTATTATTGCTGCCATGTTGTTTTGTCACCAAATTGTTTATTTTTTTAAGAAACTGAAAGCGTTTAGCCAAAATATTATTTTTCTTATCTTGTTTTTTGTAAACTTACCTTCACAAAGCCATTGACATGGTAGCACATGGCCACCTCCGGTACATTACTCATTAGATTATCAAGCCAGTAGTCCAGGCCAGTTAAAATGTTTATGGGCGGTGACCCTGCGTCTCTTAGTCTCAAGCTGATGCAGGGACGCGGGGTCTCACCGTGACCAAATATGGGCAGGTCGCTGTCAATCAACATGCTCATGTCCTCAAACTTCCACATTGTCTCATGATGGAATCCTTTCAGGTCCTTCAAAATAATTGTAACCATATCTGATACATTCAATCCCCAAATAGCTTTAATCATGCAACATTAAATTACACAAATTACTCTTATTTCCTTTACAGGAGGCCTGAATACTGATAACTAAAGCTAGATGATGTCCCTATAGTGCACATAATGATAACCAAAACTAGATGATGTTCCCTTAGAGCACATATGGTAACCAAACCTAAATGGTGTTCCCACTTACCTCTAATGTTTCTGGAATGGGCTGCATCTGTCTGGATTTGTCTTTGTGTGCTTCTAAGGCTGTGCACTTCTCATCTTCAATGCTGGCAGCATAACTAAAATATTAATTCAATATGATACACAAATCCATGCTAATTGAATCAAAACCATTTTACTAAATGTATAAACTCAAGCTGGGCACTTATTGACATTTTAAACTTACCAACTATGCATTATTCAGTAGTCTAAACTTACCAATGACGAATAAGATTCATGTACATATTCTCTGCAAATGAATCTCGTTTTGTAGTGGTACCGGTTAAAAATTTTGCCTACATGAAAATTTTAAAAATGAAATGTGATCTAGAAGCACATGAACAAAATCTTTATCAATTCTTTGCTATTTAAGACAGTCTGATTTGGTAGTTACAAGGATTTTTTTTTTTACTCTAATGTGAGACAATTTCTTTCCCATTACATATTTGAAGGCATTAAAATTAAGATAAATTGAATAGAATTACGTTCTAAAAAATGTTTTTGAAAATCAGAACATTCTATTTTTTGGCAGTTCTCTTGCTATCAAGTAATTTTAACAAAGGTTTTTTTTTAAAACTGCTATATAATATTTAGTTGAACTTGTTTATTATACCTTCTCTTGATCTTTAGTAACGACAGTATAGTAATACTTCTTTAGCCAGCTCCAGTCCTCCTGTACATAAAGCATACATATATATATATATATATATATATATATATATATATATATATATATATATATATATATATATATATATATATATATATCCTACAAAAATTTATTTATATATATATATATATATATATATACAGCCTTCATAAATAATATGTATAAATAGGCCTATATATATATATATATATATATATATATATATATATATATATATATATATATATATATATATATATATATATATATATATATATATATATATATATATATATATATATATATATATATATATATATATATATATATATATATACCTACATTTTTTAATATAGACTTTTTTAATATGTTATTTGTAGAAATGAATCAGTCAAAACAGACTAGTAGCATGAGTACACACAGCTACTCACAGCATGCATTTTTAGAAGATTTTTGTGGACATCAAATTCCTCCAACAGTAAGGTTTTTCTAAGTCTGTGAACCATAATGCTGATGTGAGGGGAGTCACTGTAGGGCATCTTTAGTAGAGCTTTGATATTCTAAACAAAAACAAAAATGGTACTTGAGAAATAATTAATAGAAAACATTTTCCTATGAGTAAACATCTGTTGAATAAAATTTACAATTAGATTATTTTTTAGTTTTCAACTTATTGTAGCGTACAAACATAAATATAAAATATTTAACATGCACTATTTTTAGTAGATGAAATACTGACTTAAACTGACTTTGTTTTAAATTTATCTTTAAACTATATTAAATTTGATTTCATCCTATCAAATATCACTGGTAAGAATATGCTTTTTTCATGAAGCTATGTAAATAAAGAAATACCTTTGATGATGAAATAACATCGACCTGTCCTACTAAATCTTGGTATGTGTCCGCCATGTTTAAACTGTGTTAAGGGAAACAGGATTGAGCTGTTAATTTAACTTAAATTTATAGACATTTCCCCCCAAAAATGAATTAAATCCTTTCAATGATGTTTTCTTTAGAAACAATACTCAGACAATATCTAAATTTGGAGCTGTATCAAAACAGGTGGCCAAATTAGTTATTTATCAAAGAAATAAAGATCCAAGAGTCTTATTTTTTTAGAAGAAGATCAAAGAGTCACAGTTTAGGGTGACAAATTATGGGAGAACACTGACTGTTATTTGAGGATGCCCTACTTATGGACAGGAAAAGGACAATACCCCCCTCCATCAATTACCCCATGTCCATTAAACACACCCCTGTCCCCCCGTCCAATTATGGATAGGATTAGGATGAAGATTAGCATTAGATTAGGGTTAGACATGTGTTAAAGCTGTTTTTGATAGTGTTGCTAACTTGGCCATATTTTTTACCCTTAACCTTACTTCATTGGGAGAAAACCTAAAGCTATTAACATTTGTTTAAAAAATCCAAAAAGCAAATTATTTTATATTTTTTACATCAAATTGTACAAACATAAAAGTGTGTAAAATACCTCAAGAATTCCGAAAACTTTTCCCTAGTTGCATGCCTCGTCCTGTCAGAAAACATATAATAACCTGAATGGTGTCTATCACTTGGTGGATGGTTGAGATCTGTGTTCTGGCGAATTTGTGAAATTTGAACCGGAAACTTAACAGAAGTGTATTTTACAACTGCTGTAGACTTAACATCTACTGATGTTCCTTGGTTTGGGACAGGCATCATTGGGCCTGAGTTCGGTATCTGTAAGAAAAACCATGTGATTTATATTTTGCTTGTTTAAAATAGCTACAAAGGCCTAAAACAAATGAGAAAATTTAATATCAACATATATAAAAATGTTATCAAAACAATGAGTTAAAACAATGTTTTTATTACAACTCTTATTATTAGCTTTTATTGTTTTGAAATTAAAATATCTTCCACACATATCTGTGAGTTATTCTTGCCTCTGTATTTTTTATGGTTATTTAATGCAAAAAAGATAATCAGAAAAATTTAACAAGTACTAGTTTATACCCGTGCTTCGCTATGACAATAGCAAGAAATTGCACTACGCTTTCATGGATGTCCACAAAGACAAAGTTGCTATACCGTTTATGTTATGCCCTTATGTAAATAAATTAATCTCCCAAAGCACCTTGTAGATCTTGTGGATTTTTTAAACCAGTGTCTGATAATAGAATCTTCTCTAAATAGGGGTGTTAAGTTATTGGTAGTTAACTAAATATACAAATGGCTTACTAATGTCTAGGCTAACCTTATCCCTAACCCAAACCGTAAGGCTCAATCTTAATTTCTAGCCATAAATCTAGTATAGATTACTAACAACCTAACATACCTATTTTGGGAAGAGTCTATTATTGGAGATTGGTATCCTCAATCATCCCATTACTAGTTTACTAGCTCCTACTATCAACTTTTTACTTCTAATCTTTAGATTTTGATCTAGACTAGTACTAAAAAAAGAAGAAAAATAAGGATTTACAGGTCTAGTGTACACTCTGTGCTGCAGAGTTATGGAGACTAAATGAGAGGGTAGAGCCACTTTGGAGGCTTTGAAAGAATATCCCTCCAATGTATCCTCAGAATAAAGTGGGACAACAAAGTCCCGAACAAGGCAATAAAACGTAGGACAGGCTTAAACGACAGTTTTTCAGAAGTATGCATGAGGAATGGTGATGGCTGGGTCATGTCCTTCGCATGAACAGAAGAAGACTCCCCAACATGGCGCTGAAGTGGACTCCGCCTGGAAAACAAAAGAGAGGAAGGCCACCGGGAACATGGAGGAGAGAGATGGAAGAAGAAGTGCAGGCTACTGGCAAGACCTGGCATGAATTGAAGTGGCTCGCCCAAAAAAGAGTTGAATGGCAGAGATTTGTTGTTGCCCTACACTGTATACTCCACAGGGAGTGACGAGGATTAAGAGAAAAAGTACTAGATAGCAGATAAATTAGATCTATTAGGCCTATAAGTTAAACTAGATAAGTTATAATTGGGAGATTCTAGAAATCTAAGTTATTCTAATCTTAATAATAATTTATAGTTAGATCTAGAATCTAGATGTAATTCTAGTTTCAGATAGCTGATAAACTATGTTAAAGTTAAACTAGATTCTTAGAAACCTAACTAATAATACTAGTAATAGTTAGCCAAACGAAATGATTTAATTAAAGTGAAGTTTAAGAAGTGAGAAGTCACTGCCACTACAAGTGTACTCAGTCGTAGTGTGTGTAGGCTAGTCTCAGACTAGTCTGTTAACAGTACAGTTAAGTATCTTATATTAAGTATTTAGTAATACGGTAATCTATCGTTTTGGGTACGTAAAATCGCCCGCGGCTATTAATGTACGAAAACGTTACCTCATTGTCAAGGCTTTAATAGAAGTTTATTTTGATATATTTGTGTCAAATATTATAGATATATGAATAATAAACCTAAATCAATGGCTAAATATATCAATATAGGCCAGAAATTAACTTTAAACAGCAGTGTTTGCGAGCAAGATTTGCTATATAAACAGCAGCCATTTGTAAAATAGAGTGACTTCCCCTGAATCCTGCGCTATAAGTTTAAAAAAAAAACTTAAACAAGATGGCTGCTATAGTAAAAATGAGCATGGTTGCATCTGTTGAAAACATCGCTAGTCTTCATTTATTACTAAAAAGTTTTGATTCAATTGTTTAAAAACAGGTACATAAATGAAACAAGAAAACATTTTTGTATTTTTCAAAATATAGATCTAAATCCTCCTCGAAATGTGAAATAATTATTAAAATTTAAGAAGTCACCTGTTTTTCACATTACTAGACTAGTCGCGGGCGATTTTACGTACCCAAAACGATAGATTAAAAAAAAAAATTTAATACCAGTAATACTAACTAATTATTACTAATTATTAATTGACTAACTATAACTGATTAACTAATGCGTACAGTGTGATTAGGGTTGTCGGTATCGGCCGAGATCGCGGTAAAAACATGACCTGAAATCGCCCATTACTTTCTGATACCGGGCGCACGAGATTTGGTTTTGCATACTAATAAGTTTTTAATTTATGGTAATTAATTAAGTTTAAAAGGTAATTTCCTAATGTTAAATGAAAAGTAGAATGGTTTTCCCATTGTTTTGATGGCTTAGCAATCTGATTGCACGCTGTCTCTGCTTTGGTCTTCCCCCTGTATGAAGGCTAGTTTCAAATACGTTGGAATCACGATTTTTTAAAAGGTTATTCTAGATGAGTGAAGATTACTGAGCAGACATATCTTATATATGTGGAAATGATATTTGTTTTTGGATATTTTGACTCTGACATTAGATATACTCGTTTAGAGGTGGTCACTGTATGTAGGTCGCGTTGCCACCATTGTTATATTTTTTCATCCCAATCTTCCGGCCTTAAGTTTGATCAACTAACAACAGCATTCTTATGGAATGTGCAAACAAATCTCCTAATTTTTTATTTCAAAATATATTTACATACCCATCTTTAGTTTTTTCAGCTCTAGTTCTAGTTTTGCAGAATATGTTTTTCCTAAAATCCAATTTTGTCACACATAAAAACATTGATCTGATAACTTCATTTGACTTATTACAAAATGGCTTTTATATGGACTCTACTTCACCTGCCCAAAATAACAAGGCAGTTATAGACACATTACAGTGTTCAAGTCATTTACTTTAGATTTCTGACTATGGAGTTCTTTCATTCACTGTATTTATATAAAATATTGCTTTAGAAACATTTTCATATTTGCGCAGCAGTTTTATAACAAAATGGCTTAAAGATGGACTCGACTTCACCTGCCCAAAATAATGAGGCAATTATATGCACATAACAGTGTTCAAGTCATTTACTTTAGATTTCTAACTTTGTAGTTCTTTCATTTGCTGTATTTATATAAAATATGGCTTTAGAAACATTTTCATATTTGCGCAGCACAGTTTTTTGGGGTTATGGGAGGAAGCTAACACATAAATTTAAGTTCTGTATTGTTTTTATTCATTTCAACAGCATTTACAAGTTCTATATATCATTCTAGTTAAACTCTGCAAATATGAACAAAATACAACTGCAAGTAAAATAACTGCTAAATTTATTCAGGTATACCATGACTTGTCACAATTGGCCAATGCAAAAGTAAGGGGATTCCACCCCTCACAAAAAAATTCGCTAAAAAAAAACTATTTGAGCTAGACAGAAAATCTTTTTTGTTTTGTTTTCATATAGTTAAGCTCTACAAGAATATGTAATTTTTATTTTTATATGATGATTAGTGTTTTTTTTACCAAAATCCCTAGTGTGATGTTATTGTAATACAGCTACCTAATGGCTATGCTATACAAAATCCTACTAGACTCTAGATCTAGATCTCTAATTGAAAATTAAAATACTAGATATCTATAGCCTAGTTAAAATAATAAAATAGCATTGGATCTGCAATTTTTTCGTTGCAAAGTCACAAACTTTACTGAAGTTTAGTTTAGTTGGTAATCTATCGTTTTAGGTACGTAAAATCGCCCGCGACTAGTAATGTGAAAAACAGGTGACTCCTTACATTTTAATAATTATTTCACATTTTGAGGAGGATTTATGTTTTGAAAAATACAAAAATGTTTCCTTGTTTCATTTATGTACCTGTTTTTAAACATTTGAATTAAAACTTTTCAGTAATAAATGAACACCGGCGATGTTTCCAACAGATGCAACCACGCTCATTTACTATAGCAGCCATCTTGTTTAAGTTTTATTTTTATAGACATATAGCGCGAGATTCAGGCGGAAGTCACTCTATTTTACAAATGGCTGCTGTTTATATAGCAAATCTTGCTTGCAGACACAGCTGTTTAAAGTTAATTTCTGGCCTATATTGATATATTTAGCCATTGATTTAGGTTTATTATTCATTTATCTATAAATATACACAAACATATCACAATATACTTCTATTACAGCCTTGACAATGAGGTAACGTTTTCTTACATTAATAGCCGCGGGCGATTTTACGTACCCAAAACGATAGATTACCTTTAGTTTACTCTTTCAGAACTTTCTGAGTCTTCAGTACTGTGATTGCTTTGCAACGAAAATTGAAATTAGTTAAACTACTAACTAGTGAACGAAAAAATAGCAGATCTATACTAGATCTATTATTCTAACTTATAGATACTAACCACAACATTAGATGTTGGATCGTTGTGTGCCATGTTCTAGAACTTCTTTAAAATTTTGATAGCACAACAACAATCATTGACAAAAGGTGGATAACTCTCAAATTTATTTTCGGAAAAATAATCGAAAACATAAAAACAGCATCTTGGCGGTGTGAATATTTTTTTTTTTTTTTGCCGGTCTTTATTTTAAACTCAAATTAATACATTTGATATCGTTAATACTAATACGTTATCATTTTACTAAGCCTAGATGTCTTACTAGATTATCTAAGCATATAGATCTAGATCTAGACATCTAGATCTAGAATATCCTTTAAAAAAAGTCTTCGATTTATGATTTAGAAAAGGCGCTAGTTTAGAAAAAGCATTTTAAATAGTCCAGAAATTAAGGCTAAATAATAAATATTTAAAAGCTAATTCTAGATCTTGAGAGAATAATTTTTAGTTTGTAATAAACGTCAAAGTATAGATTTCTACCTAAATATATTATTTTTTCAATGATATTACCAATCAAAAATGTATGCTAAGTATTAAAATTAAACACTTTATGCGGGGGGGGGGGGAGTGCTAGTCTAACACGGTATAATTTATAATTTTATTTCTGTAATCGTTGATGAATATATATTTTTTAATGATTAACATTACCATTAGGCTTATGCCCTAGATCTATATGGTTAATAATATTAATAAGTCACAAGGCCTCCTCGAGTTCATACTCATAGCCTCTAGATATATGTCTGTTTACGCCATCGCTCGCTTTCCAAAGTTAAGAAGCTATTTGGATAGGGGGTCGTCCATAAATGACGTCACACTCTAACGGGCGGGTGGGGGGAGGGTTTAAAAAGTGTGACGACAAGATTTTGCAAGTAGGCCTAGTTTGAAACTGAATTTAAGCCGTTGCTTCACGATTGTAATTTTTATTTTTAATTAGATCTAGATCTACATAGAAATCAATCTATGCCTACTCATCGTTGACCATGCTCAGTAAAGAATTCAGAAAAATGAATAATTGCTGGGGGTTTTTTTAAAGTACAGTTTTGAGTGGTGTGGTAGGCTGAGGTGTGCCGTCATTTTAGGTGTTGTGTGTCCTGGCTTTTAGTGTAGACAGGTGACTTTGATGACCCCAATGTATGTGTAAATCCAGTGCTTTATTTGCATGTTGCGATGGGTTTTTTTTTTTTTTTAAAAACGCGACTGTCGTCTTAATTTCACTTTTACTTACTGGATACTAGTTTTATGTCTGTTTTAAAATGTAAGCACTTGCATGTTAAATTATGAGGACCCTCACCACTCCCCACCCACAAACAAACGCGTCCACAAAAGTCGATTCCCCGCTTCTCCCTCGGTGTGGAAGTCGTAAATGGATGACCCCGTAATGCATTTTCCGAGGCACACGGGTATTTACTTTTAAACTGGGCATCGCAAGCTATTTTTAACACTGATATTGAATAGGAATTAACCATGCTTGGATTATTTTGCAAAAAAATATTGATTTGGTTGTTTCCCTTTGTCCATAAAACCATATCAAAACAAAGCGTACAGTTAAAAAAAAATAATAAATTAATACTCCAGGAAACGTAACTGCAAAAAAAAAAAAAAATTGTATATCACCAACACTTTTTTTTTTTACAAAGAATAACGCTCTTTTGATATTTTATAACGTGTTATGCCTAAAGAAACAATCCTATAGTGGTAGAGTTTCGTCATCTTTTTTTGTCATGATCCTGTCCGAAAGTGAGCAGATTATTCCAGGCATCTTGGTGGGGGGGGGGGCTCTGCCCACCCACCCCCACACCCCTAGCGTTTGAATGTTATCATAGCCTGTTTCCAGTGTTTCTTCCAGACTTTTTTCTCCGGGGGGGGGGGGGGGCACTTGAAATTTTCGGGGGGGAGGGGGCGGACACTGTTAAAAGTATATATTTTCTATATAAATTATATAAATTTCATTTCGTTCGGGGGGGGGGGGGGGGCTCCGAAGAGATGCCTGGAAGAAACTCTGCCTGTTTCTTTGAATTTTCTTTATTCTGAGACCGCAGTAACACGCAAGACGGGCTTGAGAGCATGTTGTGTGTCGTCAATGTTCAGTAGTACTTTCTTATATTGTTTTTATCGTTTATTTTTTACTTCAACTTCAGCCTTTGCAATTATTTGATCCGACGGTGTAAAAACCTACTAGATCTATACACTCTTACAGTTTTTCGTAAACGCGGTCATGTCCATTCGTTTATGCCTATAGCGATATTTTTCAAACAGTATTTCTGGTAGCCTACATTATCATTATGCAAAAGGCCTCGGTGCTTAGGGATGGTAGCCAAAGTTTGGGATTCCCTACACATTTAGCACTGTAAATCCCTCGTCTAAAACAACTGGCAAAATAGAAAATACCTGACCATAAACTATTGGTTACTACAGTCACGTGCGCCAAGTTGATGTTAGGCCTAGTCGTAGCAGTACAGTAGGCTAAGCTCCTAATGTCTAGGAATGGATCAAGAGATCTATCTAGTAGATCTAGATTCTAGACTCTAGATCTAGTCTACTCTTGATCTAAACTGGAGAGGCTATCTATCTAGGATTTTCTTCTGACTTGGGATAATCATTTTTTTTTAAAAGTTCGTGTGCATATTTTACTTATTCAAGCAAATAAAATTCCAAAATAAAAAAAAATGTAGGTCTAGGCCCTATTCATTCTTGCTTTCTTTAGTTATTTTCTACGAATGTTATCGAAATTGACATGTTAGTTACATACAGTAACAACTTGAATAAAACTTAGATCTAGATCTAGGAATAAAATTTAACTTAGTTAACAAACTAAAACTACTAAACCATTCATTTTTAAAATACAAATTAAATTAAACAATTAGATGTCTAGTTATTAGGCCTATTTCTATTGGTTTGATTGAACCCAAGATCTAGAATATCTATTCTAGATCTAGACTAGTCTTGGTCTAGAATATTCTAGATCTATTCTACTTTTGAGTTCTAGATATCAAGTCTACTCTAAGTCTACTTCTAGATCTAGATTTAGATTGTCGAAGTCTAGAGATCGATCTATGAAGTCAAGTACACTGGCTGTTCTCAGACTGTCTCTAGACTAGAATTCTAGGTAGTGTGTCAGTCCTCGTGTCATTGCTATAGATTTTGGAAGTCTCCCCCTGGGCGCGGACGCTCTAGTAAACGTGTTGTTCGGCGGCGGTTTAGATGATGACGTGGGTTCGGGGAAGAGAGATGTCTGGGTTGGCATTTGTGAGAGCATTGGCTCTCAATTTAATTTAAATTTTCTCATATATTCAAACTTTGAGGTAATATCCATATCCCCACCCTAGTGCAGCGCAGTAAACTCTTTAGGATACCGACACAGGTGAGCTAAAAAATTATCCGCCCCAATGCGAGGACCCAAATCCGCGCACAGCGCGTTAACTCTGAGGTAATATTCATATGCACACTGTGGCGAAGCACGGGTCTAAACTAGTTTAAGTATATTATATTACATTTGTATTATTAGTAATTAGTACTAATTTGGCCTACTATTTACTATAATCAGTTTTTCTTCCAGACTTTTTTCTCGGGGGGGGGGGGGGAGGACAACAGTGGTAAAAGTATGTTTACTAGCCTTTATAAATTCCATCTCGTTCTGGGGGAGGGGCAGTAGACTTTCTTTGGGGGTGGGGGAGGGGGTTTGAGTCCTGAGTTAAGACAACTTTCACAATAAGAATCACTGTTTTCTAACCAGCTATCACTAGGTCCCATTGGACCCAGTCTGCAGGATTAAATAGTCCACATTTTACACATCAGAATAAGAAAGTCTTGTGGTTTATAGTATAATGATTTTTAATAAACTACAGTTATTAGTAGACCTAATGTGTAGCAGGAAATGAACTGTTCAGATTTAGGATTCTTGGAGGCAAACAGGGGTGAGTCTAACTAATCTGCCTTTGTGCTTTCCCCTGATAAGCCATGTGATTTCATAACATGACATGGAGGTGAGAAGTGTTTAGGGGAAAGCAGTGGTAATTTCCTCTTTGATCTTTGGTGGACTTTGAGGGCCATAAATTACAAAAATAAACCTATTTGGTTAAGATCTAAGATCAGTAACTTGTTCCCAACAAAGGGATGACAAGTTTCATGGTAATTACATAATGGTTTTAAGAAGGTGAGGAATTTTAAGGGGAGGACAGTGGTACTGTTATTTTTTTTTAAAAACACTGGTTTATTACGAAAAAGTATTTTTATTTGATAAATGCTGGTGAATTGTTCTTTTGGGTAATAATTTATTTAACCACTATTTCTAGTAATTATGTTTTGAGGAGTTGAATTATTTTGTAATGCCAATATTAATTTTGAATTTTTGTTTTGTTCATTAAATTTTTTTATTTTACATTTTTTTTTTAAAAGATGACAGAAAACCATGCGTCTAGTGCAGATGCAGCATGGCTTGGCCTAGGTCTACAAATATGTTACAAATGTAACCTGAAAACCAATGATAATGCCTTTTTCCAAGCACACAACTGTAAATTCAAAAGGACCATAACAGCATCTAATGTTTCTCTTCAAGAAACACCTCTGATGAACACAACAAACACAGAGAGTACCCGTACCCCAATAACATCTAGTGTTTCCATTCAAGAAACATCTGTGTTCAACAAAACAAACACAGACAGTACCCGTGCCCCAATATCTTCTGTTTCTATTCCAGATACATCGACGATGAACAAAACAAACACAGACAGCACTTGCGTCCCAATAGCATCTGTTTCTACAGATACATCGGCAATGAACAAAATAAACACAGAAACTACCCAAACCCCAATAGAATCTGTTTCTGTTGAAGAAAAATCAGTGATAAAAAAAAAAAAAAAAAAAGTCAGACCTAAAAAACCACAGGTTGCACAAGTTTCTAATACTGTTATGGCAGGAATCAGATACAACTCACAATCTGAAACATACACTTGCTCTCTGTGCTGCAGGGCAGATTTTCCTGAGCATAACTTTCATAGTCACCTTGAAAAACACATTTCTGCTATGCCTTACCAATGCAAGTTTTGTTCATATACTTGTGATACTGTTTCCCTGATGGCTCAACACTTCAATGAACTTCACCCCAATAGTATTGTCTTGTTTGATTTGAGAATTACAAGTCTAACAAGTGAATTAATCAGGAAGGCAAAACAAAATCCTTTTAAAATTCAGTTTTTTAAGCCAGTCAGATACGATGTTTTCAGTGATAAAATGTTGGCAGTTCCGGTTTCACAGAACTCTAGCCCATTCGTTGCTGCAAGTTACCCTGCTGTATCTGAAGTGGCTTCTCAAAATGTTGTTTCACAAAATATACCTGGTCATTTACTTCTCAGTTCCCCACTATTAACTCAAGCGCTGGCTCCACAGGCTTGTATATCAAATCCATCATCCGGACTAACCAGCGCCATGAACATGGACTCTATGCCAGCAGCAAGTCTTTCTGGCTTTAGGAACTTTGAAGTGAGCCAACAAAGCTATCATCAAACACCAGCTGTCTACTCATATCCACATTTGAGAGTTATTAACCATCCAATCAGCATGACACAGCTCAGCAATCAAAATTCATTGGGCTATAACTTTGGATTAGTGCCATCTGCACCTACAATAACAGCTGCACATGCCAATGTTGTGGGCGGTAGCTCTAGCAATCCTGTACTGGCATCTCAGTCGGAAGAATGTGATGATGGCATTTCAAACATTGTCATCAGTTCTGTTGTTAGTTTAAGTAATGTAGAAGATTCTGATATTGCTCATGTCGAAATGAATACCACAGATTTTTCAGAATGTAACATAAGAGAAACTGAAACACAAGAACAGGAGGCAGAAATTAAACATGAAAATCAAGATAATGGAAACAATGTGAAAAACAAAACAGCCAAGTTACTTGAGAACAAAGCAAACAACTTTGATTATTTATGTATTCATAAAGGATTTTATTTGTGTTTAGATTGTAAAATGAAGTGGTGCGACGAATGTTTATTTTTTAAACATATTTGGGAAAAACATGCTCATAGTGAAGGCTTTCAATGCTGCCCATCAGGATATAGCTTGAAGTGTGAGAACTTAATCCACATTTTAAAAAAACTCTATTTACATTGCCAAGAATCTTTGTCTGAAGCTGCTAGGATACATCTCCAGTTCCCTCCCCTTAACCCTCCACAGACTGGCTCAACTAGGCCAAGTCATGTTCAGCTGGCTGCTAACACCACTGAAAGCTCTCATGTGCCTGACCTACGGCTGCCGGACCAAATTAATCAAAATACCCCCTCACCTGTGTCAACAACTGCTGTTTGCAGTAGGACTATGTCACCAGCTTATCAAAGCAGCAGATCCACAACTGACAGTCCATTTTCTAGTAATAACAGTGAAGCTTTTTTTTATCAGTGTGGTTTTCATAATTGCCTGTTTTCTAGTCTGCAACCTGTAGATCTACTTATTCACAGTGAGGAAAAACATGGCTCAGAGTTGACATTTCCCTGTTTATATTGTGGTTATCTAGGCCAAACTGGCAGTTTGTTGTTAGATCACATGAGCCAACACATTGGACTGGATGATGATAGTGTCTTTGCTTGTTCAATGCTGGAGAACTCGCTGGTTCTAGCTAACTATGCTAGGCAAGATGTTAAGCTTGTCACTGCTGGATTTGAAGAGATCATGTCTAAAAAGGCAGATATCTCGCAAATCAGATTTATATGTAACACTTGTCAAACCCAGTTTGAGAAACTTATAGATCTTAAAGAACACTTGCATAATTTCCTTCTAAAAGTTATAAAATGCAAGCATTGTAGAAGTTACTTTTTGAATTCCATTTCCTGGCAGAAGCACCAAGCACAGGAGCACCCAAATGAACCACGGTTGTACTGCATTAATAGAAAGCTGCTTTGTGATGATCGTAAAAAATACAAGGAGGATTTCAAACAAATTAGTGACAGAAGAATATTGTTTAGGAGAATGTCTAATTTTGAAAAAGATGTTGCACTAGCAAGTAATGGAGAGAGAGAAGAGCTGCCTAGTCAGCGTGCAATGGATCCATCAAATACTTGTGAAGACAAGGAAGTTCCACAATCCCTGGCAAACGTACACAATGAAAGTGCAGAATCACGTGCTGTTTCCGAACCCCCAGTCAATGAAACCTCTCGACCAGAGTGTGTTGATTCTTTGCCAGCCAATGGTATTGAACCTAAGCAACTATTTCAGCTCAAAGATGATGAACCTTGTAAAGCAGAAAATGAAGAGTCTTCTAATGCACAAAGTACGGAATCATTGCAGTCTGATGCTGGGGAACAGTTGCAACCTAGAGCTTCTAAAGCTCCAAACAACAGGCCTTCTCATGCAATGTGTAGTGAGCAATCACACCCAGATGGCAGTGAACAATATGTTCTTTCTCAATCACCTGTTTGTGAGGACACAGGACGTATTCAATCACCTAGTTGTGGGGACACAGGACGTACTGAATCACCAGTTTGTGAGGACACAGGACGTATTCAATCACCTAGTTGTGAGGACACAAGACTTCCTCAATTACCAGTTTGTGAAGACACAGCACACATTCATTCACCAGTTTGTGAGGACACAGGACCTACTGAATCACCAGTTTGCAAGGACACAGGACGTACTGAATCACCTAGTTGTGAGGACACAAGACGTACTGAATCACCAGTTTCTGAGGACACAGGACATACTGAATCACCAGTTTGTGAGGACACAGGACATACTGAATCACCAGTTTGTGAGGACACAGGACATACTGAATCACCAGTTTGTGAGGACACAGGACATACTGAATCACCTGTTTGTGAGGACACAGGACGTATTCCATCACCTAGTTGTGAGGACACAAGACGTACTGAATCACCAGTTGGTGAGGACACAGGACGTACTGAATCACCTGTTTGTGAGGACACAGGACGTACTGAATCACCTGTTTGTGAGGACACAGGACGTACTGAATCACCTGTTTGTGTGGACACAGGACAACCCCAATCTTCTGTTTTTGAGGACACAAGATGTCTTCAATCACCTGTATGTGAAGACTCAGGACTTTCCCAATCACCTGCTTGTGAGGACAGAGGACTTGCTCAGCCTCACAGATCTGACCACCACAGCCTAGTCCAAGACACATTTGACAGCTTGGATCATACTGAACAACATGACATGTTCAAATCTGAACTTAGTGTTTCAACACCTAACTCAAATTTAGCTTTGTTGGAAAGTGAAACCTCTATTTCCATGAAAGAAGTTTCTCCTTCGGTTGCTAATGCTTCTGTTGCACATGAGAAATTTAACTCTACTGAAAACAAATCTCATACGAGTTGTAGAACTGATTTACTAAAGAATCCAGCAGACATTGCAGTAGAAGCCGAGAGCAGTCCTATAAACAATAGTCAAACCTTTAATACTGTTACACACATCTCATCTACGGGCTCTGCCACTATCAAAGACTTGCATGAAAATGTTATGACTAACTGTGCTGAAAAGTTTCCACAATTAGAAGACAACAATCTCACAGAACTCTGCCATGATGTTAGTGAGAACACACTTTTACCCAGAGAAACCAGCAGTCAACATAATGACACACATGCCACAAACACATCAACTCCCATCTACAAGAAATTGCTTCACGTGCTGGATAATCCCAAGCTGTGCCCACTACTGGAGCCTCTGTATGATAAATCTGTGGCATCATATACTTGTAAGAAGTGCCAGAAACATTTCAACCAGTTGAAAAGGATCCACAGCCATGTCTTCCTCTGTCTGGGAAAGATGGGCGTAACATTTTGTCCTGTTTGCTTGTTCCAGGGAGAAAACATGTCCCTAACTGTCAAACATAAAGAAAAGGCTCACCCTGATGAAAACAGCAAATTCATTGGGTATCGCAATATTAAAATTGCTGAACTGATAGAAAAGCTGAGCTCAAACACAGTTACCACAGAAACATTTGTAGATCTTTGTGCGCCATTTCTCCTCTCAGATCAGACTCTTTTAAGTGGTAGAGGATCAAATTTACAAGCAGATCCAACCTCACAGCTTCTGAATCAAGGACCTTCCACTCCAACCAACAGTCAAGAACCTCCTACTCTAACAACCCACAGCCAAGAATCTTTCTCTTCCACTCCTAGTAAAGCTTTGAATCAAGAATCAACACCACCTGCCAGCCATTCAGCTTTTGTATACGACAGTGTCACTTCTGAGGAAAAAAAGGTTCATACTCATGAAAAAGACGTTAAAACTAGTACTAGTCAAGTAGAACAGCCATATTCATCCACTGGAAAGCACAAAGTTGTTGCTTTGCATTCTAATAATCTGAAAGAAAAGCCAGTTGACGGTATTGTTGATGCAACACCAGTTTCAACAAATAATAAAAGAAGTTCTGAAACAGAGGCAAGTGAAAAAATAGTAACTAAAAAAAGAAAGAAGTCCCCGCCAGGTGAAAAAAACTCAATAACTTGTCATTCTGTAGAGAATGCCACCAACCAATCAAATCCAGCAGACAGCATTAGTCTATATGAAAAAGTAAGCACAGCTAAGTCCTACACCTGCACCCACCCTAAATGTGGTTTTATCACTACGTGGGATGAAGCTGCCATGTTGTTGCATTGGGAAAAAACTCATCTTCATCTTCAGTGTGGCTACTGTAAGGCAGTCTATTTTAATAAATTACATTTAGATAATCATTTAAAGTTTGTTCATAGAGGAATGGAACCCAAGGTGTTGCATTTTTTGGAACTTAAATTTATGTTTAAAGAGATTAGTGATAGCTCAGATGAGAGTGATGTAGTGGAAGATGATCCTGTTGAAAGTATTGTTGAGGATATTGACATACCAAAGCAAGAAGTTTCAGATGAAGAATATCCCAATCACTCCCAGGCTAAGTATAGAAAGTGTAGCTCTTCATCTGATGCTGTTAAGCCATCACTTTCAGAAGAAGTAACACAAATATGTGGAGCAGTGAATTCAAATAATACTAGTATGCCAACTAAGTTAAAGGAGAGTAAAAAAGAGAAAAATGGAAGTGATAAGTCACCAAATGTTTTCAATAGTTCAAACAAAAATCAAACCTCTGTATGTGCACAGAGGATCAGAAAATTTTATAAAAAAAGAAACATATCACAACACACAAATAACCTGAATGAGGATGACAAATTTAGTCCATCAGAAATGGTCACCACACATATGTTCTCTTACCCTGAAGAGACTTCAGATACAGATTTCATCAACCAAGACATAACTATAGCGGATGCACCTGTGGCTTCTGCTTCTGTTGGAGTGAGCAGTCCTCCAAAATGTCATTTTTCTCGCAGTGGACAGTTGTTACCAGTATCACATGGAACTAGTAAAACTGATGCAGTGCAATCTTCTTTGCCAGTATTAAATGACAAAACTAGGATTAAAGGTGAAGGTAAATCTTCTTTACGATTGCCAGATGTCGTTACTAGTAGCTATGATGCAATGCTATTATCAGATGCCGCTGCTAGAAAAATTGATGCAATAGCAACTCATCCTTCTTCATCTTTATCAGATGGTACTTCTGGTAAAAATGGCGCTACTCATCCTTTGTCTTTATCAAATGCGAATGTTGATAAAACAACTCATCCTTCGTCTTTATCAGATGCGACTGTTGATAAACAGACTCGTCCTTCTTCGCCTTTATCAGCTGCTACTGCAGGTTTAAATACTGCAACTCGTCCTTCGTCTTTATCAGATCTCACTTCTGGTAAAAATGCCGCAACTCATCCTTCATCTTTATCAGATGTCACTGTTAGTAAAAATGCCGCAATTCATTCTTCATCTTTATCTGATGCTACTGCAGGTAAAAATGCCGCAATTCATTCTTCATCTTTATCTGATGCTACTGCAGGTAAAAATGGCGCAACTCATCCTTCATCTTTATCTGATGCTACTGCAGGTAAAAATGGCGCAACTCATCCTTCATCTTTATCAGATGCCACTACTAGTAAAAATGATGTGAAAACTGTTACAGCCCCTACTGTTAAACGCAAAAAACCAAGCACTAGTAGTTTTCCCTTCAAGTGTTGGATGTGTATAGGTGTATACATGAAATCCGTGAAAGACATGGAGGATCATTTTAAATGGATTCACCAAAAAGAACAAGCCAAGTTTATTGATAGGAGGTGTGGTCTTTTATTTTCTTGTGATGGAGAGCTACAAGGTGGTGACAATGACAGTCTTTTGTTTTCAGAGACTCATTTATGTAAATATTGCCCTTTGAGAAGTGGAAGCAGGTTGGTACATATTTTAACAACTGTGTTTTTATTGTTTGATAATTCTCCAAATAAATTTTTGTCTACTTCATTAGCTTAAAACTTTTTATTTTTGTACCAATCTAACAAAGGCTAATGTCAAGATTTGTGTGTAAAGAGAATGCGTCCTTGTGCCATAATGTAATTACAACAATTTCCCTCTCAGATCTGATGTTGAAGCCCATATAAGAATTGAACATCCACTATGCAGCCTGGTAGTTATTTCGTTAAAGAATCCTGCTTTAAGATTAGTGAACACAGATAGCGCTGAAACATCTGAGAATGTTGCTGTTAAAGGTAATAAATTTGAAGATCCTCTACATCTCTAAATAATTGCTGTAATACCTGTATTGATTAATCTGCTCAAGTATTTTTTTCTATTTCTAAACAGTGCAGTATAAAATTTTTACAAATGTATTATGATGGTAAAGTAATTTAATGTTCACTCATTTCTTACATAATAAAACTAATACATCAGTGTACTAAGATTTTAAGCAGTATATCTTCTAAACAAAAGACTAAGTCTAACAGAGATTCACCGATAAGAAATTACTGCTCTACTTTCAACTTAATAATTTGGACCTATACACTACCCACAGAATTTTTACAGGCTTGGTAAAAAAAAAAAAGATTTTTTTTTTTTTGCAGTAGCAGCAGCAGCAAAATCAATTTTATCATTTTATGACTGCAACATCTGTGGAGAAGTATTGAACAGCGAGTTTTTCTTTCGACTTCATCTTGCTAAACATGAGTGTTTCAAGCATTTAACTGTACTGAACTCAACTGATGGGCTGCTTGTATGTCCCACGTGTGCCTACATTGCCAGCAGCAACAGTGATATGGCACAGCATACAGGAACACATTTAGATGAGAGGCGCTACAAGTGCTCACACTGTAACACAGACAGCCATCAGAGATGTGGGATCAATGCTCACATCAAAAAGTGTCATCCAGGCGATGACAAGGTTACGGTTATAGATAGGAACAAACAGATTAATTTCTTACGGTTGAAGCCCACTTTGGTCAATTTAGACCCTAAAGTTAAACTAGTCAATCCATTTCGACAACATCCTAACTACCTGATGAATTTATTGGTTGAAAATGGTATTAAAGTTCTTGATGTCTCTGTCGATATTTGTACAACCATACTAGCTAACAATAATGATGAGAAGTATTTCTGTGTTAAACCAATTAACTAAAACAAGTGGAATTAAGAGACTAATGTGTTCAAAAACATTATGCATTTACATAATTTAATGGGGCATTTCACTATTTCAATCTAAAGATTCTTAGATGGTTTTTATTAGCTCTGTTCTATTTCTTAAGGCAAATTTTTTACTATTTTCTATTGTAACTTTTATTTAACACAAGTTGTTTTTAAAATGCTTGGTAAATTCTATATGTTGTTTCTACCTAACAAAAAACAGCTGATAAGGTATTTTAGTATCACAATGCTGTGCACAAAATGTTCAACGTTAAAAAAAAATATTTTTGTGTGAATTAAACCTTTTAAAGTTTCATACTGGTATTTTAGTGGAGATGCTTTATTGGCCAAAGTTCATGTTTCAACCAGTAAAAATGTTAGGGATTTTATATTTTAATTGTTGAAGTTACACTAGAATAGGTTGATGGGCATGAACTTTTTTAGCTCATATTTATGTTTTTAAATGTCATTTGTCAATTATTTACTACCAAATTAATATGTTGAAAGTGTGTTCAAGTTTTGAAGTATTCTTATTTATTATTGTACTTGCTAAAAGCTGGAAATAGTTGATATTCTCTGATTTCAATTTTTTTTAAAAGTTTTCTTTGAAGAATTTGCTAAGTCCTGTTGCATTTTCCTAGTGACTACCTAAAATTGTTTAGTAAATTAGATATACGTTCTTTTAATACTCTTGTGAAATTATTTATCAGGAAAGTGTTTTACTGATCTATTTTATCACAGCAAGCAGTTTATGAAAATTGAAACCTTTTTGTGAACCATTAATTAATGTGTAAATTATTATAGCTTTATAAACACATCATTTACTTTTTAAATTTTACTGTACAAATATTGGTGTAACAAGAGGGAGTGGTTTATCCAGGGTCCCCCTTTTTCTTTTATGTGTGTGGGAGGTGACAAAATCCAGATGCCATTCCTGTGTTCATGCAAACAGGCAGCAAAATAGTACAGAAGAGAAGGGGCATATGTGTGCACTAAGTCTGTCCATTAATGATGTGACATTATTTAAAACAATTTTTGCTCTCCCCCTCCCTATTGTTAGACCACTAAACATGTCACATGTAACAGCCTCCCCAGCCTGCATTGTAACTTTTGTGTTTAGAAACAGCAATGTTTTTCTGAAATATTTTGTGCTGGGTACAAAATCGGTATAAAAATCAAGTTATTATAATTTACAATTAAAAATCGTAAATAACCTAAAAATTCAGTCTGAAAAGTAAGTTTTGCTGTTTAAAAGTGTGAACCCCCCCCCCCCCCCCCCCCCTTACATTTCACAAGTAAAAAAAACTCCCATCACCTGTGTGTGATGTCATTTATAGACAACACCCTACCTAATTGTTCTAGGCCCACATTGGATTTGATTTTAAGTTTGTTTTTGGTTATTTATTTGTCCTCTAACACCGCTCACTACTGGTGAGTCAAAAAATTTTAGTAATTTTTCAAATGGTTAGCCTTTTTTGATGAGATCAATGGTTGAGTAGAGTTGGGATATCAAACACATTATTGGAGGAAAAATTCTCTTACCATCATAAAACTCATGCAGTTCTATATTAATAAATAATAGGTCATTCTCAGCACTAAAAATGTATCTGAAAAGTCTCCATATCCAAATATGCGAACCTTTCTTTGTAATTAGTCCTTCATTTGATAAAATGTGTTGATAATTCTTAAGGGGAAATTTAAATTTCTTTTGCTTGATGTTAATTATTTTACAATTAAATGACTTTCCTAAGTAACTTAAAGTACAAATGGTTTATTCCCAATGGTTTTATTTTCCACATAATAAATCAAAGATTTAAATAAAATATGTTCTTTGTTTAAATGTGCTTGGTGGTTGTTTTTTATGAGTAAACCGTTAGATCAATTAATATATCCCCACTTTAATTTCACACCACATTTATTTGATTAAAATTTGAACAATTTATCAGGACATTACTAAAGTTTATTTCTTAGCAACAAAACAAATTTTTAAAAGTAAATTGCAAGTAAGAAAGAGTGCAGGGAACAAAATTTCTTTATCTAGTTTATGCAGACTGAAGTAAAATGAGGTTTATCCAACTTGAGACAACCTTTCACAGAACAACTTAATGGTTAAGTTTAACAGAGCTCAATTGTCTTTAAATATTTTGTAAAGAAAATAATGTTAATATTGTCAAATTCAGCAATGGCACATACGGCATGCAGTATTAGTTAAAAAATTTATTAATCTCGAAATTACAAAAGTTATAAGCCTGAAGCATTTAAAAAAATAACTTAAAAATAGCTACTAGCATGTACTAACAAAACTAAGCAGTGAGTAATTATACATGGAGTATTTTAAAAAGCATGCTCATTTATACTTAGCACCACCACCACTAACAACTTTTCAACTACTAAATGCATGGATGATACAGCCTCCTCCTTCAAGATAATCTACACTGATAAGAATTTATGATTGAAGTTATCACTGTAGTACTTGCAATATGCAGGTTGTGAGTAAAAATATAATTGCACTTGAATGATCATGGGTTTTTTTTATTCAGTCATCGGTACTTCATTTTAACTGAAGTATAGGCTACTCAGGCAACATTATAGATCCATGTAAACTTGATGCTTACTTTTGAGAAGTTCATTCAGCTTTAAAATTGTTCATTTAGACAAAGAGAATTGAACATGTAGCTAACAAAGACAAATGTATGCAGTAGCAAATATACATTATATTTATGTGACATTTTCATCTGTAGATCTCATTTTATATACACAATCAGCAGAATATGGGGTCTTAAAATTAAGTCATGGTTAATAAAGACAAACAAAAAATCAAAATGTCTAGGAAACTTGAACAATAAAAATATGAATGTAATCCAACTAAACAATAATATAGTGCAAAAGTCACCTAATTTAATAAATCATAAATATGTTCCACATAGCAATTAAAAAACTACAATGGACAATAGATGACCTGGTTAACAGAAAGAGAATAGGGTATTATTTCCTTTAACTTAAAAAGACATTTTTGTTTTATTTCTTAAAGGGGGGAAGAGCCAAGACAGGTTGATTTCACAAAAATGTTTTGTTGTTTCCCTTTGCAAAATTTTTTTTTTTTTTACAATTTCTACTGTTGGTTGACTTATCAGCAAAAAAAACCTTATTAATCCGTCACTATTAGACCATTTTAGGGTCAAATTAAGATTAATCTATCAAACTCATAACCATTAATGAAAAAGTATTTACAAAATGTTAAATAACCGCTAAAACTCATGTTTTAAAACATTTCAAATGCAACAAGTCTGATATCACACTTTCTTGGCCCACTCCCTCCACCTAGTAATGTAACATTATTTATGGATGAACCTTTGACCTTAAAACAATAGGCAAAAAAAATCTTTTCTTTTATACATAGCAATTTTTTGAAGCATTTAGATAAAAATGATCATTATGCTATTGCATTTAAATGGTAAAAATAATTTACAATAATAATAGTAAATTAAATTCAAGTTAATTAAGTTTAATTGAAAAAGGAGACCTTATTAATCAAAATAATGTAAAAACTAAAACACTGAGAAAATATTTTTAAAATTCTTTGTGAACTATTGCAATGTAGAATTTATTAAAAAATACTCATCTTTTGAATGAAAAGTTTAAAAATGATTTATTATTGAATAGCAACCTCTTAGCAAATTAAAAAGCATCTTAAAATTTTGTTCAGATTTGTCAAATTGTATTTTTAAACATCTTTTTTAACTGTACACTGCAACTAAACACTTGCAGATTTTGCAAATAGTATTGGATGGAATAATACTAAAATAAAAGAGTAGAGATTCTTACAGTAGAAAAACATTACTGCACTTGAAAAAATATACATTAGCTTATTTAGTAAAGCACACAATGGGTGAATAACTATTCCTACCTGTTTTATAAAGAAAAAATCATGAGCACCTGAATTATTTTATCCAAAGGGTGATGGTGGAGACAAGGCTTTAATAAATATATATATAAATATATATGCTCTCAGAAGTTGTTTTTTTTATATGCACACATGTATACAATCCTAATAGTAATGACAGAGTGAAATAAATAACTATTGTACTTATGTGAAATGAGTTCCAAAGTTTAAGAATTTATCAACCTGAACACATAGTACACACTGTTTTTAAAGACAAGCTTAAAAAGTGAGCTGTCAGTATTCTTCTTCAGCCTAAGGCAGGCTGCTTGTTTTCCATGGTTTGCCACATCTTCTATGTCCCAAATTTCTGGCATTGAACACCCGTCTCTGGAAGTATAAACCAAACAAGTCTATGATTTATTAGAGTGCTGGTGCTACATACTGTACATATTTTTAAAAATTAATTCTATTATGGATTTACTGATGTTCCTGGAATATTAAGCCCTCCCTACCCCTGATTCTACTTAGTAAACTATCTTACACCACTTACAGAGAGCAACCTCCTTAATTCTATGATTTATTCAAACAACTACGCTGTAGACTTTAAAACTATTGCTATTTTTTCAGTGAAATAAGGTGGCAACATCAATCCAGCCAAATTAAAACTAGAAATTGCTATTTTCTGGAAACGAGAAGGAATTACAAAGCATTTTCTTATAAAAAACAGAGCTCAACAGATGAAGTGAATCCATTCTTACCGTAACCTTTGTGAACACCATGAATCCTCCAATATAACATATTGGACTCCAAGTTTGTCTAGATTACTTTTAACTTCAACGAGAGGCTTACGACTATATATGCTATAAACTAGTTTTGTTCTTTCCCTGGAATTAATAATAAACTTGTTAATTTGACAAATATATCTGTATAACAAACAACCATTATGACACAATTTCTCTTAATTAATTTAAATAACTTATTATCTGATTATGTTAACACTTTTATAATAATTTAAAAATTATATAAATTGTTATACAAAAGTTCAATAGTAGTAGATGTTTTGCTTGAAACTTGCAGATGAAATAGGAGTTAATTTTGCCCTGAGAGACATTGTATGAGCCCAGAGAGATGAAATTCTATCTAGTGTACATAATTGGGCATTAGATGAAGAGAGAAGAGATCATGAGTTGCCAATGCATCATGATCCCTCTCTCAACTTCGTGGGTATAGTCCATAGGAATGCTAAGCATTAGGTCTGGTACAAACTCAGTAGCATATGCTGCTCCAGCAAACAAATCTCCATCTGCATGTGCCCAAACTCAGTTTCAGGATAACATGCAAGCCCTCCCCCACCTAAGCATGCAGAGCATATAAAATAATTGTGTTACCTTAAACCAGCATCCTCATAATGTGGGTGATTGACAATAGGACGGTGAGTACATAGCTTGACAGTAGCCATTGTTGGCATGGCTCCAGCAAACACAGCATCTGAAAAAAATATGGAAAATGTAAGGATTTTTCTGTTATTTTCTATGTGCAGTTATAAAAACATATTTTTACTGGAATTTGATTTTAAAAAATTAGATGTGGAGCTGGAGCAATCAGATACTAAGCTATTTAAAAAAAAGTTAGCCATATTTTATTAAGACACCTAAAAATATAATGATTACTTTTTCTTTATTTTCCTTATTAAACAAGTAACTGCCCCAATGTAAAAAAAATTATAGTCATGAATTAAAATGACTAGCTTATGAAGTATTAAATTATCTACCCCTCACCCAGAAACAAGAGTGTCAAATTAATGGCGATAAAGTGATAAACAATTGTTAATAAAATGTTTGAATAGGATGTTACCTTTATCTGTTTTAGAATTAATCCATTCAACCAGCTCCTCTTGTGGAATGTTACTGAACTCACCAACTCTACCTAGTTGTACCTTGACATTACTGATACCATACAAAGCCATACAGGCTACCAGTGCTGCGAGAACAGCAATGTGATTTTCTTTCTTTAGCCAAGGAAAGACCTGTATCCAAGAGATTTCATTTTAATAACAATTGGTCAAAGGCTATTTTAGTTTTTGTGACAAGGACTAGTCATTTAAACTTAGATGGCACACTTTAAAATTTTTAAACTGAATTTTAGCAACTAGCTTACATTTTAAAAAGTATTTTTTGAAAAAATTAGTAGTACAATCAATCCAAACACCTAGACCTAATGGTATCCCAGGTTTGCTTAAATTTTCAGCATTTAAATTGTAATAAGCTGTTATACTAGCAAACAACACTGGGGGAGTGGGAAGGTGGTGCAATTTATGTATGACACTAAGGTTAATTGAGATGAAAAAGAAAATATTCTACTGTAAAAAAAAAAATAAGATATTTACTTATAAGCTGTAAAATTGTCATCTAGCCTTTCAGTCATACATAAAAAAATAGTTCTTGTGGTCTTGGTTTGAACAAATTTAATACCAAACATCCCATTTGGCTTTTACTTAGGTAAACCTTTATGGATAAAACTTTTTTGGCAAAAATTAAATGCTAATACATTCTCAAATTGTGATAACATTACCTTTCTGGAAGCTAGTAATGATGAAAATAAACAAAGATGAGGAGTCCAAAACAGCTTGAGACGCATGACAAGAATAGCCACTGCAGTAAAAGCTATCAGTTGGAGTGAATGATACAATAACTGTAAATAAAAAAGTATATGCATAAAAGTATAACTGAGTAATCCTACACAAGTACTATTCTAAAACTTCAGCGGTGTTTTAAAACATATTTAAATTTACTAAGTAATTATTTAAAGGCCATTGTTGGCTACATTTGAAGTGATAGAAGTGGAGAAAGCTTACTTCTGCATCATACTTAGAAATATGCCTGAAAGAAAAAATAAATAAAATATATTGAATTAAGCAAAACAACAGTTGAAATTCAAATTGCTTTTCTAGTAAACCATTTTTTTTAAATTTAAATTTGAATTGGCTTCTTAAATTAAACAAACAATTAAATTTCTAGGTCTATAAGAACTACCTGCTGTAGGCCAATGATGCTTCAGCCTTTGTGTCTTTATTATTTAAGACTACATTTGTGCCTTTTATTTCTGCTCTCAAAATCTGATGGAGGATTTTTAAAGTTAGGTTATTTTTTATTTTTAAAAAATAAATTCATTATTCACTATCTAAAAGACCATCAGAATTATAGTTTAATTTATCCAATTAGACCACATTATTGTAATTTAGATCCTTAAAAAAATTGCATTAATGACATACATTTAAATTAAAGGCTCAGGTATGATAGAATTAAAGAAAAATGGTTAAAACTTACATGAAAAGCAACTACAATTTGCGCAACTAAAGCACTGGGAAGAAGCAATGTCATCGACAGTTTCCAAATTGTCTTAAATAGAAGTTAATAAAACATTTTAATGAACCTTTTCTAATACTAGTACTTAAAAAATGGTTGTATTTTAGTCCTTTGCAACTTAAGTACTTAGTTGTAAGTTTATCATTACTTACCTCTGTTTCAATAAAATCAAACTCTTTGGCACAGGTGTACAACATGGTGTGAAAGTTTTGAAAATTTGTAAATTTACTTTTAAAGATGTCTGCAATATGTGCCTGACAAAAAAAAGGTAGGTTGATAACTTAATAACTTGTACACAATGCCTTACAACAGAAATTAAAAGCACAACAAACTATTTCTTTACACATATACTCCTTGCGCCAGATTTAACAACAGGGTATTTAACTAATTTTACAATGATGAACACAGAAATTCACAGTGAGAGCTAAAACCAGCTGTCAGTAATTTAAGTATGTAGTCAGAATTTGTTAAAAAAAGAAAAACATTTTACAATTAAAAGTCTTCATACATATGCTACAAGTAAAAACATTTACTTATTTATTTAATAGCATTATCTCATTTAACATTTTCAATTATATTTTTAAGTTCAGTAAAAAAAAATTGTAGCTGATCTTTGTTACTTCACCATCACAATAGCGTAAAAATGTATTTTTAGAAATCTTACATCATCCTCGAGCTGAAATAACTTTCCAATGACAAACTTTGAAGATAGAGTGACCATAATGAAAGTAATGCCTTGAGATAACTGAAAGAAGCAAATTTATTAAGTATGCATTAATAAATTGATAACTATAATAAAAATTCAGAGTTATAAAACCAGTTACATCTTTATATAACAGATGTATCCCTATTTTATAATAAAAACTTGAATTATATGAGAAATTCACTTGAGTACAGTATGAAATATAAATGCTCAGTTTGCTTTACTAATTGTTACAAAGAAATGTTCCATACATACCAAAACTAAAAATCGATATTTTAATCCTTTATAAAACTGTTCAAAAAATAGAAGCCCCTAAAAAGAAAATGTGCATATAAGTGAAACTGGAATTTACAAAATGGGACATTTTGTTACACAAACAAATAAGCAAACAAAAAGAAAGGTTTTCACTTACCCAAGCAGCAATAATACTACAAGAGAAGAATGATGTGAGAAGCATTTCATTACCAAAAAGCAACAGATAGCTTAGCACAAGTCCAATCTAAAGATAAAATAAGAATGCAAAAATAAGGAAAAATTAATAAAACTGGGTTGTTGTTTTTTTTACTTTATTAATAAAGTAAACAAAAACATAAATACAAAGTAATCTCAATACATAATAAGTATCAATATATATATCAAAGTATCAATGATATATCAAACATAAATTTCTGGACAACTAGTGTGAAAAAGATTACAATTAAATATTACTATTCTGTACTGGCTAAACAAGTGTTCACTATGTTATACTTACAGTTTGACCACGCAGAAAAGCTTTATAGATGTCTGCAGAGATAAACTGAAGCACATACAGAGTGAGTACTGCAAGTGTTTGGGTTAAAAGAGCAAACTGGGCAAACTGAAAAATTAAATTTTTAAAAATTATTACTAACTGCAACAAAAATGTGTCATTAAAAACATTTGAAGTCTGTATTGTTTTAACAGAGGTAGCATAGAAGTCAGAAATTAGAATGCATTGCATTTGAAATTTTTTATTAAGAATTTCAATGAACCCATTTCAGTCCCATGCACCCAAATGTGCCTGAGGTTTTTCTTATGTGGGTATGCAAGATATTATTTTTACTTATTTGTAAATTTTAATGCTATTTAGCCTTAAACATAATAAACTACGGCTGTTTTTTAAGATAGTGCTTTTTGTTTGAATTTTTTTTAAGTGGATATTTTAAAATAAAGTGTTATGGTTGATAAATGCATTGTCATTTTTTTTTCCATACAGGAAATAACGTTTTTATGCCCATAATGTAAATGGTTAAAATATATAATGTTGAAAATTCTGTAGGCTTGATAATCAACCAGCTTAAATAAAAAGTGAATTTTCTTTTTGTAATGACTTACCTGCCAAGAGAGCATGAAACATACTTGAGACCATGCAATGAGTAAAGAGTATTCCATAGTAGACTTTCGACTCCTGGTTAAAAAAATATGATACAGTGTTATGTCATTATCACTGTTTAGATAGTTGGTGTACTTTCTTCAGTATAAAGGTTACCTGAGTACATAGGTTACGACAAACATTTGAAGAACAAACAGTGGGTAGCCAAAACTTTCTCTTAGCGGAGGTGTCCACATCACTCTTGTTGCCTGAAAACATTTTACACTATACTATTAAATTGCTGTAAAAATGCTGGCTGGACAATAAAGTGTTGTGTCAATTTTTTTTTCTATCTGTGTCTGTTTGGGTCAGGGTTAGCATCAATGTCAAGGTTAGAGTTAAGTAGCAACACAAGCAAAGTGAGGATGGCTTGGTAAGCAGAAGACCAATAGTTCTGTTTTGGGACTTGAGGCCACCAAGCTCTGTGGGCACCTGAATCAAGTTGAGGAAAACTGACCAGAGTTTATCACACAATCCCTTCAAATACTGAGCCCACAGAAACAGGTGAGCTCAGCTTCATCAGCTCTGTCATCAGGTCAGAAATGATGATTACAATTACATGCAAAAAATAGATTCAGATATGATCCACCAACCCATTTGTAAGTACAAAAAGAAACTACCATCAAGCTAAAGATAACCATGGTCAAAAGAGTTAAGACAAATTGCTTCTAAGATATAAAATTTTTGAAAGTTGTTTGAAAAGTACAGCATATAAATAGAAATGAAAACCTAAGTAAGAAATTGTCTCCATTTTTTTTAATCTGTTGCTTACTCTGATAGATTACAATTTCACAGAAAGTTAAATAGTCCTACAGCTAAAAGCTGTCCAGGCATACTGAAAATCTACTTAAACTTTCCAAGATAATGTAAGTGAGAAAATGGAACATTATACTTTATAGTTCTTAAAGCTTTCATAAACCAAAAATTACCTCTCCATGATTGAATAAGAAGCAAATAACTGTTATCAGTCCTCCAAATATACTTCCACTGTTAACATAAAAAAAATAAATAAAGAAAACAAAATTGAATGGCTAAATAAATACATTACACTTAACAACAATTTATATATACAAAGTTATTTTTAGACAACTTTAGTTGATCATTTAAAATAAAACTAACACTCATTACCAACCTTAAATATGTTCCAAAAAGAAAAAATGTACCCATCATAAAACCATTTAACAGAAAAACGGCCTCTATGTAGAAATAAGATGGTTCACCTAGACCTGTATGAATTAAATAGTAAAACTTGTAAAGAAATACTGATATAAGTACATCTTTAAAAATACCAGAAGATATTTCATATACTATAATTAATTTTAAAGAACTTAACAATACTAAATATACAGTTGACATTTTGAATTAATGGTATATTAAAAACAAAAATCAACTTGGTTTCATATAAAGGAGATTTTTTTCCTATTGTAAACTTGTTTCTAAGTTTGGCAGCCACTTTCAGGTCATCTTTATAACAAGAAATTCAGCTTTCAATCTATTTATAATCTAAAATGAAGGAGTGAATTATTTTAACCATACCTTCACAACTTTGGACAGGGCTAAGATTATCACCTCGGTTGACAGTCCAACATGTCTTAGTATGATGACCAAAAAAGTCACTTGTAGTTTGAAAAATCCTATAACCAAGACCTAGTATTACCTGCAAAATTTAAGGTTAAAACATTTTAAAATATGTGTGAACAAAATTAATAATAAAAAACTTACAAAGAACATTTATAGTAAATTATTAGTACTGATTTTTAAAATACAAAAGCAAAATGTATTTTAGGCATTATAAAAGTGGTAAAAATTTAACTGATTTCAAGTTTTTCAAGATATAATTACCTCTGGATAGAGATTAAAACGCTTCAATGTGTTGATTGTTGATGGATATTCAGTAATGTTATCTCTCATAATTTGATAGACACCATTAAAAAATGTCTCTGCATCAATAATAGTTTTAAAATAGGAGAAGTACAAGCCCTAGAATAGAGAAATGTGTAAAGAGTAAAGAAATGGGTTATAATCCTAGTATACATAATCAACCAACTTCATAAAAAATTCTAGTCTAATATCACATTTTAAAGGGGGTTTATCTTTCCAGCTTACACATTGATGAACACTAGCATAACATACATACATAATTTTTAACTGATTCTTAACAAAAGCATAGTTAAAATATAAAGAAATCTAAAAACAATTTGTCAATTTATTAAGCATCTTAAAAATTTCAATAATTACATACCCTAAAAACTCAATAAAATCAACTAAAGAGGTAAAATATTTTACCATTTCAGTCCTAAAAGATAACTCTCGCTCAAGACTCGATAGGTGAGAAAAATGTCTGTCATTTTCAAATAATGTAGATAGAAATGTTCTGGAAATATTTTAAAATAATTAAGAATATCTGTATTAAAATACATTTTATTTTCCCACAAAACATTTTTTTAACTCAACGCTTGCGGACCCCCTACCCCCCCTTTTTTTTTAAATGTATAGTCACAGGAAGCAGTAAAATAAACAACTTGGGAGATAGTAAAAAAATGAAAACAATGAATGACACTTGTTTTGAATCACTGGCAATAACAGTGGCAGACCTATGAATAGTTCAGTGAATATGGGTCAGGCAACATGCAAGTTAAACTGCTGAATGTTTTATACTTTAAAATATGCCTGTCTTTCTTCCCCTTATCTGCTAGCTTATATTTAACTTTTTATAGAACAGACCCTTGTAAATCTTAAGGTTATATAATCCAGACAAACCCAGCTGGTTCCCTTTAGTTGCATTTTATCAATAAAATGATTTTTACCTCCATCCCCTCCCCCACCATACTCAGTGCACCAGATGTTCCAAAATCTCCAAGTGTACATGTTTCAACTTAAGGCTAGAAAAGTAGCTACACTAAGCCCTTGTCTTTGTGTAATTATTTTTAAAAGTGTTCCCCTGACTTAAGTAAATAGAAAGCTTACTAAGCAAATGTCAGTCAAAGCCAATCCCCCTTCTCATGAAACAAACCTTAATTGTAAAACTTGTCATGGGAGGGACAGGTAAAGGTCAATGACAGGGTTGTTGTTTTTTTACCACATTCCAAATGTGGGCCCAATGATGAGCACATAAATTGTGTATCACTCTAGTTAATTAGCAAAATACTTTTTAAAGATTCTGTACTAACCTATGGCTTATGCTGATGGTGCCAGCTGAAAAATAATGTTGATAATGCATGTTAAACAGTTTTAATAAATGATCCGCAAATAAAGTAGCTAAAGCAAAGCTTTTAATTTTAGTAGCAGTTTAATCTTGATTGTAATTGCAATTCATGTTTGGATTTTGTTTTTAAAATTTCACTATACTGAAGTGTAATGAGTAATATTCACTTCATTGATAGAAGCAGTTGTAAGTAAAGATAAAACTCTAGCAGAACACTAAGATGTTTACTTTATAAAAGGAACAAGTTTTAGAGGAGATGATGATATGTATGAGAAAAAAGTTACAATTCAAGAAGAGCCTGGTGTATTAGATTTTTACATTTAAGTCAGATAACCAATATTCAGATATGGAAACCGTTTCCCCAAAAACAATTTGGTTGTTTACATTTTATCACAGAAAATGTAAACAAAACTGGCAGAACTCAGTTATATGGTTTAAAAAAAAAATTATTTTCAAATTTTAACAGCTAAGTTTTGAGAACAAATTACTTTGATGTGAGGTTTTCAGAGTGTAAGTGGCTGATGGGACCCAACAGCAACTGTTGGGACCCAGTATTAAGTTTGGTCTATAACCTGGATTAAAATGTATACCTTTTATGCTGATTTGACTTTTTTTTGAAGATTTTCTAGTATTTTATTGTGATGTTTTTATTATATACATATATAATTCTGTGGATTTGTTAGTCGATCTAATACCATTTCTAAATACCCACTATCTAAATACAAAATTATTAAATGTAGAGAATTCGTTGTGAGGAGTCGTTGCCAAGTTGAGTAATTCTACAAACTTTCCAAATATTGTAATTACCAGTTTGAAACCAAACTGCACTTAATTTTTTTCTTGTTTATACCCAGAAAACCAGACATTAAAGACCTGAGAGAAGAAAGTTTTAAACTAAACAAGTAGATCTATTACGGGTGTTGAATATTTTATCTAGATTTAGATTTTTTTAAATGTTCAAGAAATAGATATTGATTTAAACCAATTCTTCACACTGTTGCTTCTAAGATTGCCTGTACTTGTTTTCTTATCAGTGGGAGAAAAATCCTGACAGTCTAGGGATCACTGTGAGTTCACTTTAGTTATGATATTAGCAGGCCTATAGCATACATCATAGTATGAACAACTGCTACTTGAGATTGTCGATGTCAGTTCTGTTTTTCCTCAGACTAAGCTAAATGAAAAACGTAATTTGGTTCAGTGTGAGTTTACATGAGCTTCTATTATAGCATAATATCACACATGCAAGATTAGAGTTAAAAAACGGAACGCTGAAGTTGTAGCCTATTGATAGATCTATTTCTTTTTATTTTATAAATTTCAGACTAATGTAAAATGAAACTACATTTAAATGTACATCATAAGAGAAAAAAAAAGAATGTTGCATTGAGATTAATAACTATAAATGCACTAATTTTTATGATTGGATTTTTTTTTTTAATTTAGATCTACATGTAGATTCTAATTAATCAAGAAAATATCCATGCGTGCTCAACATTTGCAGAGTAGAGAAAGCTTATACCACCAACTTAACTACTACTGTTTGCCTTGCCATTTGTCAGTGAGGATATTGGGTGTTTAGAGCAAGATCTAGATTCTGGTTATCGTGTGGAATTACAAGAAAAAATTCAAAACAACATAAAAGAAATAGAACCTCCATTTTATAAAGTAGTATTTCTCGCTAACCCGCAGGCGTTGCCGGTTGCTAACAACAATATGGCGTACGGACCGGATGCATGACTTCCGACGATTTTTTCGTCTTAGTACCAGAGACCTTCTTAGAATTACTTTTAAAAATGTTTATCACGAGTAAAATGGCGGGTTTTCACGTTATAAAAACATGCTATAGGTGGCAAGGCTAAATATGCCAGAAAAGCATTTTAAAATTTGCTTTGGAGAATGAAGGCTAAATTTAAAAGTTGGTCTCATTAAAATTAATAGAACTTCTAAAATATCAGCCCGGAGGTCACAAAAATGAATTGGAGGTTGTAGAACTATTAGGTTTATCATTATATGAAGAAATAAATCAAATATTGCATGCACTTTTTAAAATAAGACACGACTTTTGAATGACAACCAAATTTATTTATTTTTTTAAACCACGTGACCGCTATTTGATGATCACTAGTGGGGAACTCTGGGTACATGGCCACTTAATAAGTCTAACCTATTTGTGGTTTTCTTTACGTTCAAGCTTAAGAAGAGTTGTCATGGAGAGGTGTGTTGACCATGGCAGTGAGTGTCAATAAATATTAAATTAAGTAATTTAGTTTAAAACGAACTAAAAACTTCTAAATTAGTGCCTAATGGATTAAATATGGATGTCTATCATTCAGTAGTTATACTTAATTTGAAATTTGGGTAAATTCTAGATTTAGTAAGAAAAACTATTATAAAGCTAAATGGTCTAAATCTTAACAGAGTTAATGCGAGGCTCCCAATAGTGCCAGCGGCTATAAGGAACCGGGTCAGAGTCATACAAAAGTGAAATTTCAGGTTATAATTTAGGGTTGTAGCCATAAACTGGCATCAACAGATAAACTCAAAAAACTATTTTCCAGTTATCTGGATTTGCAACTTTAAAAACATGGTTTCTAAAAAAAAATTTAAGTTCTGAATTATTTTCGGGCTTAAAGTTATTTTTTCTTAGTTATTTTATGACCACTTAGATTTAGATGGCAAGATCTAAAAGAATATGATTTTATTAGGGATTTTGGTAAAAAAACACTAATCATCATATAAAAATAAAAATTACATATTCTTGTAGAGCTCAACTATATGAAAACAAAACAAAAAAGATTTTCTGTCTAGCTCAAATAGTTTTTTTTTAGCGAATTTTTTTGTGAGGGGTGGAATGCCCTTGTTTTAGCATTGGCCAATTGTGACAAGTCATGGTATGCCTGAATAAATTGAGCATAGTTATTTTACTTGCAGTTGTATTTTGTTCATATTTGCAGAGTTTAGCTAGAATGATATATAGAACTTGTATATGCTGTTGAAATGAATAAAAATAATACAGAAGTATATTTTTGTGTTGGCTTCCTTCCATAACCCCAAAAAAACTGTGCTGCGCAAATATGAAAATGTTTCTAAAGCAATGTTTTACAGTGATTGAAAGAACTACATAGTTAGCAATCTAAAGTAAATGACTTGAACACTGTAATGTGCATATAACTGTCCCATTATTTTGGGCAGGTGAAGTAGAGTCCATCTTTAAGACATTTTGTTATAAAACTGTGCTGTGCAAATATGAAAATGTTTCTAAAGCAATGCTTTATATAAATACAGTGACAGTGAATGAAAGAACTACATAGTTAGCAATCTAAAGTAAATGACTTGAACACTGTAATGTGCATATAATTGCCTTATTATTTTGGGCAGGTGAAGTAGAGTCCATCTTTAAGCCATTTTGTTAAAAGTGAACTGAAGTTATCAGATCAATGTTTTTATGTGTGTATTGTGTATGAATTCTGATTTTCAGCATATAAATATAACTATAAGTAAGGGTAAGTAGAACTAGAATACTTAAAATTACAGTTAGCACATAGTGCCACATAGCTAGTGTAGTGTATTCTAAGTGTATAGCAACAGACAGATAACCTATGTCTGACTCTGCAAAATTTTACTTCAAGCAAAACTAGAACCAGTTGAAAAAATGAAAGACAGGTATAATAAAATATTGTTAAAACAATAAGTAGGAGATTTGTTTGTGGTAATCTATCGTTTTGGGTACGTAAAATCGCCCGCGATTTGTAATGTGAAAAACAGGTGACTCCTTAAATTTTAATAATTATTTCACATTTTGAGGAAGATTTATGTTTAAAAAAATTCAAAAATGTTTCCTTGATTCATTTATGTACCTGTTTTTAAACAATTGAATTAAAACTTTTCCGTAATAAATGAAGACTAGCGATGTTTCCAACAGATGCAACCATGCACATTTACTATAGCAGCCATCTTGTCTAAGTTTTATTTTTATAAGCTTTTAGCGCCAGATTCAGGGGGAAGCCACTCTATTTTACAAATGGCTGCTGTTTATATAGCAAATCTTGCTCTCAGACACTGCTGTTTAAAGTTAATTTCTGGCCTATATCGATATATTTAGCCATTGATTTAGGTTTATTATTCATTTATCTATAATATTTGACACAAACATATCACAATATACTTCTATTAAAGCCTTGACAATGAGGTAACGTTTTCGTACATAAATAGCCGCGGGCGATTTTACGTACCCAAAACGATAGATTACCTTGTTTGTACATAGTACATACCATAAGAATGCTGTTGTTAGTGTATCAAAACTAAAAGCCGGCAGATCAGGATGAAGAAATATAACATTGGCGTCAATGGGGTCAACATGACCTACTTACGGTGACTACTTTCAAATGAGTATTTACTAATGTCAAAGTCGAAATATCCAAAAATAAATATCATTTCTATAAAAATGGGATGTATCTGCTTTGGAAACTTTCATTATCTAAATGGAAACTTTTCAAAAATCGCGTTTTTAACGCATTTGAAGTTAACCTTTATACGGCAGTAAGACCAAAGCAGAGACAGCATGCATTCAGATCGCTAAGCCATCAAAACAACTGGAAAACCATTCTACTTTTCATTTAACATTAGGAAATGACCTTTTAAATTTAATTAATTACCATAAATTAAAAACTTATTAGTATGCAAAACCAAATCTCGTGTGTCCGGTATCAGAAAGTAATGGGAGAATTCAGGTCATGTTTTTACTGCGAACTCGGCCGATACCGACAACCCTAATTTTATCCAGGTCAACAATAATGATTAAGATTATAATTAATGAATAATGATTATTGATAGATTGAAGAATGGAGGAAGAATTCTGCATTTCTTCTGCAGTTTCTAGTCTAGTCAACTCCTCCATTTATTAATTTTATTTGCGGCTTTTGCCATTAACATTTTAAAGTCAAGGTATTTCATCGTGAACTTCAATTTTTAATACAGTTTTCATATTTACCTAGAATTACCAATATGATCAAGTAAGCATAATGTTTATGTAAATCAGACGCTTGTATTTTGCTTGGTCCATCATCTCTCGGGTTCCCTTGGGAAGCTACTTTACGTTGTCTGCTGGGTGCCATTTTGAAACCAATGACGGCTTTTGGGGTTCAAAGGTCATGTGTGGAAAGTTCAGTTTCTTTCTTTCGTCGAATACATTTTTATAAATATATTTTTTATTTTATTTTTAGTTTTAAAACGCCCATTTATTTAACGTCCGTTTTATTTAATTGATCAAATGATTTACAACTGAGTGCATAATGTATTGAAGCATATTGAGTTAAATCTAAATTCTATATTTAGTAAAGGCTAGATCGTTATAATAATAGATCTATTTAGTTATGCCTAATTTTTTAAATTTTACATTGTATTTGATTAGGCCTAAATTATACATATTCAAAACTCAGTAATATGTTCTATTGTTACAGTTGTCAAATAATAGTTTAAATTAAAAATTATAGTCCCCTATTTAGTTATTATTTAGTTGCTTTTCTATTTAGTTTTTTAGACAGTTTTCTTTTTTTATTTGGCAACATCACGGCTTATATGGCAGCGCTGTCTCCACTCGGGTTTCCAGCCTCGCTAACTTATTTCACAAATAAAAGAGTACCGGTATTGTCGTAGCAACGGGGAAGCTTTCTCTACTTGTTGCCTTTGTCCAACTTGTTGTGTCCAGGTTAAATATAATTAAATAATTTAAATATAATAACTGTTTACAAAACAAGTTTTTCAGTTTGTTATAAAAGTGTGTCAATGCTTTGGTCATTCAGATAGTGATTAATTATGTCAGAAACTATGTACAATATCGTACCACACCAAACGACTGTGGACAACAATGAATTCGTCAAATTTTCTAACTTTGTTTATCCGTACATGGATTTAAGAGCTAGGGATCAAGCACTAGAAAATATAGAGCAAAACAGACGTCTTAGGAAAATGAAGTTCCCCTCTTTGAGGGGAAGACATGACGTGGACTCATTTCAAGAAGATATCAGAACTAATAACAATTTCACAAAATGGAATGAAAATGGTGAATTCCGTGCAACTGCACCATGCAGATCATATGATAATGCAATTGACCCAACATCTGGTTTTGTCAGTGCAGGTTATGATGTCACTGATAACACAGGCCATTTCAATATTCAGTCAATGGTTCAGAATAACAAATCTCCACAGTCATTAACACCTTGCAGAATAAGTACCATCCGTAATGAGCCTGCAGCTCCTCCAGAGTTGAAGCATGAGAATATGCGTACTCAAACTGCACCAATACCATGGAACAGTCGTAAAACTTTAGATGTATGCATAAGATCTAAACTAGGAGGTATGTACAAGCAATAAAGAAGATCACACTTTATAAAAATAAAACTGGATGTGTCACAGATTAAATGAAGTAAACCTTTCTGTAGTTTATGCATTAATTTATGAAGAATGTTTAAAATAAAACAAATGTGGCATCTCACATAAGAGCTAAGTGTATCATACATTTTTAAAACTTTAAACTGACTCAGGAGTAAATTATATTTTGTATTAATTATATTATACTAAATTAAATTATAGGCATACGTTATTTGGAACTACAACTATTATTTGTTATATGTACATTTTATTCTAGTTACTTTTTTTTTAGAATTACAACTTTGGTAGTACTTTGCTACATAGGCACTACCCATTAATATTATATCCCTTAATCCTTAACTAACTGCAGTTAAACAATACTCATATTCATTGCTCTGCTAGATAACAAGATTACTAACATATATAAATACTTAAAATTCATAAAGTGCATTTTTTGTCATAAAGGCATTTCCTGCACTATGTCAGTGTATTCAAAATATTAACAGCTTTTCAAGTTGTAGCAACAATTTTTTCACGCAAAAGGTTTAAGCATATCTGCTAGGCTATGTTAAATATGTGGTGTCCTTTTAATCTATGGTCTTCTTCTTCTTCTTCGTTCTTAATTTTAGGGTTGGAAGGGATCCAACACAATTAAGGATACGTGTCAACTGGTTATGCGCCATTGAGGCCATTGACTCCGATTTCAGCCTGCTTTTCTTTTTTGGATTTGCTTCCATAGCCTTTGTCCAACCAAGAACAAACTACAAGGCAGCAGTTGTTTGATTTTGGAGTTGTCTCTCCTAGAAGAGTGGTTGTCCCCAGCAAACGAGCCTCATCTGCCAGAGGGTTCGAACTCGAGACTTTTCAGTTTAGCAACCTTGAGCTTTACCGACTCGACCACGCCATGTCAATAACAGACACAATTGGGAAAGGCAGGCAAAAATTTTTAGTTAAGATCAGGCTCATTAGTCTGTTTATTATGTATAACTAAAACTTGATGGAGATTTTTATTATGAAACTTTTCTCAGGTTGGACTAGTGATGTAGACCCCAGAAAAACGCATAATACAAAACAAAGACCAAAGGTGACAGACTTTTGAAACTTTAAAAAATTAATAATACAATATTATCAATAGGTGTGAATATCATAGTCTATATCTGAAAGATATTTGAAAACTTTAAGAGAGTACAATCATTTTTTTTTCCAACTTGAACAGACTTCCCCTGCAGCTGAACAGTCTAGGATAGAACGAGACAAATTAGCATTAAAGTATATTTATGGAACTTCAACTCAAAGGTATTTAGTCAAATATCTAAACACAGACACTAGAAAAATTGATTTTAAATTGCTTATCACAAAAGTACATTTGAAAATGTTCTGTGTACTAAATATACAGTAATAAATAAACACCAAAGATGGCTTTCGCCTGGAGTCAAGTTGAGAAGATGTCACAGGACAGAGAACTCTGTAGATCTTTGGTTGGCGTGATGGGCAGTGATGATGATGAAATATGTTTTAAAAAAGTAGATTCCTCTTTAGACTTAGTGATCGATTGGGCAGATGCAGTAGAGTTCATGATTTTTTACCTAGGCATATGAAGAGATGCTGTGTTCAGCACTAAGCCCAGCCACTTTTACTTTCCCAACATAAGTCAGAGCTGGGTGGAAACAGGGACATTATATAGTTCTCACATTTAATGTATGGTTTTGATACTTGGTATATTTCTTTATGTGGATATATACAAATAACTGTCCTAAACATTTTAACTCCTAGAGCTTATGAGGAAGTACCTTGGGATCTCATTTTACCTCCGAGGATCCGCCCACCTGTATCAACAATGGAAGATAAGCCAGATAATGTGTCTCATCGCTGGGGAGACAAGCGGTATGCAGCAACTGCACAAGAATGGCAGGTATGGGATTTAGTTTTTATGCAGAATATCACTATTTATTAATTGATAAAACTGCATGAAAATTTTAGTTCTAACACATTTTACAAAGTCAATTTTTAATATACAAGATTTTCTATAAAAGCCTCTTAAAACATTTTATTAGCCCCCCTTTGACCAAATTAAATTCTGTTTTTGTTATTATATTATCTGTGCTTATCACATACTCATCAAATAAAAATGTTCTTATGTAATTTTAATTTTAATAATTTTATTCTTTTCCTAAGCTGGAGTAAAAAAATTGTAAAAAACAGCCATTAAGAACAAAACAGTTCTTTTTTGTTTTAAAATTATTTTTTTGTTTCTAATAGAGCCCTTAATTAAAATATTTTTATTTTTTTAAGGCGGTAGGCCCAAGCCTTGATAGATTTCTTCCACGTAAAGGACACTACAAAGATGGACCAATTAAATTGTATGTCTTATTTAGTGAACTGTATGAAAGTGAAAAGAATTGTTATTACTTTCTTTTTAAAAAGTGCTTCTAATGTTATGTTACATTAATTGAATTATGCCATAGTTTTCACTTTAGATATATTCTATGGTCAAAGTCTTAAACAAATTTAATTCTAATTTTAATTTGTGAAATATTTTTCTCTTGGCAACTTTTGATGTTTGTTTAGCATTCCACAACATTGATGTTTTTTTTTTTTCTAATCATAGTTGTAGCCCTTGCTCAAGAGTACAGCAAATACCACTTTACAGGTGATTATTATGCAACTTTAAGCTTAACAATAGGCCCTCTATTTATTATGGATCCTCAATTTTTAAAAGCACAAATGTGTACATCTACTAAAATTTGGCTCAAAGGATTTGGCTTTAAGTTAAAAAAAAAATTATATGATAGTTTAAATGTAATGTTTATGTAAATGCCTATCTATCCTATAAATCTTCCCAGTATGTAAATGTATGATAGACTTTTAATTACAATTTTTTAATCTTTAAGTGGATGCATTGGAGCTGAAAACTTAGACGAAGTTGACAATGAAAAAGAAAAATTCGAACCATACACAGTAAAACGTAATCCACAGCCAAAACCAACAGACACTTCCCAGTTAGTAGTTTATTTTTTTTTAAACTTGATATTGCTAGAATAATTTAAATCTACAAGATACATAAAGAATAACAAATGCTATAAAATTTTAACTTACAGCCGTCCCAATATACCTCTGTATGATGGATGTACTCTATGGCAAGGAAGTTATGCCCCTGCTCACCAAACACGTGCAGTGCAATTTGAGACCTCCACTTCAAGTGTACATAGGTGAGTTTTTATCCTCCTAGCTTTTTATCAAGTTTTTTCTGTTTGCCTGTGATTGCTTTTTTTGTTTTTAAATTTTATAAACTTACAAAATTTCAGTGATCATATTTTTCAAACAACTACAATAAATTTATTAAAACCTACAAACATTTCTAGTTAATAAAGTTATAAGGATATAGAATAAGGATTTTTAAAGATTTGAATGTTTTTTAGCAGATTATTTATTAAAAAAATTTAAAGTGCAACTAATATATATATATATATATATATATATATATATATATATATATATATATATGTATATATATATATATATATATATATATATAAGCAATTGAGCTTTTTATTCGCACGCAAGCATCTATATTTGTTATAAAGAGCACTTCACCAGGGATTTAGTATGCTAATCATATATGGGCCTTTGTAGTAGTTGGACCATGTGTTCTACCTCAACCTTGCGGAGGGGGATTTATATAAACCAAATATCTGTTGTTTTTTTCTGATGCACATGCTCATTATTATAGCAACAACAGCAATAGGTGTAAACACATCATTTGTAACAAATGAATGTTATCGATTGTCCATGAATTTCTTTTCTTCTGAGATTACAGCAACATGCGTGACAGGTTACCTACGCCAGTGAACAGTATCGAATTAAAAAAAATTATTTTTATAATGCTGTTTTGCTTTTCTATTAATGTGATGAATGTTCTAATTTTTTTCTTAGATCGTTTCCCACTGAATCACCAGCTGCATTACACAAGAAAGGGGCAGATTTTGCCAAAATGGTTACTCTGGTATCTCCTGGTAATCCTTACAATAGTGTGATGAAAGAACAAATTCAAGTTTAAAAAGAAGGAAAGAAATGGCATTGAATGGCAGACTTTTAATTTATTGACCAATGTACTTTTTTGCTAGTGTTTTTGTTAAAGGCAGTTAATTTATGGGAATGGTTCATATACATTTTTTATATTGCTAATATAGTTATTTGCATTTTTGTAGAACTATGATTTTTTAATGGTAAATTGTATTCAAATTGTTAAAACTTAAGATGTACATTGTATTTTTTTTCTTGCTTGATTCACTGTAATTTTCTTTTTTTTATTGTCAGATATAGTGATGGCTGTTTTATACTGTAAAATTTCTATAATTCATATGGCATATCTAGGGTCTTGTTTGGATGGAGGAGGGATTGGGGGGGGGGGGGGGTCTTATGACATTAAAATTTTTAAACCCAATGCAACAAAAGAGGGTTGTAGCCAATAACTTGCCTAAGTCACTGTTTCATTACACATATATGATGATCAACAAATATTCATGTAAGATTGGTGGAGAGTATATCAATTTAAATTGTATTAGCCTTATGGAAAAAAATATTAATTTCTGCCTTGTTCACTGATTAAACTTTTTTTTTCCAAAAATCAAACAGCAACCAAAGTATATATTTATTTAAATTTGCTAGTGCTAAACAGAATAATTTGACATGGGAGACTTAATGATTATTTGTAGAGAAGCCTTTATATTGTGCCGAATGTAAGTAATTTCTTATTGCCAAATTAATGGAATTGACTTTTTGTCCACCAACAATTTTAATGTTTTACCTTTTTACATACTGACACACTTAAAATTGTAGCTTATTAAATGTCAGCTTTAATGCCTTAAATTTGATAATTAAAATGAGTGTTTTTTTAAATATATTTGCAATTATAGACTTGTTAATTTAGGTTTGTTTTGCTAACATGATTGCCTTAAAGACTTTTATTATTTTAATGCTTTAGATGCCAAAAATTGCTGTATACTATCAAATACAAAAATAAAAATGCTATATTTGGTTTCAGAAAGCAACTGTAATGGTTAACTGTTTTGTAGCTTTAGGAAGCCACAAAAATGCGTGCATTCTTTTTTTAAAATAAGAATGCAAAACTGTTTTTATAAAGTGTTTTTATCAAAAAGTGTGGCTGCTGGTCATTTTTTTTCCACGTAATGATAATATGAACCTGGATCTATATCCATATACTCATTTGACAAAGCATAAAATCAGAATTAATGTTAATCAGTAAACTTACTATGACCAGTAAAGTTTATACATAGTTTTCAAATGATAAAAATAAAGACATTTTTTTAAAAAACATAACACTGGAAGATGATTTCCTTTGTCCTTTTTTCTAAAATAAGTTTATTAATATCATGATGAAATGTACAATTGTATCTATGTACACACAAGGATAAGAGATGATACAACATAATGAAGAAAATGATGCCTACACACTACACACTATGTTAAATTAACACAAGACTATTGTGTTAGAAATTAGAATCTACTACATCTAAAGATCTACTCTCATAGCTAACACAATGTACAATGCAAAAAAATGAAGCAAATTATCAACATTCATGAAAACTCCAATAAAAAGTGGTTTAATTATAAATGACTATACAAAAAGAGCAGTTTCTTGAGTTTTCTTGATAAAATTACAATGAGAAATGTGTAGTCAAATTTCAACTCAACTGTTTTGCATACAACTAAGTGATATGGAAAACATTATGGTGTTCAGTGCTTACAGCTAATAAATTAATGAACTTTTAGAGGTCTAATTTCTAAATGTTTAAAAACATTGTATTCTAACTTAGTATTATCATTAAGGCCGCATTGCTGATTTTGTCCATAGGGAATAATAAACCTTAGAATTATAAAGCTGAAAGTGATTTTCTATTATTAGCAATTAAAACTAGTAAATCTTGCTTGTTGAAATGGGCATGCTTGTAAATACACTTTTGTTAATTTTATATGTAACACGCCAACACAATTAGTTGCCTTATCACATCAACACAAAGTCAAAAAAACATGATAAATGTTACAAAACTAGACTGCAACATAAATTATAAAGCTAGTAAAACATGACTTTGAGAGATAAAATGCCAGTAGTAATAAGAGACAATGTATGGAACTGCAGTTTTTAGGTACATTATGGGGCTAACTATTAAACAATATCTGTAAAACAACTTTTGAAGATAAAATGCAGGAAATACTGTACCACAAATGTCTAAATAGGGTATCTGACACAAAGTTGTAAAAAGCAATCACTAACATCACAGTAACACATTACTAAGCACCCACAAAAGTTAGATATGCTGGAGGATTGAACTAAATCTCAATTTTTAAACATAGAGAACTTGCAAAAAAAACAAAAAACAACCTAATGCTATAAACTATAATAAAACAAATTACCTGCATCTAATACAGATTCTAGTTGTGAATTACATTTTGCATATGTACAATTAGAATGTTAACTGTACTTAGCATAAAAATCTTTAGTTAATACTATTTTAATGTAATACTAATGACCGAATTGAGCAATAAACTGTTACTGCCTTATTTTTGTGTGAATTTCCAATTCAAGATAAATGCAGCATCCTGAAAATCAGGTTGGAATATCAATCTTTCTCTAGACATTTAAATACTATTCACATCATAAAAAACAGGAAGTGTGCTATATTGTAATTATATGGAATAATTGTTCAAGGATCCACAAGAATATTAAGTTTATTACAAATATTACTCTGGAACTATATGCCTATAGCTAATGGAACATTTCCATTAGTTTCATTTCTTATAAAACTGTGCACAAGAAAACAAATTTTAGGCACCATGGATCACAACCAATGGTTCTTTGTTTACAACATCATACAAGCTATAGAAATGTTCTAAATCAATGCTGTTGTTGTTGAGTACACATGTGTTAAAGGTATTGAGGCACTTCATCTATTGCAATGTCAGATGGTAATAAAGCACGATAAAAATACTTACACAAATCAGAAAGTCTAATACTGATTCTGTATTTAAAGTGTCTAGCTACTTTCTGTCCTATTTTTGTCTACAAAATTTTAAAAATGGAATACAAGTTCAACCAATAAAGTTGAACCAAACTAAGAACCAAGGCAGAGTTTTTAGGAATACATAGTGGCTTTGTATCCATCCCTGTAGCATAAATCATGAAAGACCACACAATTGATGGCATTTATATGAAGGCACTGACATGTTTTATTAATACATCATTTACAATTAATGCCAAGCTAAAATCCTACTTACACTGACACCAGAGATTTGGTATTTGAACTTCTTAGAAATATTTATGTACATGCATCATATGAGACATAGAGAGGGGTTCTAAATCAGCTAAACATTGGACTCAAAGCATCATATCAGACAAAGGGAGGGGCTCTAAATCAGCTCAACAATGGACCAAGTGTGAAACAGAAGACAACAGAGGTTTCATCTGGTTGTCGAGGGCGAAGGGACGTGATATAACAGGTTTACTAACAGGATAATGATAGTCTAATTTTTTTAAGTTAGGGTTCTTAACGGCTTTTGACACAAATTTAATCAAGCAATCGTTTTTACATTTAATAAAAATTAATTAGTTACCTAACAAAGGTAAAATTAAAAATATATGCAAGGAAATTTAAGTCTTAAAAAGCTGGAAAACAATTTCTTTTTAAACTTTGTCCAACACAATTTTGATACCCTGCAGAAATTTAGGTTAATTTTTCAGATCTACCACTAGGCAATGAGGCAGGAATAATCCTAGTGGTCAACAGATAATATTATGCAAAAAAAAAAATCATCAAGAAATTTTAGACTAAATAGTGTGATAAAATGTTATATAGGTCACAAATACATTTAAAACCAATTATTTGTCAATTTTATTGTTTCAAATTATTTTTGAGTAAATCTAATTCAATGCTAAAATAAGACTTTAACACATCCAGAGCCAGAAGTGAATAATTTTTAAAACAAAAGCAAGTTTTAAGTACAGCATTGTGCAATGTTTCAGATATGTATCAAACATACAGCTGCAGTTGTTTCAACAACAAAGAGTATCAATTGTACATCAATTATCTGGTGAAGTCTTTATGGTGTATAGTTTTCCTTGTGTATAGCACATAAAACAGTGGAACACTTTGATTGGTTGACAGCAGATTACCAAAACCAGAAACATGTTTTTTGTTGCTTATGATCATCTCTAATAATTAGATATCAGTTTTTGTCCTCAAATCTACTAGTGTATATTTACTTTTGACTCTAATTATAGTGTCCCAAATCACACAGATGTGCATTTTTGTCCCCATTTATACGTACTTATACTTTTGTCTCCTATTATATAGGTAAATAAATTTAATACCAATCCCACAGGGGTGTTTTTTTTTAAATAGCTTAGTGTAGATGGATGCAATGATTTAACAATTTTTTATACACCTCACAAGCAAAAAAAATTCAGAATGGTGTCATTACAATATTTTATAAATATTTTTAATTACGCAGTCTTTAGCAGTGGTTCAGAAATATAACTTGTACACTACTGCTCAATAAAAACTGAACACATACAGCACAGTGCTAAATAGCACTGCAGGATGAAATAAAGAAATTTAAATGTAATTGCGCTGATGAACATTTATGGTATCTAAAAATTATCATAGAAAATTACATCACTTTCATTACCCGATAAGTTAGTTTGATTATTTCTGAAGATGAATTTTAATTAAAATTTAAAATTAACACCAACTCACCTAGAATAAACACAAAAAGTTTTGAACATGGCTCTACATTATAATGTATAACTGAAAACACTAGCGTAAATTGAGGATTATTTATCTATCATCTTAGAATTTTGAAGAAATTATAAAAAACATTAAAGTAGACCTATTGTTAATAGATTTGTATTGGTAATATTGCTCACTGACACTCTGAAGAATAACTTAGTTAAAAACTTAGTTGTGTTTTATTGAACATGAGATTTTTAAAATTAGTTAATGTCATTCAATTAAACAAGAATCAGGGGCATGGGAGGGTAGAATAGGATGGGATATAGTTAAAAAAATATTTTTTTAAACAGTTTCACATCTGAGTTTTCTTGGTTTATGATATATTTGATTTTAAAATAGTACCTTTTTTTGTTTACTTCATATAATTTTTCATAACATTATAGCATGGCATAATGTTCAGAAGGACAATTTATTTACATTTGATAAAACTCATCAATGACTAAACTGTATGTTCACTTTTACATACAAAAATATTTCAATGTTCGTAACAAAGATTCCAATGTTATTAAATGAGACTTAAAAAAAAATTCTTTAGAAAATAATACAAATATTTGGGCTGATGATAATACTTGTGGCTTAACATTTCACAGGTATGGTTGAAAGGTTAATTATAAGGGAGCAGAGCATTACGCCCCATGTCAATCCTCCCCTCTACCTAAAACTGGAATAGGGGCTTACAGCCTATCTAGTACAAATTGATTCTACACCAAATAACACAAAGTACTTTTATGTTAGGGAATTTCCCCAATAGAATAAGCTTGTTCTACACAGTTCAAGACACCATCTGTGGTGCTGTACAGAATGCCCAAATTGGGTTTCTCACTCTGCTGATAACATGTATAATAGGTATTGTCAAGAGGTAATTTCCATCTGGAAATGACAGAGGGGTAAATTATCTGAGGATGGGGGGAGGTGGTAATTGACAGGTGGTAACATCTTAGACCCATTTATAAAGTTAGTAACAAATTGCATTTTACAATACATTAGTTGACCATATTATTACAAGGTAAATTACTAAAATAGTAAGTTAAAATGTTAATGAGTTTCTAAAATTAGTAATTGGGGTTAAGGCTACAATTAATAGTAGAACCCAAAGCACCATTTGAGCATTGGTGCTCTTTACATACCCAGGGGGGTTCAGCTTTTCTAAAGCTTGCTCAGTCCAAGCATCTTATGAACCAAGAAACACTAAAAATGTGTTTCTTGAAGGGTGTTTAACAATTATTGATTGAAGTTAAAATAAAGCTATCAAGGGAGCAGTTTCTTAAGTAAAACGATGTATAAACAACTGTGTTGAAGACTTGCAAAACCTAGTTTAAAATATTTATAAACAGTATTTTAAAATACTCCTCAGAACATTGGCTTGTGAAAGGCTATTAATGTATCTGTATTCATGAAAAAGCATACATTATTTACTTTCAAGTATTACACCAAAATCCTAGCAACCACTGCTTAATTTTTTTTCTAACATTGTGAATTACTGTTTAATGATAAATGTATGGCGAAATTTCACCAAAAAACCTAGCAATCGCTATTGCCCTGAATGATTATATAGTGTAAAGATGTTTTTAATATAGATTTATAACAAAACTGGTTACAAAATTGTTGAAGCAAATCAAACAAAGACACAGAAGAGCTTTAAATAGCTATGGAACTGCTTACAATTGAAGAGCTGGCATACCAAATTTTACTCTTATTTTTAAATCATTGAAAATATAATGAAACAAGAGACAAAGAATGTGTAAATTGTGCAGATAAAGTTGGTCTGTAAAAGAGGTTTAAAACCAAACCTAACAGAACAAACAGTAATGGAATGAAGTAAGAGTCAGGCTGGAGCTGATGTGTCCCAGCCCTTGACGTTTACTTTGAGATTAACTAGCATGGAATGGAGATCAGAACCTTTTACACTGACAATAGCATGCTCCATTACACACACTTCTGTTAGCTTCTTGGTGGTTACAACTATTCTCAAGACATTTTAGACAAATATGTCAATTGGGGGAAATAGATTAGGAATTTATTTTTACAAATAAAATTGTTATGAAATGTATTAATGCCACTAAATTTTTATCTTTACAAATCACAACAATGAAAACTTCCCTTTACAATTAAAATTTAAAAAAAAAGATCACAGCCTAAAAAAAAAGGACAGGTATAAGAAACAACATCTAAGTGCTGTATGTTACCAGCAAGTTTGATTTAGTACACATTTTATTATCTACACACGGAGCAAGAAACTTTTGTTATAAAGAAATTGTTAATTATTCTTGTTGCATAATATATCTCATATTTTATGATATTTTTCATTAACTTACATAAAAAAACAATATTCCCAACATGGAATAAGCAAGCAGGAAGGATTAGTTATTGACGCAAAAAATGTTAAAATCAAATTAAACACTGTTGACCAAAATCAAACAGCATTCCTAAAATCTTCAATGCCGTTGCAAGTCTCAGCAGGCTCCTCCGAACACTGGTCACCATTATCTGCAATGGCCCCTTGGCTCACTTGTGTGGATAGTGAATGTTCAGCGTTGCTGTCTGCAGTCTCCTCCCCCTCTTGGTAGCATTTGGCTTTTTTGGGTGGGATTTCCATTGACATTCGTTTCAACAGATTAGCCTGTTTGTTGCTGTCTGTGCAGGGGACAAAACCCTCACTGAACGTGTTGGACACAGATGACTTCTCTTGCACAGAAATGTATTTAGAGGAGAAGTCCAAGCTGTTGTCTGCACTCATGTCTGATATACTATTCATTGTCATACTTGATGTGTATGCATTTGACTCAATGAGTTGGAAAACATTTTGAGATACATCAGTGGCAAAGTCTGAAAGTAAATGGTCTGAGTTTGACGAGGCTGATAAGCTCTGTTGGCTCGAGCTATCCTTTGCCGAGCCTTCAACCAGCAACGTCTCAGAAGAGACTTCTAGAGTTTCGGGGCAGGTTTCAAATGAAGCTGAACTACTTCTGTCTAAACTGTTCCTGTCAATATCTATGTGAGACAAGGTTTGAGTAATCGAGTCTTTTTCTTCACTTTTTCTCAGTGTAACTTTTTCAAAGTCTGAGCTGTCCTCAGCTTGTTTAGAGGTCTGAGCACCCATGTCTTTGAACTGCAGTGGAGCATCTACGGTAGAAAGGCTGGAGCGCCGGTCAGGGGACATGTGCCAGTTACTTGGCACCACCATTTCATGCGCCAGCTCCTTAGAGTGATCTGGGCTTGGTATGGAGATAGACATGCTCTTCTTCAAATCTTTCAGCCACGGGTGGTCTAGACACTGTCTGGCTGTCATTCTGTCACTAGAAATAATCAGTTCAAACATCTTGTTAGCTATCAATCACACTGATTTTCTTTTACTTAGTAATATTATTTTTCAATTAAATTAGTAAAGTAAGTAAAGTTTCTCTTTCAAACCTGACGGTCTATGGGGCAAGTGAAGTAGAGTTCACTTGTTTCTGTGACCTCGGCATATGAAGAGATAGTGTGGTCAGCCCTATGCCCAGCTGCCTTTACTTTCCCTAACGTGAGTTGGGTGGACTCAAGAGACGGTCTACTGATTTAAATTAAATTAGTACAATAGCAATAAGCTGTTATGAGGGGACAAATGGTAGAGCTGTTGACTGCCAACACAAATCTCAAGTTTGTAAGATGTCTCCGAGAAAATAAATGTGGCTGGGCACAGTGCTCACCACATGATCGCTTCATATTCTTAGATTACTGAAACAGGCAAACTCTACTTCATTTGTCCCATGGACCTTAATGTTCGAAAGAGTACTATACATAATCTAGTATTGCAAACTTTTCACCAAAAAATACTTGCTTAACTATGGCAACACCTACCGTGGTCTTTTAACCAACAACTTAGAAATAAAATCAATAGCTAGTGGGTTAATATCAGCAAACAAATCTTCGGGGTAGTCTACTTTAACTTGAGTGATGTTACAGAATGTCTCTTGCTGTGTGTCACCAGCAAAAGGGGAGCATGTGGTCAACATAACGTACGTCAGAACACCCAAGCTCCTGGAAACAAATGTAGATACAATAATTGTTAACAATTGTGGATGGAGGTAATTCCACAAACAGAGAAATAAGCCCTAGTTTCCCAAAAAGATCAACTAAAAATGAGACATTTCAATAAAATTGTAAACCACAGCGTTTTTCATTAAAAAGCAAAGTTTTTGCTGAAATTCTTTTTAAAAAGTAAAATAGGAACACTTGCATCTCTGCTTTTTATGGTTCAATTTTCAAAAAGTAATTACTAACATTTTAAACCAATAGAAATAACAAGCCGGCCCGCGGCATAACATACGCCGCTATTTAGTTGTTTTTTTCTACTTTTCAGTAATTCATAATTTGTGAATTCGACAGTACCAACGCTGCCACTGAAAATATTTCTTTAAAACACTATAAGTAGCTCGTTAAGGACAATAACCCCCCCCTTCCTCCCCCCCCCCACCCCACGTTTAAAATCGTTGGCTCTGCTTGTAAACATTTAGAGTGAACACAGCTCACTAAAACCATGTAGGGGTGGGGAGGTAGGGAGCGCGTTTACAGCTTGTTTTCTAGGCGCGTTTGCAGCTTGTTTTCTAGCGGCTCCCAGAAGAGAATTATATATATAGATATCAGTGTAAAAGTTTAGTGTTATTTCAAGCATTAAATACTTACCACATATCTGTTTGTATATTTAGAGGTTCATAATCAAGAACTTCAGGAGCTACATTAGAAACACAATTAATAAACAGATTTAGACATGTATGTTTCATATATCATACAAGTGTATTACATTACTGTACCCTGGAACTATACATGCTCGTATAAATTAAAAATTTGTTAATCTTACTATAAAAAAATTTCATGCCTAGAAAATATTTGAGCACAATTCAGTAGGTTAATTCTATTGCTGTCTATATAAAAATTCATCTAATATGTAGGTAGGGAGATTCATACACATGATAGGCAATATTATGGTAGTGCAAAAATAGACAATTTCCCTTACCAACATAGTCCGGAGTCCCAATTATATCTCTAATGTCCTCCCCAGTATTTGTTAAGCAAGCAAAACCTAAATCACAAATTTTTATCTCCCCTTCTGGAAAAGGTTTTGTTAGAAGAATGTTTTGAGGCTGTAAAAAAAGATATACATTAGGCTACTTTTAATTTCAATGGTGTACACTAGTAAAATAAAACACGTTCCAATCAATTTAAATAAAAACTGCCTGTATATTAAATTAAGATAAAAATTTATGCAAAACTATCACAGGAGTATGATGTGGTTTGAAAATTTTTGTCAGGAAGAAGGAAAACAGATATAGAAGTTCCCCTCCCTCCAGAAACTTCAACCATTGTCTGTCAGTTAAATTTAAGCCGATTCAGTACTGTCTGCATCATAAAAAACTAATTTGTCTTCCACTGTCAGTCACAATTTATATGTTCCACATACACATCTTATCAAATACTAACAAATAATAAATGCACGTGTTCCATCTGTAACAAAGTGTTTTTTAACCCCCCAGTAAGCACATACACTTGTGCATGCTAATGTATTTTAATCAGCACTTTATTAAGTCAGAAGAAACGGTAAATGACCTTGACAATAGTGTCAGCTCTTAGTTAATGTGCTAATCAAGCAGATCTACACTACTTCAGTCTCTTTACATGTCAGATATGCATAATTAACTAAATAGAACAATGCCACTGTCATGGGCCTTATGGAAGCATTTAATTATTTTTTTGTTTCTAAACAAATGATATTTTTATTTCAACTATTGCAGTCTGACAAAATGGCAAGCAGAAAAAAAAAAATATATATATATAGGCCACACACACACATATATACATACATAAACATATGTATACATACATACATATACAAACACACACACACATATATACACACAGACACACACACACACACATATATATATATATATATATATATATATATATATATATATATATATATATATATATATATATATATATATATATATATATATATATATATATATATATATATATATATATATATATATATACACACACATATATATATATAAATTAACTAAAACTATGCAGCAAAGGTATATTATTCCTTACCTTGAGATCAAGATGAACAATATTTTTATCATGTAGATAAGCTAATCCTTCTAAAATTTGGACTAGTAGTCTACGAACATCATCTTCTTTAAAAGATTCTTTGATCACACATTCATCAAACAGTTCCCCTCCAGAACAGCTGCAGAATAAATTAACATTCTACAGTACTCAACAGCAAACTAGTTCAAAGTTGCAATAATAATTTTTTTTTAAATATGAAAATTTTGTTATGAAGAGGAACAAAGAAAGTTAACTAGCATTAGTGAAATAGCCTTTTTTGCTTTGTTGTTTACATAGAATACAGGGGAAGTACTGTGACCAGGCAAAAAGTCAAAACTGAATTTATTATGCTTTACATCTTTCTGGGCCCATCCAAAAACATAGTTTTATAATCTGGTATGTCCGTGTACCATTTCAGTAGTTTCACTTAACATTATTATATATCAGATCCTAAATGTAAGTTTCTGTCAATTTTAAGCAATTTCCAGTTTCTCAAAAACCTTTGTAATTTTATAATTTTATATCAATTTCTCATATAGCAGTATATCCTGGTCACTTTTTGGCCCCATGTGTTTTCTCAAAAAAAAAAAAAAAAACAAGGCTTTGTTACAAACTTTCTACCAATCTATAGTCTGACTCCCTTAGAAAAGCCACCCCCCCCCTTAGTGTTACTTGGAGTTTGCTGCTGCTTTATTGTTTAGCCATAATAGCACACATGTTTTGATCTTAAATTAATGTTTTACAACTATGAGAATTGAGAAAGAGATATTATGGCTAAGGTTTTATTTTTAGCTCCCAAAAAAGCTTTATCTATATAATAAACATTACATTCCAAGAATGAAAAGCCCTTTTCAGTATGTATAGATCATAAAACTGGTTTTCATGCAGAGCTGAATTTTCAGTGACATACATTTATGAATAGACGGCAAACAGAAAATTACCCCTTGTGTGTTAGTGCAACACAATTGATATGGTTCAGTAACCATAATATTTAGTTTTAACACTTAGCATACAAAAAAGAATTGTGTTAACATTTATAACCTACATTCAAGACGTTAACAATGAGAAGATTTTTTTATGATTTTTGAAATGTCGAGAAGACAAACAATGTTATTTTACCTATCTTGAAAATCTATATCAATTAATGTATAGCTTAACTCTCAAAAGGGTTATTCAACCTACTCTCAAGAATAAATAAATGAAATGTTCAAGTATAAAATTATAAACACATAATCTTTTAAAGTTTTTAATCAGAAAAACAGGTGAAGTTGAAACTATACGACTCAAAATTCACTTCACTGCAAGCTATATAAAGGTAATTTATTCACTTCATTACATTAAAGAAGGAAAAAGAATGTATTACTTACTATTCCGTGACTAGTATCAACTCTGTCTGTGTTTCAAAAACCTCTCGTAGAGAAACAAGTCGTGGGTGAGCCATAGCGAGCTCCAGCATGACGACCTCTCTGAGAATTTCATCTCGGCAGCTTTTTCCTTTCCTTCGTTTACGAATTACCTTTGCTGCCACTATTTCTCCAGTATCTATTTTTACACACCGCCTTACTACTGCAAATTTTCCTCTGAAAATTATTGTTTTGTTCATTACAAGACAATGAAATAAAGCTTTTAATTTTGGGAGATGAGGGGTGGGGGGTGTGTTGAAAAGAAAGATACTTTGAAGAGAACTTATTTATTTTCTTTTATAACTTATTTTTCAGACCCTGAACAAATCCATTGCTTTATCTTTTTTTGTTTTGTTTATTTACTTTTGTTTTACTAAAAGGTAAGCCAGACTTTTTGTTCTCTTACAGCATTTATTACATGAGCTCTAGTCCCATTAGCACCACTAACATAATTATACACACTCAAACTATGAAAAGATTTTTTTGTTTTTCATCTGATCCTAAAAACAGATGTAGCACTTCAAACAGGCCACAAAAAAGTGAAAGTGAAGTGGTTAGAGTTAGGATAATCAGAATAACTGAAACCAAGACTTGTGATGATCAGAAGAGCCACTTTGCTTTTAACTAGAACAAAATTGTAACAGAGCAATGACTCAAACTAAACAAAAATATAAACTTTTAACTTTCCCCGGATTTGTTTCTATTAGTTCAATTAATACACATGAACTATACTCTCCCTTCAAGAGAGGCTAGGTGGCTTTACATTCTCCTATAACAATATTGGCCAACAAGCTGAGATAGAACATTTATTTCATTAACAGATTATACAAAATTTGATAGGGAATTATCAAACTTTCGTGATGATTAAAAGCGTGCCTATAGGTTTTACAAGAAGTGTTCTTAAAGCTGCTAATGAACAGCATGAACAACCACGTGAACACAACCTTACAAAACATAACACATTTTATCTACCTGGATTTGGCACATATCCAAACAAACGGGGAAAGAGCATAACTAGATTAAATCTTTAATTACCTATCGGTTACCTCTTGTTTTAATAAAATACAATCATTAATAGAATTAATTAAACCACACCATGCAGGCAAAGATGATTATTTGTGTTCATGATATTTTTATATGAGGTAATTAAAAGCTAATGAAGTTAGAGTAGGTAATGTGTGATATGATTGCTGGTTATCAACACTGAACTGTGTGATATGATTTCTGGCAATCAACACTGAAATGTGTGATATGATTGCTGGCAATCAACACTGAAATGTGTGATATGATTTCTGGCAATCAACACTGAAATGTGTGATATGATTTCTGGCAATCAACACTGAAATGTGTGATATGATTGCTGGCAATCAACACTGAAATGTGTGATATGATTTCTGGCAATCAACACTGAAATGTGTGATATGATTGCTGGCAATCAACACTGAAATGTGTGATATGATTGCTGGCAATCAACACTGAAATGTGTGATATGATTGCTGGCAATCAACACTGAAATGTGTGATATGATTGCTGGCAATCAACACACTGAAATGTGTGATATGATTGTTTGCAATCAACGCTGAAATCTGTGATATGATTGTTAGCAATCAACGCTGAAATGTGTCATATGATTGCTGGCAATCAACACTGGAATGTGTGATATGATTGCTGGCAATCAACACTGAACTGTGTGATATGATTTCTGGCAATCAACGCTGAAATGTGTGATATGATTGCTGGCAATCAACACTGGAATGTGTGATATGATTGCTGGCAATCAACACTGGAATGTGTGATATGATTGCTGGCAATCAACACTGAAATGTGTGATATGATTGCTGGCAATCAACACACTGAAATGTGTGATATGATTGTTTGCAATCAACACACTGAAATGTGTGATATGATTGCTGGCAATCAACACTGGAATGTGTGATATGATTGCTGGCAATCAACACTGAAATGTGTGATATGATTGCTGGCAATCAACACTGAAATGTGTGATATGATTGCTGGCAATCAACACTGAACTGTGTGATATGATTTCTGGCAATCAACAATGAAATGTGTGATATGATTTCTGGCAATCAACACTGAAATGTGTGATATGATTGCTGGCAATCAACACTGAAATGTGTGATATGATTGCTGGCAATCAACACTGAAATGTGTGATATGATTGCTGGCAATCAACACTGAAATGTGTGATATGATTGCTGGCAATCAACACACTGAAATGTGTGATATGATTGTTAGCAGCCGTCGGTGACCGCAATTTACAGACAACAGCAAGCTGATAAAGTAAATGATAGTTCTTAATCGTACAACCTCCATTATTTTCAAATAATTTAAAAGCTATATTATCTACCCCTAATAGCCTTCACTAATTCGACCTGGCTCTGCGATTGTAAACAATCAGCGTGAATCAAACAACTAACCAGACTAGATGGGGTATAGTGTCTAGAAAGTTATCTCCCCTTCTCTTATTGAATATAATAATCTATTGAGTGATTTAATTTTGTTATCTCCCCTTAGTTTCAAAACCATTTAATTTTTAGTGACAAATTAAACATCTAATTAAATTAAAATATAGATAGACTTGTATTGTCATTAAAGTAGAATGTATCTGGAAAGTTTGAACAAAATCACTGCATTAGAAGTGTGTCAAGCCACAGACATTGGGAACTAAGTAAAAGCTTGTAAAAGAAGGCTGCTTAACAGAAAAACTAATGATAAAAAAGTTGAAATTGTTTTATTTTCCCAGTCATGATAATTTGTGTAAAGAATGAAATGTTTTGTTCAAGTTATCCCCAAACTTGTGACTCATCTAAAAGAAATGAGAGACATGTCCCAGTAACATCTTGTAGTTAAAAAAAAAACGGTAGCATTTAAGTAGTGCACCAATGCCAAGTGGTGAGATCATTGTTTACTGTAGACAACCTATACAACAGGCATGTACATAATTTGTTGGGGCTGCGTGAAGGATGTAACAAGGTCAGGTTGCAGCTTCTTGTATAACACACAGCCATCAAACAAGACGTGAATGGGAATGCACTAGTAGCTGACCTACTTCAGTAACTATGTAATGAGTAGCAAGCAACACGGGGGCTTCTCACAAACATAATGTTCAGTAGCCAAGCAAGGGGTCATCCATAATACATGCTGTGCACTTATGGAATCTGACCTTCAGTCATTATACGAGGACGGGAGGGGGGGGGGGGTAGAATGGAGACGTTTAGAGTTTCTTTGAAATAAAAATAATTTAAAAAAAAAACACGTTAATTCTGCTTCAAATTTTTGTTATTCGGAGGTTGGTGTGACATTTTTCTAGAGGAAGTGAAGTTGGTATGACGATTTTCTGATGGGGAGGGGGTAGGGTGGAGCTACGCTAAGAATACGTGACGTCACGGATGTACAACACCGATAGTTCGTGTGTATCAAGCCGAACGCGAGGCTTCGCAACTCTCTTCTTACACAACTGCATAAACAAATTTATTTCTCAACATTTGCATGCATTAATTATTTCAATTATTCGCGCAACATTTGTTTTTCTTTTACAATGAATGACATGGCCCAGGGCAATCGATTCAATGATGTTTTTTAGTTGGCCGCCCGACCGGCGTTATGATAGCGCAGATCTAGATGAAGAAAAGATTAATCAAGAGACAACTAGATAACATCAGTCGCCGGCGGTGATGTCATTCATAGTTTCTCTCATAAAACTGGCGGCTTTTTACTACGAAACAGATGTGTAGATGAGGGCTTTATAATGTAGGAAGTACAGGCTTAAACATTTCGGAGAAACGCGATACAAACATCGTTTATACTGTCCAGAGTTTTGACACGATTGAAGTGAGTGAGTAACCACTCATCTTTAATCAATTGAAGGTCGCGAGTTTTAAATGACATAAAAAAAAATCTAGTACAGAGATAAAACTAACATACGTAAATAGCTATAGTTGAATAGCTGAACACAAAGCATGGCGTGCTATGTAATGGTTTTTAGACAGCCTAGATGAGGATGTGTCATGGAACTGTAGAGACAGGTACACACTATCTCTTACATTAACTGTGGTATTGTTAATGAATGAACGGACACAGAGATACGCGGTGTCACATATAGGCCATCCTCGTGGTGATGTAATGTGCTATGAATGAATAGCCTACACATAAATACAGAAACGTTGTGTCCAAACACATACAAAGCCGGTGGTAGTACAGTAATATACCATGACTGAATGAACAAACACAAACATAAAGATACGTAGTGAGATTAAATACTCATTGAAGTGAGGGTAGTGGGACAGTCTGGTGCACAAATCTAATAGAGAAAAAAAATATATAGACTAGCTTGAAATAGACTCCAACAAAACAGCTTTTCAGGCAAATGTGTGGGTTGAGCGCGCAGAATTCACGCACTGAATCTAGCGCTACTGACGCAAGTGTCATTTGATCGCATGCGAATCAGGCTGTAAATCGGAGGATTGGTTACTGTATTGTAAAGGAAACAATAGGGGACAGGCCCGTTCCGCTTGGGTCGGTTCAGCAGAAATGTGACATGGGAGCTGTGCAGTGGTGGAAGGACAGGGACCAGATAACAGGGTGACTCAGACCTAGGCGGGATTTGGGGGCAACGTAATCATTCATGTGAACAGGACGAACTGAAACAATTTATCAACACCTGCACTAACGGATGCCTCGGCCTTTTTAGCCGAACATAAAAATGTAGGCCCAACTGAATGCTGGTTAGAATACAGTGATGTGTTCGTGATGGTGTTATAAGACGCAACTCGTTAGCCAACGTTAGAGGGAGAAAACACTGTGTAGTTGTCCCACCAATACATCACACGTCAAGCCGATGATGACTGAAACTTAGCCCTATAGCAATAAACCCATTCGATCAATCCTACCCCATCCCTTCCTACTTGCTTATGCACAACAAATTTAAAAATGTAATGTCAGTACATCAGGATCTTCACAAGATGCAACTCCCCTTTATGATCACGAGTTTAAGGAGTTTTTTTTTACGTTGTAAAATAATATTTGGCTATTTGCCATTCAATCCCCGCCAAGAACTTGATGCGTCACAAAGCAATAACCAGTAAAACAGTCTTCAGACAACACCATTTTTACTAGTCCAACAGAGTCTTCACATGCACCATTTATACCATTAAAATGGTCTTCACGTGCACCATTTTGACCAGTAAATAACACAACTTTCAGGCTATTTTTGAGCATTACCTTGGTATCCATCTAAGTTTGACAGAGACCTAAAGGACCAGGTGTTCAAACATACACCTAACACACACAGGTATCAACGCACATGCACAAGCAGCCATCACTAATTAATGTCATAAACATTTTTAATTGAAAATAAAAAGACTCATCACACAGCCATTAAAACTTTACATAGCCATTGATCTGTTTTAATGTTATACTTAAGGCCCAAACAGAAAAATGTAGGCACAAACATAACAATAATTGTATGACCACCATAAAATTCAGTGAGAATTCACTTTATAATAACTGTTAATAAGGTTGTAATATTCACTATGCAGGCCTACACTTTTCTAAACATCAATGTTTACTGTAGTTTCTATTAGTTTGCTGCTCCAAAAATGATTACATGGTAGCGTAAATGGGGCCACCTGTCTCTGTTCTTTGGCTTTTCATTAGACAATATTAATAATAAAGCCAACATATCTTTTTACGGTATGATAATATTGCAGATATTTAGGTGTACAGAATGCAAATACATCTAGAATTTAAATAGATTTTTTAAAAAAAAGTAAACCTGTAGGCCTATATATTAATATTAACACAAGTATTTCAAGAAGTAAAAATAAAAATTGTAAGTATTTAGTTAATAAACGACCTAGAGAAGCATTTGTTGGCAGACTGTGCACAATGTATTTTGATACTCCTCCCTCCCCCACCCCTAGTAGTTGTGTCACTAAGTCAGGTAACTGTGTGGTAACCCAGGGTGTCATCCAACCCCCCTGCCAACTAATGTATCGATCCCCAACTCATTACAATGCATTTACACATGCCACATTATTATTATACATGTCTGGAATAAAAATAACTCGCAACATTAAATTTTCAATGAAAACATTTTCCCCCTGCAACATATATACTTACTCATGAGTTATTTTTTCTAGACGTAAAGTATACATGTCACATGTGTAAACACAGAGTAAGGTGTCATTTTGAACTTAATGATGTATATAATCTTGATAAGCAATTAAACAAAATTCCTCATTAAAACTAGTTTTTTGTATATTAGTGTCATTATCTCGTATGGTGTCATGTCACCCCTTGTGAAGCTACTGCCCCCACCGCCAGGTTGGCTCTGCATACATATTGCAATGCCTTAACTGTTCCCATTATCTGGTACCCAATGATAAATAGTCCTTATTACTTTAACAATAAACAGACATTAAAAAGTAGATTTAAATGAAATGTTGACCAAGTTTTCTTTTTTTATACCATAAATTCTGTGATCAGCATGAACAATGTATAATAACCCATTTACTTCATGTAATATTTTCTAACACAAAACAACGCCCAGTTTATTAGTGAAACAAATATTGTCAACATGTAGTAGTATAAGGAGATATTACCTGCCAATGTCTTCTTGCACTGTGTATTTGCTGTTGAATGGTTCTGTGCAGATAGGACTGCTAGGCACATATTTGCCGGGGCTAAGACCATTCATGGTGAATGTCTACTCAAACATTATTTAATTATCATGTCGCAATCTGCAAATTCAATGAAAACACATGTATTATTATTATCATATGCATTCAAATAAAACATTTAGTTTATCAAAACATGTAGGCCTAGATCATTTGATAAAGATGCAATAAAAATATAATCATCAGGATTCTTTTCAGATGTGCTCCTTTACAGTTTATTCTCATCTAGGCCTAGGTCAGTTCCTAAGGATAAAATCTCATGGTAACAATATGAAATGACAAAATGAACTACTCTTGATTCATTAGTACAGTTGAAAACATTAACTTTGATGTATCTTTATAGCTTATTTATATCAGGTTACATATCACTGATCAGACACTCGAACCTATTTAGTATTTAAATTATACTGTTCAGAATATTACTCAATTTACTGTTTTAAGTTTATATCTAACTTGATTGATGTAGCAAGCCTGCAGGTTGGTTGAGGCCTTGCCAGGGGAACATTCTGACCGGGATTCAAAGGGACGACTCGAAATATCATCCCTCTAAACTACTATATAGACCTACTATATATATATATAGATCTAGGCCTATATCATCAGTAAACTCTTGACTTAATTAAACTAAATACACTGAACTCTTTAAACTCCCAAAAGCCCAATCTAGAATCTAACTTAACTCTAAACTAAACGTAGATTCTAGATCTATACTAAAGACTAAGGCCAATGCTAGCCGGAATAAGATACGCATGCGCAATGGAGAGAAACTACGACTTGCCTTCGCGGCGATGTTTTCGATGGTACTGCGCATGCGTGTGTTTACAACCGCAGAACCCTAACATCAACCTAATCCTATCCCTAACCCTAGCCCTAACCCTAATCCTACCCCTAACCCTCATTCTAGCCCTAACCCTAGGTCACTGTGCATGCGCAGAGCTATCTTTTGCCGACTAAGTGGAGACGTTGGGGAGAAAAATCTTCTTCCGAGTAGTCACTTCGAAAGACTAAAGATAAAAGTTTAAATCAGTAGGTAAACTCTTGTTGAAAGTGTATCTTAAATTTTTTTAGTGTATTCTAGATCTAGATCTACTACTACTCTACACTAGATTCTAGTCTAGATTTCTAAGTCTAATAAAAATTTAAAATAAAATAGGTCCATGGTCTAGATCTAGTCTAGGAGTCTATGCCTAAAAAAATATTAGCGCCCCCCCCCCCCCCAATAATAAATTTAATAAATAAACTAAACTCAAACTGACCTCGAATTTTTAAAGAAAAATAATCCAAATTTCCAAATAGATCTAACCTACATCTAGATCTATAATCAGTAGTAGTTCACATCAGTATGGAGACGTAATTTTAATAATTACCTAATAAAATGTAAACTAAGTAAGTTAGATCTTTCGGTTATGCAGAGTTATGCTGTTTCTACTTCCCTTCCAGGTTTCCCTATTCTTCACGATTACAGTGACCTATTCTTCTTCCGGTAGGCCTACTGTATGAAAACGAGGCCATAAAACAAGAAAAAAAAGCATTCACACGCCTTCCCTAATCTAATTATGTCAAACAATTATGAATTATGTGATATATGCTTCTAACTTATAAGCATATATCTACCCATTCCTTAATTAGACCCAACTTTATAAGATAATTAGCTTAGCGTCAAATCTTTAATACTACCTATTTTTTTAAACCATTTTAAAATTGTTTATGACCAAGTTGGTGATTCAGAATCCGAGGGCGCTAAGATCTGAGACGAAAGATTATCCTGTTAGATCTACTTTCTACATACTTTTTTAAAAATTAATCTTTTTTCGTTGAATGTATTTTTATCTCATTTGACTCCATACAGAGCGTATGGTCGATACCACACTTCTACAAGGACCTCGACCGTTTGATAACTCTTGTGTCGACCCTAATCTAAAACTTCTGTCTAGTCACAGCCAGAAGCAGGATTCTCTTGCCTCGACATAGACTAGATCTAGAACTATTACCAATTTTTAAATTTATTATTTACATCTCTTTCACATAAAAAAAAAATTGTTCCAGTTTTCAACATTTACATATTTAGATGGACTCCAATTATTTTAACACCATTTAACATTGCCTGAATGTATGTTACGCTTATCTACAAATTAAACTTTTATTACAACTAATAGTTTCGTTTAATCAAAGGAAATTTTTATTATGTAGACCATTAGACAAATAGTCAATTAAGTCGTTTATTATTCAAGTTTATTGTATTGTATTGTAATAAGAAATTAGTATCTCCATTTTTAACTCAATTTCTCCATTATGTTGAGAACAAGTTTATTGATAATTTCCCTTAATTTTTATGAATTGACTAATGGGAAGTAACTAACACAATTTCATAATTAACACTGAAATTCCAAGGATATTGGAGCATGGGTATTTGGTTTCTACAACTAAACAAACATTATAACCTAGTGGGGGCAGAGTTTCTTCCAGGCATCTCTTCTGCCCCCCCCCCCCGAACGAAATGAAAATTATATAGAAAATATATAGGCGCCCCGCCCCCCCCCCCCCCCAAAAAAAAATTTCAAGTGCCCACCCACCCCCCCCCCCTGGAGAAAAAAAGTCTGGAAAAACACTGAGTGGGGGGATGGGTACTTGAAACTATATAGGCCAAGATTTTCTTTTCTATTTTGGGGTACGACCCCCTCCCACCTCAGAAAGATGCTTAAAAGAAACAGTAACTGCTCACTTGCAGCAGATGAGCAAAATGTAAAGTGGACAAATATTATGAAGCCAGGGCAACAAGTAGGCGATGTAGAATGCTTGCAGTGCATGATAAATGATTGTGTAATTACCTAACATTGGTCTGGTAAATACAGATATTGACAGCCTCAGGTCTCTACTGGTTTTTTATTTTGTTTTCTTTACGATAAATCAGTGATTGTTTTTTTTAATTTTTTTTCTGAGAAAGAGCCACTGTAGGTCCCACTAATCCACTGACTTTTAGTGCCACTCCCATTGTTTGATTTTTTAAGACACCACAAACCCAGAGGAATAAAAGGGTGAAGGCTCAGATTTCCGTGACATCTTTATTATTATGAATATTTATGCCAAAAAAAAAATATTGCTTAGTTTCAAATTTGCTTTTTTAATCCTTGTGGATTCCATGATATGCCTTGTCTGGTAATACTTTTTGCTGGTTTCCTCAGTGCCTATTCATCTTAGAGTTATGATTCTTGGAAAAAAATGGTCCATTGTTTATTACAACTGCTGAAATTTCCAAACACTGTCCTTCAGCATTTGGTAGGCAAAAATTAATTTACCATTTTAATCTTGCAGTCAGTCATTATATGAATTATGAATTATATATGATGGATCTTTAAGTCAGAAATGAAGTTTTAACATTATAATATGTAACAATTACACAGGCATATTACTTAAAAACACAATACCAGTAAAAAGAAATAAAGTGAAATACTTTACAACATTTATTAAGCTTTAAAGGCAATGTAAGAAGCAGGTTATTTCATCCAATGAATTACTTAAATTTGTTAGATTATCTCATCACTTATGATTTCCTGAACTCCTATATCAAGTTACAAAAACAACATTAAAACATTGTAATGTCAACTACTTGTCTACACCTCAAGTTATGGGAGCTGAAGAGAAATGAAATATCACACAATTTGGCAATACACGTTTAAAGGAAATACCAAAAGTGATGTTGTGAGTTATTACTAATAGATTTAAGCTGACCCTAGTGCCAGCCAGATCACCTATTAAACTGAAACAAGAACTACATGTCTGTGCAGAATGAAGTGCAAGAAAGGCACAAAGTGAAATGAAAGAGGGAAGACTACTCTGAGGGAAATCTTGTTGGTAAAGGGTGGTAACAAGGGATCTGCAGCCTGCTCTGTAGTGGTTTACACAAGCAATGTCCCATATTATATGACAGGTTGTAAATGGTCCAAAGTGTTCAACCGAATGTGTAAAGAATATAAAGATTTTCATCTAATACAAGGAAAAACATAGAACAGCCATAAAGAAATTTAAAGAAAATTTTAGTTATGCCAACAATTTTTAAAAAATATCTCTCTTATATGGAATTCCCATTCTAAACTGAATTTAGTTGATTAGTCAGCTTAAACTTAAAGAAGATAAAGGGAGTTGGGTTCATGCATTAATGTCCCAGCCATCAGAGGAATCACAGCAGCTATCACCAGTACTTAATTCAACCTACTCTTTGTAACACACAAGTACTGGTTTATCACAGTTTTAACTTTGGAGATTTTTACTTAGCAAAATAACTATATAAATTTGGTTCTATAAACACATAGAATCTACTATCTGTTTCCCTTTTAAAAGATTCAAATTGAAAAACTATAAACTGGTGTAGCATTATCAGGCACATAAAGCAACTAATGTGGCTGCAACTATAAACATATATATAGTATACATCCCAAATATACAATTTTAAAATGTTTCAAATTTTAAAAGTTATTTTAAATCATAAATTTAAGCTTTTGAAAGAAGATTTAAAATCTAGGAATGAAAATACATTTTGACTACTGTATCAAAAGCCTTTTTAGACATAAAAGATTTATTTTTATCTACTTTTCAATTCATAAACCTAATAAAGCTTGTAATGAATTATCTTCCAGCAATTATTTCCTTTACATCCAAAAAGAGGTTTGAATATTGTTTTTATTTACAGTTGGAAATATTGTACAGTAAACAATTCAACAACAGACAAAATGGAGATTGAATTTACAAAATTAGCTGTGACTAGCAGCAACCCTGTCTAAATCAAAAAGAAAAAAAAAAACCCTCAGAATTTAGCACTGGCTGACTTGCTCACAGTGTGAATGAAGAATTTACAAAATATTGGTACAGTAAACTGGGCTTTCTCAACAAATAAAAATATATTCAATACATTATTTCCAAACAGAATATAATATTTATAATTTAAAAAAACAAACTATGTGATATAGGAATAACAAAAAGTATACAAGTCTCTAACAGAAAACAGTATTACATATTCATTTTACATTTTTAAATGTATACACAAACATTAATATAATGCAACATAATTAGTTTTTTGTTTCTTTATATTAAAATGGAATGAAGTATTGGTAAATAATGGAAACAGGGTCTATCTTCTTTTTTTCTCAATTCTTTTTTAGCACGTCTTTAGTTGAAATCAAAACATTTGAGAAGGTATAACCAGAAAAATACAACAATAAATGGTGTGTTGAACTTCACAGAAATTTTTAAAAGTTATTTCAAATCTCTTTATAATTAAAAAAATTAATTTTCTTAACAGATATCCATAATGTAATAGTAATAGTACACATATTTACATAATGCCATTAACTGCTAAATCATTTTAAGATTTTTGGCCAAAAACCTCTTTACTGCTACAATGTTTGTTACCTGTTGAACAATTAGACTGAAAGAAACATGAAAACTGCAGACAGTATCACCTAGAGCTGCCAGTAGCTATCCAGAGGAAAAGAGAATCTTTACCTCCTTCAGGAGTTGTTCTGCTTTGTCACCTGCTTTCAGACAGTAATACTCTGCTGCTTGACCATGACCCAAATTAATTAGATAACGAGCATACTCCAAGTAGATTGCTTCAATCAAAGATTCTGAATACAAACAGATAAAAATGCCTCGTTTTATCAATACAAAACATTTGTAAATAAAATTATTATAAATATTTGTTTTCAAAAACATCAGTGTAAAAAATGTATTTTATAACATGTCTGTGATTAAAAGAATTTAATGAGCAAGTGCTCATGTATTATATAGTAAAAAAATAAAGTTTCCCTTTTCAACCTGACAGTCCATAGGGAAAGAAAACTAGAGTTCACCTGTTTCTGTGACCTAGGCATTTGAAGGGATAGTGTAGTCAACACTATGCCCAGCCCCCTAATGTGAGCTGGGTGGACTCAGGGACGTTCTACTGACTCATATTTTATAGTGCCTGTTAAAATTTCCTTACGTGTCTGTTCACTCTGTCGAAGTAAAGAAAACTCCTGGCAAGCTTCAAGGAAAAGTACAGCTCTGTCAAAGTTCCTCATGCTGTAAAGGTTTTCAAGAACTTTGTAGAACTGTCCAAGGCTCAAAAGTACTAGCACAGACTTGCTCTGGAAATTATTGTTCAATTAAGTCAGAATTAAGCGATAGCACTGAGTGAAATAATTCAAACTTACAGAACATGATAGCTCCAAATATTAATATGTTTAACGAGAAAAGCTACATTTTGTTATGTACAATTACTTGTATCTATTATATTAAAAGTAACTCTTGAAGAGCTATTTCTATTACTTCTTAGGATCTAAAATTTTCCAAATATATATAGTTGTATAGTGTTAATTACAAGTAATTAAGAATCAGTAAATTAACCTTACCTTTTGATTAACTTGGGTGCTACTTAAATATTCAGCCCATCTTTTCATTACCTCTGCACATTCTGAGGATTCTAAACTTGCCTATTTAAAAGGTAAAATAAAATTCTAATGATAACAAGTCGACTCTTGTGTATTTGTGAGAATTTCCATAAAGATAATAAAAAATTAAAATTTTATATCAGATGTAAATTTTTAAAATATATTTTTTTTACCGACTACATTCTTTTCAAAAAGTCTAATCATGAAAGACTAATGAGAAAATTAAGTGTGAGGAATAATATAAAGTTACTACTTAACCTTTGCCTTTACTAATACTTAATACAGTTTAAAGAGAAGTTAATTTTTCAAACAGTTATTGCATTCATTTATTTTACTTTTACAATAGTTATTGAAGTAGTTGTACTTCTGTTCAATAAAAGAAATTTTAAATCCAGACTGCAAGTTTTTTTAAAAATGAAATGTTACAAATGAATGAAAATAAAACACTTTGTCTTTAAATTGTTTAAAGAAATTGGGTTTTTAAGACCCACCTTAGCCAACCACACAGCATGGTCCCATGAGCCATATGTCTGCAAGTAGCGGCATGCATCAAGTCCTTTGTTTATCAAACATAATAACTGGACACCCTCTGGGATACAGGAATAAAAATAAATTAAAAAATGATACATTAATTTTTAGAATTGTCTTGACTTAATTTTTTTTTTAACAAATATTTAAAATCCTACCTGTGAGACGCCCACTAGCAATTAAATTTGTAGCAACAAGTTTTATTGTACTTTGTGAAGCTCCTGATGACCTTATACTAGCCACAAGACAAGCTCTGTACAAAAATTTTCATGTTTGCTCAAATATAATATTTTTTAAAGTCATAAGTAGAAAGACTTATATTTATCATAAGTTTCTGAAACAAATTTAAAAAAAAAAAATGAGTTTTGGTCCTTACTTAAGGCAATCTATGTAGTAATTATCTGATTCTGATTCAGTCTCTAGCAGTAGCTGGACAGCTCTGTCACTTTGACCCAGCTGTACATAACTGTCAGCACATTTCTGAGTGTGCTCCATGGTGGCTCGCTTGCTATCTTGTAGATGCACCCGGTCAAGCTGGTATTTCTAAATTAAAATACATAAGCATTACTCTTCCATTTTAAATGTTGAAAAAATTATTGTTTTAAGTACATTTTAATAATTTGAAGAAATTTCTTTAATCTTACAAAAAATTGCTGTATTTGCAATAATTTAGCCAATGTAAGTAGTATTTGATGAACATTTCTTAAGAAATAATTTTTATGTAATTTACATCATGTTAAATGTTCACAGCTAATTTAGGATACATTATTGACATTTAGCTTTCATTTAAACATATACTATACAAAAAGCTTTTATTACTCACACACTATTATTCTATCTAATTGATTTTCAAAAAATGTCTTTATATATAAAAAAAATGCATTTACTATTTTTGTTAAAATTAAACATGCTTGACATAAATATTTTTTAATAAAAATAAATTACCTTAAAACTTTGGTTGTCACATAAAGTATCATAACATCGTTCCAAAGGCTGATCTTTAAATACAGCACTTTGGTTTTGCTCTAAACTAGACTGGTCATCTAAAACCACAAGGTCATGAGCCTCTTTGTGAGCAGGAGTAGGGGGGATAAACATGTCTCCACCAGCATCAACTCCACCCTCAGTCTGCTCAAGAACATGAGTTTTAAAGAGTTATTTCTAAAATTCTATTACTCTCAAAATAAAATTGAGTACTAGACACAAGAGCTAACCTTATTGTAAGGTAAACTCTATCAATAAAATAAAGTACATAAAAGAGAAATAAAATTAAAGTGAGCACCAACTTTGAGTGGTCCATGAGCTCTGAAGTATCTTAAGTAGAACAATGCAACAGTCCAAAAATGAACTTCAGATTCATCCCCAAACAATCTATAAGTTAATATAGAATGCATTTTTAAATAAAAGGATCCAGATAAGGTACTTGTAACTGTAACTAACATTAAAAAAAATTTAAAACTCTAAACGATGAAAAATTTAATTGTTAAGTTTGAGTTTTTTGTATTAATGCAGAAAATATTAACAAAATGAAAAAAAAAAAACTCCAATCGCATTAATTGGCTATATCAAAGATCTAAAAACATTTTTACTAAAAGATATCTTCCATACTTAAAATACAACATACCTGGCTATGAGAAGACACCGATGAGCAGTACCAAATTTAGCAAAGGGTAGATAATCAGCCAATTCCCTTTTAAAAATTAAAAACAATTTATTTTTTGGATATACTAGACTTGAGCATATAGTTTTTATTCTTAAGGTCTAAATTAAATTTTAATCCACAATTTTTTTTTAAAAACATGTAGATTTATAGTTAAAAATCTTTAAAAATCAATTACACTATTTTTTATAGATATGATTTTACAAGAATATTGAAATTAAAATGATAGTACATACTTATCGATTTGATTCAGCTGTGCATTAAGGCGCTTTTGAGAAGACTTGTCTTGGTCCAACACGCCTGTGATGGACAATGTGTAGTTCTCTCTCCAGGCTTGGTGCTGCAGCAAACATTTAAGCAACTGAGACTGACGAGCTGTCAACAGATGGGGGTAGAATACCTGTTCTGTAATTCAACATTAGTAACACTTTTAATATTCTGTGCTGACTTATATGCATTATATTTATATATTTTTTATTGCATTTAAAAATAAAATTATGTAAACATCTGACACATGTTTTAAATTAAACTAAGTTATTTTACTTCTAAATTTATACATTTTCTGAAATAAAGTTAGCTGAAAAGAAAAGCGAAAACATAATTTAATGTAATATTTTATCCAAGAATTTTTAAAGGTAATGTCAAGTTAATCTATACAAAAATTATCTTTATATTAATGATGATTTAAAATGAGGATAATGTAATAATTCACAGTACTGTAATTTAGTGTAATTGAATTTTGGAATGTGAAATAAAATGTGTACAAAGTACCAGGCAAATCCCAATTTTCTATGGTGGATGTGGCAGATTTCAATGTAATATCACAGATATGAAGAGAACTGTGTGTTGTTATTAATGCTGGTCTATCAGAGCCGGCCCAGTCAATGTCCACTACTTTACTGATATCCTTTGGGCTTTTGATGGAGTGAAGAACACTGGACTAGAAATAAAATATGGGTAAACAAAAAGAACTAAAAAATTGTTAAATATAGTTACACTACTAGGTAGGTAATATATGTGTGTATATACCTTCCCTTCTGCACCAATGTCCCATATTAAAACTCCATCATTGTGCAATGTAAAGAACTTCATGTTGTCTCTTCCTGGAGCAAATCTAATTTTCTTGATCCATCCTCGGTTAGTAGGGGTTGTCCTGAGACAGATTGAGTCAAAATTTGACAAATATATACTTCAAGACTGAACAAAAACAAGCATGTTAAACCAATCAAAAGTTCGTATAAAAATGCAGGTAGGAAATACAGCATCATATGTCTGCTAGCATCACTCTTATTACTCAGGTTTAAGATAATTGGAAAAAAACATTAAATGCATCAAACTGTTGTATTGATATATTCCTCTGCTGCCCCTGGAGAGCAAAGGGCTGCAATCACACCTCTCCACCGGACTGTTTTGGCCGGCTCTCCTTATGTAAGCCCAACGAATTTTGCCTTTTCTTCTACTGTTCTTCCGTATGATTTGTATTGTATTAATTATCCTATTTAATTTGTATATAAATACCTTGACACTTTAGCTTTCAGGTCCCACAAACACTGGAATCCCTCTGCATCACCAAATATCAAACAATCCCCTTTCCAGGCCAATGCTGTGATACGGGCTAACCCACTCTGTGGTCAAAAAAACATTTTTAAGATCATTAAACATGTTTTACACTGGGTTTAAATAATTAGTATTTCTTACTTAACAGTTTTAGTGTGTAAAGTATTTAAGTTTACACATGTCCAATTGTAATTTTTTAAAAAATACAAATATTCAAATCATTATTTTTATATTAAGTAAAATTCAAAAGAGAATATCTAAAAATCTTTTAAACAGATACCTCAGGTGGGATCTTTGTGACATCAGAAATGGCAGCTCCCTCTACAATAAAATGAAATACAGTGCCATCTTTGTCTGTAATCACAAAGTGCTCTCTGACACAGGTCTTAGGATTCTTCGTATCTCTTTTAATAGTAAAATATTACATTCAATTTGCTGATATTATTGTATATTAAAAAATGGCTAATGGGGTACATAAAAAGAGTTTTTTTACAAAGGACTACCTTTAGAGCTAAAATGAAATATCATATATTCCAAGACATATCTACAAAAGTAAAACCAGATCTGCCAAAAGCAATGAAATTGTTAATTATTTACAAAAATAAATGAGTAGAAAACACAGCAATTTACTTTCCCTCTTGTGAGTCTGATGATGTAGTCATCTTTGCAGGAGTGCTTGCTGGGGCTGATTTATCATCCTCCCCACTGTCGAGGAGTTTCTTTCTCAATGTTTTTAGACTGTGGGAAGGTGACCAAACCTAAAAAAAAATTAGAGTTAACCATATGATATTCATTATGTAGGGTAGATAATTCTTTAAAGCATTTCATAAAATGTCATGACAGAAAAATTTAAAATTCATTTTGGCTAAAGCTTTTTAAAGAACATTTAAAATAATTTGTATATGGTCTAAATGGCCTTAATTTTATTACCAAATTAAAATTAGAAGAAATGCAAAATATTATACAAAAATAATTGGGAAGAAAAATGAAAAAAAAACAACAAACTTACAACTGTAGTAGGACGTGGGAAGTTGCGAGGAAGCTCACGTACTATGGTCTGTGTTCTTAAATCCCATAATTCTAAAGGCTTTTCTTTAAAGAGGATAACCAAGTATTGCCTGAAAGTAAAGCTTGTATTTAGTATCATCGACATTAAGGTTTTAAAAATAACAGCTAATTTGTTGTTTAAGACATTGGCTTATCCATGTGTTAATGATACATAAAAGCCTAAAAATAACTATAGAAAATACAGTAACTTGCTTCAAATGTGAAATCGAAATCATTTCTATAGGAGTTTCACTCTCCCTGTTTGTTCTCAGTTGTTCTTGTCTACCTAAAAGTAAGCACAATTTTAAAAATGTGTAGTTTCACTAAATTATTTAATATGAATTTAATTTAAACAAATATTGTGAGTGACATTTATCAGAAATGAGTAAAAAAAAACACTGACTGTTATAGTTTTTTAAAAAGTATCAATACCTGTTGTTAAATCCATACTTATTAGCTCATTTTTAACTAGATTTGTTGGCCCCAGATTAGGATATGCAAACGACACAAATGTTTTTAGCCCTGACCATTCTAAACCCCTGAAAAAAATTACAACAGCTTATGATATAAATATGTATCCATTTTAACTAAGTAGACAATAACATACATTTCTGTACAAAAAACAATCTGTTACAATATTGTAAAATGTAAAACCCTAAAAAAAAATTCAATTCAAAACCATAGTGTAATAAAGAAACTATATTTTTTTTTAAATTTGAAAATGAATCTGTACAGTGTAATTTAAAAACTTGAATCATATTGAACTGTACTTTCAACAGGAGGAAACCTTCAGTTACCTAACTGGGCTGGAGTGTAAATTGTATTCTCTTTCTATCTGTCCACTGGCAGCATTGGCTATCTGTACACACCCTGAGTGAGTTCCTGGAGAAACATTCACATCAACCATCAGTCTATTCACTCAAACATGTGTTACAATATACTATAACAAGATAACGTTAAAAATATATTGTGATTTGTTGATCTACATTAGGAAGAAAACCTCTTTTAAAAATCCATCAGTCTTTATACATAAACGTGTTACAATCTTATGATAAGAAAATAGCTAGGAATATAATAAAAACTCATCATTACATAAACAACAGTTACAATCTTACAGCAACAATAAAAAACAACTCAATATAAGATGTAGCAACCTACCAAGTGCTATAAGTGGTTGATATACATCCATGTTTTTGTTAGTGAGTGGCGGGCACATCTTCATGACTGTGACGTGAGCTGAGACACCACTAATAAGTCCAGTGAGTAGGAACTTTAAATGTACAGACTGGTTTGTGTAGTCCAGTGCACTGTCTATTATCTGCAGAGATAAAATCATCCCTCTTAAACTGCATTAGACACAGAGTTTGATGAACATTATATATAACAACAGACTCATAGCATATTGTAGTTGATAAATGTACCTGTGAAGTTCCAATAGAATCTGACAATGAAAATTGTGGGTGTGGCACATTTGAAAAAACTGGGAACGGAATATTTTCATCATGTTTTGGTGGTTTTGCATCCCATCCTGCTCCGATCAATGGTGAATTGATATGGTAGTCATTTCCTGTTGTCTATTAACAGAAATTTTGATTTTAGTAATTATGTAGAAGAATCTAAATGAAAATAAGAACTTTCTAGCTCTGAAAGTTCAACTTTTTTAAACAAGAAATTGTACGTGATTTTTTTTTTTTTACATGATGAATATTTTTAAAATAGTATTGTTTTTCACTGGCATGGTCGAATGATAGAGCATAAGACTGCAAACACGAAAGTCTTGAATTTGAATCCGGGTGCAACTTGGTAAAACGTCATTGAGCCCACACATGTCTGATTCATCCCCGACTCATGTTAGGTAAAGTAAATGTGGTTGGGCATAGTGCTGACCACACTATCCCTTTATATGCTGATGTTACAGAAACAGGTGAACTCTACTTCTCTTGCCCCATCACGTTTGAAAGGGAACTTAACTTATATTTACTTATTGTTTATCACTGAAAATTTAAAGAAATTGAAGAATCTGATTTTTATCAATAGTAAAACCATAAGATATTACAAACAGTACAATAAGTAGTTTTTTTAAACACCTGCAATGCTGAGAGCTCCCAAAACATGACACGGCTGTCACTCATAATAAGGGAGATAACTTTCTCAGACACTGGACACAGAGATGAACAGTACAGCTTGTTGTGTCTTGTTACCCGTAATGGATCTGACTGACAGCGTAAGTCATATGCCACTTCCATAGACAGTTGTGTGGGTGTATCATCTGTGGTAAGGGACACAACAGTAAAGCAGGCATTTTTAAAGTAAATACATTTTTTTTTATATCTGCCATTATTTTTAAAACCCAAAAGCAAAATACACACATAAAGAAAGCTTCGATATAAGTGAAGTATTTTCTGTATTTTAATAACATCTAGTTGGAGATGATAATTTTCTTACTATTGCATATTAAATGGATAAAAAGAAGCAAAATTTTAAAATTCTAAGAAATTGTGTTGTAAAAACAAAGTTTAATCTAAATCTAACTTTGTAATATAAAATTATATATTTAAGCTACACAACAACAAGCAAAAAGCATTTTTATGAGATTATTTATAAGTAGGCATTAAAAGCAAGTGAGAAAAATAATTTAATAAAGGGAAGATAATTTAATTTTACTTACCATTGAAAGGGGTATAGGGACCAACAAGATAAAGCATAAGAACAATTATAAAAACTATGATTTATAAAATATTTTCAACAAGAACATAATTTTACACATTTTTAGTTTACTCTGATGCATAAGAGTTCTCCTGAAGACTTACCAAAAGCTCCATGCCCTTCTGGAGCAGGTGTGTTTACAGAATTATTTCTGCGCCGAACTCTAACTGAAACACTGCCATTTTCATGTACGCACATCAGAACATCTCTCTGCCAACAAGCTATAACCTTCAAAAATAAATTTAATATTTTAAATTCTACTCCTTCTATACAAAACAAAGTGTTGATTTGTTTAGTTTTCACGCTAATTTATTAGATTAAAAACTGTTTAAAAGCTAAAAAAATATTTTAAAATTAGTAAAAAAATATTCTGATTAACCTTTGTGAAAGATGAGCTTGATCTATCCAAGGCTATAATCCCAACTGTTTGGTTGATTTCAAGGTCAAGAATCAACATTTCTCTGGGATAGAGAAGCATGAGGTGGTGTCTACATGAGCGGTGAAAACACAGCTGTAAACATTCATTCAAGGTGACACTTTCCTCGTCAGGAGACCCTCTAGATTAAAAAAGAAACATGTATACATAACATTCATACATAAAAGTATTCCAAATTTAGATCTAATAAAAATTCATAAAAAGAGGTACGTATTGCAATTATTGAATCAAGAACACTTGTAGTGAATACCGTAATTATTTTACTTACTTGGGTTTGGCTTCGCCAACCAAAATCCGGCTCATTCTCTTTGCCAGATTTTTTGATGAAGATGCTGATGACGTTGAAGTTTTTCTCTCTAAGCTGTTGGTGCTGGCTGATCGTGACATGTTTGAAGCTTTTAAAATACATTGATTTTTGCTTTAAATAATTTCTGCTTTCAAAAAACTATAAGCAATAAAAAATTTTTTTAGATAACACTCAAATTTTATTTTTAGGAAACTACCTTGACTTGGATTGGAGATGTAGAATTTCTTTCCATTACTAGATGGTGATTTGTTGATGTTGAAGTCAGTCACAAAAATAATGCTATCCTGGCCCAAGACTAAATCATAAAACATAAAACACAAATATTTTAAACATCTTTGTAATTTACTAATTTAAACTAACAACTTTAATTTAGAAAAATCACAATGCTATTAAAATAACAAAATAAAGTGAAATTTTAAAATATATTATCTAGGATTAATAATATTTAATAAACTTACATGCCAGATTTTTGCTACTAAATGGATCAAAAGTAAAACTTAGCAGGTTTTCAGTGTAAGACTTTTTCCATAGTTTGGTTCCAGTGTCAGCATTCCATAAAATAAGGGAATATGGTGGATGCAAACACACCAACAAATCCCTGCAGGCATCTTGATTACTAAGCCATTGCATTCCTAGAAAACATAATTGGGATATTTTATTTATTTATTTTACAATTCTGATTTTGTTTAAAATCAGTTTTTATTCTAATTAAATGTTTTTTGTTTTTTTTTTAATATTATAATCAAATTTAAATTGAAGTGAGTAACCTAATATGGGCTTGTTTCCATCCTCAAAAGCAGATCTAACTATACCCAGCCCCACGTCCCATACTATAATGTGACCATGAGTGTCTGAAGATGCCAAGCGAAGTGTATATGGAGAATTCAGATCATGGTGGTAATTTTCATGGGCCCATTTAACCTAGCAGAACAATTAGATGTACAATCATAAATTATTTATAATCAAACTAAAAAATGCTTCACACAATATAGTTTAGTAATTATTTTAATAAATTTGTTAGCAAAAGAAATAACTAATCTAAATACAAGTTACATATAATAAGAAGGTTAAAAATATATTGGTGTTTCATTAATAAAATCAGGTTTTAAGATGTTGAATAAATGAGAAAAAAATGTATTAAATATTGCTATTAATTTTAAATACAAACAAACTTCCCAGAAATCAGAGAAAAGGGAGTGGACAACTAGTAGTGGAGAAGGCTGTTGCTATGTATTAAGAACAGTCAAACAATTAATGAGGAGGAAGGATAATCCACAGCTCAACAGAGTAAGATGGCAACTATTTTTTTTTTAATTGTAAGTGAACAGGATTATAATAGTGATTTAAAAAAAGATTATGAAAAAAACCCAATCATTAACCCACATTTAACTATTTTTACATATAATGTGTAGGCCACACAAGAATTGACCAAGAGGTCTCTATCAAATCTGCTCTGATGGGACCTGCTAAGTCAGGGAGAGTAAAGATGGTTGGGGATTGTGCTGATCACAAAAACATTCATATGCCAAGGTAATTAAAAACAAACTCTACTCCATCTGCCTAATAAACAAATAGATCTGAAAGGGTGCTTCTTATATTTTATTAAGTGATGAAAAGTATGCTACATCTCTTACCTGAGTGATAACTCCTTTATGCTTATCCAGTACTTGAATAACCTACAATTATAAATCAATTCATTAATATAGATTTACAAAGATGCCTTAATTTACTACAAAACTTACTAATCATACTCATGTCCCCATCTTTCTAAACTGCACTGTTACTTATTACTAGTTTAATGCAATGGTTATAAGAGTGTACTAGTGCGAGGGAGAGTGAGAAAATTTAAATGTTCATAAAAGAAATAAACATAAGTCGATATGTTGCAGGTATATAGAACATTTTCTGGGTACAAAACCACACCCCTTTTTGTGTTCTGGACTAAGTTTTTGTTTTTCTTGTTAGAGATCTAATTCATCTTGTGCAAATAATAACACAACATACATGACAAACTATTATAAAATGTGTATTGTGGGTATCATTCATATTGGTCATGTATCTTCTTTGATAATATGAGTATCAAAATATTCTTTTATTTTTTTTATTTTTAAAGAAAAATACAAACCTGGACATGTTTGGGTTCCACAACAGTAACCAAATTTTGGCAACCATAAGCCAGGTATCCTTGCCATCCCCTGTTAATAAATATTCCACAATTATACGAGTTTATTTACAAAATTAATAAGAGTTTGTGCACTAAGTTAACAGGAATAGCCTGTATATTTTTCACAGAGCAGAAATGATCTACAAACCAAACAATGTTTTTAGTTTTTACTTTTGTCCATAAGGGTGGGTTCTAAGTGGAAGAATGAAAAGATCTCTGGTCAGATTAAGTAAGATTATAACTGAAAGCTATAACAAAATGGATGATCTTATGGAAGCTTGGTCATAAAAACAAAATTAAAACTCAAATCAACCCTCTTCCAGTTTTCATAAATTATTAATTGAACTGCAAAACCTAAGTAAATGTCAGCAACTTATGTAAAAGTGTTGTTTTTAATGTTTAGAAATCTATATTTAGGTTTATTTGCATTACAAGAACATGGGCCCTTACAGTTATACTATACCACTTACATTACAACCATATTTATTTAACAATTGCAAATTGGTAGACTTTGGGTCTTGGACATCACCCCCCTTCAATTACCCCCTACCCCCCACCCCTAGCTCAAGAATCCTGACCATGAACCTAAAGAGTCCAATCATTTGGCTAGATTTATGACTGTTTTTTTATTTCACACCTAAAAATAGAATGTTTACGCTTTCTTCATTGATGATCGTTTTTATTATTTTTTAAACTGAAACTAATATAACTAATAATTTAAAAGTATGAATTATTAGTTAGATTGCATGTTTTGTAACTTGGTATACAATTGTGATTTGCCACACCCGGGTCACACCCCCTCAAGAAAGCCTGTGTTTATTAAGCTGTTTACCTCACTTTACAACATTAATTAACATTGATTTTCAAATTTTTATTACTTATTGGGTGAGATTAAGCACATGTTTACTAAAAATAAAAAAATAAAAAGTAAATTTTGTGTTATGAAACGACGTCATCAGTATGGTGGGTATATGATGGTGATGATGACTGCAGTGAGAGGTTCAAATGAAACGCCAACACAATTTCAGCTGAACAGGTTTAATATCATAGATAATGGAACTACACTGTATATGGTAGTCTTACTATCGTCTAAGGAAGCAGAACTAGTTCATTAATAGCGGCTGGCCTAATAGGGGCCAGCCCTACCACACTTTACTAGAACACAAAAAACACGACTACATTCTAACCAGCCTAACGTTCAACTGTCCTATCTTTCTGGCCCAAGCTTGACCCTTTAGGTTCCTTAACCCCTGCCTGACCCCGGCATTCCAGCGAGGGGGAGGGACGGGCGCCAGCAACTGCTAGGTGGGACTGATGCATTGTGTCCCAATTCAGGGGGGGGGGGTGAGGGGAGCTGCGGAGGGGCAGTACACGCTATCACAGTTCAGGTGTGGGGCAGGAGGGGGTGGGGTAGATACCCACTAGCGGTGGGACGAGGGGGTTGGACTCAGTTATAACATTCTGTTTTAATGAAAGTCACAGGTCAAATATTTTTTCCTTCAGTCTCGTTCAGTGGAGGGTGCCACAGGCTGACATGACTTTGGAACTTTTTTCAGTAATAATGTATATATATAATTCTCTTCTGGGAGACGCTAGAAAACAAGCTGTAAGCGCGCTCCCTACCGCCCCCACCCCCACATGGTCTGGTGAGCTGTGGTTCACGCTAAATGTTTACAAGCAGAGCCGGGTTTAGTGACGACTATTAGGGGCAGATAATTTAGTTTGAAACGATTTTAAACGTGGGGGGGGGGTAACTAAGTGGAGTTTACTTTAACGGAGAAGGGGGGAAGGAGGGGGGGGGGGGGTTATCGTCCTTAACGAGCTACTTATAGTGTTTTCAACAAATATTTTCAGTTGCAGCGTTGGTACTGTCGAATTCACAATTTATGAATTACTGAAAAGTAGAATAAACAACAACTAAATAGCGGCGCATGATATGCCGCAGGTCGGCTCGTAAGTTAATAATAACTTTGCACAAAAAGTTAAAATATGCTAAATTAAATTGGCTTAGTTTACTAGTGTGCTAGCTATTAGTATTATTGATAGGCTACATTTTTAATAAAAAATGATTCTGTAGTGTAATTCTCATCAAAATGTGTAGTGTAGGCTATGGCGTATTAGTATGATTTATGATGATCAGCTGAGTATGTATGTCAGTATGTCTTCTTACTCTTACATTTTCATTTTCTTCTCACATTTTACAGCATCGTCATTTCACATTATGCATTTTACCAAGACCTGATAACTGAATAAGAAAGATATTCAATATCATGTCTCACCTCAGTATCACTACTCTGAGACTCTCAGTCTCACTCAGCAACTCAAGTCTCCTCAGTCCTCAGTCAGTCACCGACCGACTGACTAGTCACCGAGTCAGTAGTGTTGTCAGGGGAAAACATCCAACAACTGGGAAATCCCCCATTCATTAAAAAAAATTAAATTCAAATTGCAGTTAAAACTTACCAATCACAGGCATCTTTGTTGTGTGCATGAAGGGTACCGGTTATAATTTTTGGATATAATTTCATATTTATTTATGTTACGATTGTATTGTTGATACTACAAAACGGAAGTGATAAGTGGGTGGGTTATTGATCTTGGTCGAGTTTTAGGAAACTGAGCGCTACAAGCGCATTTGAGTATTTTCCTTAAAATAAAATCTATGCTGGGGAGGGGGGCGCAAAAAAGCAAAAAAAAAGGAATATTATATTAAGAAATCAGTCCTAGTCATAGTAGTGATTTTAAATTTAATCTAGATCTAGATTATATCTATAGTCCATCCTGCATCGGAGTAAATTCAAAATTCACACTGGGCTCGATAATGTAGGTCCCCTGGGGTGGTACATAAATGGCGTCACATACATAGAGGGGGTTTCGTAATGATGTAGGAGGTTCAGATAGTGTGACGTCCCACTTTCGCATTTTAAAAAAGTAATGTTAGAAATTTAATTTTTGCCAATTTTAGAAAATTGTTTTACATTCATAAATTGTAGTGGAAATTGATAGAACACAGACCCATTCTAGATGCATATGTTGATTGAGCTCTAATATTTTAGAAAGAAATCGATCTTTTAAAAAAAAAAAAATCAGCTGCAAATATTTTTAATGGGAGAGGGTGGGAATTTTAGGCTGATATTTTAGGGGGAGGAGCGGCTTTTTTGTAACGAAGTGTGACCGAGGTAAGGTGGCTGTAACAATCGTTAAAAAAAGCGCGACGATTGTAGGAAAAGTCACAGGAAATGAAGTCCCCAAAAAGTCATAAATTTTTACTTGCATGGAATCCGCTAACTAATTTCTTTTTAAAGCAAGTATTTGGATATTACAATTCAATATACATTTAACTATAATATTAATGTAAACATTTTAAATATTTGTAATAAATTGTGTTACTATATGGTCAAATTTATGAATATGTAAAAACATTTAGTCTGTAGTTTTTTTTAACTTCTTTGTATTCAACATTTTTTTTTTTAAATTTGAATTTTCGTGAAATAAGAAGAAAAAATCAATGTGATTGGCTGGTTCCAACCCATCGCAACAATATTTCAACCATGTCGAGAGTGACGAGAGAAAGAGATAGATTGGCTATAGGCCTATTCATCTTCAATAATGTAATGTTTTTACTGCTCTCAAAGGTACTGTTATATTGTGATATTCTTGCTTCTATCAAATGTAACGTTCTTCTTCTCTTCTATTTCTCACTCTCAGTCACAGTCACAGACGATCAAGAACGAAGAATAAGCAGTCTTCTGCAATCTTTATTTGACTATCTTTCTTGAGCGGGAATTGTCTGTGTAGCGCGCATCTAACAAGACTATAGCGCCAATACGTGTGCTGCATAAATTACTCGCTAGGGCCGTCGTTTCTCCATCCCCTCTAAGGCTAACGCACCGGCTTATATACCCCACCCGCGAGCGTCTCGGATGACACCTTGCTCTTGGCACGAATTCTAACGCTTACCTGTGAAAATTTCCCCCGCTTTTGTGCTAACCGACCCCAAATAACCCTATATAAAAACTTAACGCGATCTCCTAAAATTCTAATAAGCTTATCCTCTGAAACCACAGACAATTCCCTTTACAATGATACAAATTACAATAAACATCAATAAGTTGTTCTTCAACAATAATACTTTAAACATGCAAATATTGTAAAAATATAATCAAATACACCTAATTAAAGTAGATTTCCATAATATCGGCTTGCTCCTAACTAACACTAAGATATTCTAATTAAAGATCAAGCTTGGCCTAATAGTTCTTCCAATTTTCATGCTATAATAACAACTATTTATTAAGATATGAATTTTTCTTCTTGCCCTACTAAGCACAATTGACTGATTTCTAACAAATTCACTACAATAATTGACACTTGACAAAACGTCCCGCGACTAATTGCTTAGTACCGAAAAAAAAAACCCCAGATGTAGCCAAAGATGGGAACTGAATAGAAAATGGTGCATCTGATCGTTGTTTATGTCATCCACTATAAAGCCACCGAAAAGACGAAGAAGAATGCATTTCATGCGTAATAAGTGATTATGTAATAATTAAAGTATAAATGAAAGTATGGCTATTATTAGTTTTAAGTTTGTGTTATAAATTTTCAAAACGAGAGGTTTCTTTTTTTTGGGCTTATTTGCACAAGTTTAATAATGAAAACCACGCGCGAATATGGTTTTGATTAGTAATGAATGTATCTTATTAATTATGAGCTTGACATGATTATTTGTTATTACTGTTTGGTTTTTTTTTTAAATTGAAAAGCCAGCCATGGGATTGGCAATAAACTACGTCATCCAATTTCGCCGAACCCCCTCCCCCTACCAATCGCTAAATGTAACAAAAATCCAGAACCACTAAAATCCACGCGACCTACCAGACCACTAGGCTGTATGGGCTATATAAATTTAACTCACCAATAAAAACATGTTTTCAATTTAAAAAAAAAAAGAAACGCCCAATAAACGTCTTCCATTATGTGTGACGTCACTTAATGAGACCAGCCCCCCCCCCTCCCCTTTCTAAAAAGTATTGTTAATGAGCATTTCTCTTTGTTTCATTGCGTTGAAAGGTTTGAAGTATACTATTGATGAAGTAGCAATTTGCGCCTGCGCCGTTCTTCTGAATAAATAACTCATTATCAAGAACCCCGTATCATAAGGTACACACTACAGTACAAAGTCTATGTTGATATTTAAATGCTATCTTGGATGCTGGACTACTTCAGTTGGCGTTAGCAGCTCTTCAGCGTCGTGAACAGCGTGATCAACACAAACCAGGTGCTGGCCACGCTGTCTTGTTGTGGTGATCAGCTGTGAATTGGAAACTCTGTTTATCTCCCTTTTTAAACATAATTTTTGAAAAAAAAATGCACAGTGTTGAATACAATAGAAAAAATATTTTTAAATAGAGATATGTTTACGATTTAGACTAGGGATGATAAGTAGCCCTTCAAAGAATGTTATTGGTGGGGGTCCGGGAGGGGGGTATTAGCCCACAATAGTTTTATTGCTCAAGGGAACATTTTAAAGCTAGAAGCAAATAAATGAAAGAGTAAAGGTTAGGATTATGATTAGGGTTGGAGCAGAGGCGTAGCGACCCTTCCCGGCGCCCGGGGACAAACTTTTCGATTTGCACCCCCCCCCCTCAAACTTCCGATTTGCACCTCCCCTCGAGATTTCGATTTGCACCCCCCCCCCCTCAAACTTTCAATTTGCGCCCCCTCAACCTTTCAATTTATTTTTCCAACCCATTTTGGCGCCCCCTAAGCTCGGCGCCCGGGGACATATGTCCCCCCCGCCCCCCCCCCCCTCGCTACGCTACTGGGTTGGAGGTATACCCATTCAACTATAGGCTATCTATTTCATTAGTCTTTTAGTCTTTTTTTTGTGGCTTAACTGAAGAAGCCTTTTCTTTAAAGGGTAGCTTAAAAGGCCGGCAAACATATTGAACCCAATCTCAAATAAATAAATAAAGTCCCGCAATATTTGAGATTTTTTTTAGCTATAAAGTTTACTGTGTGAGCAAAATTTTCCATCTTGATATTTCGGGGGGGGGGGTGGAGGAGGGGGGCGAAACACATTTGCCTGGAGGGGGGGGGGGTGTCCCGTTGTCAGTCCCCCCCCCCCACCACCCCCGAAAAGATGCCTGGAAGAAACAAACTCTGTGTATATATATATATATATATATATATATATATATATATATATATATATATATATATATATATATATATATATATATATATATATATATATATATATAGCCCTTGACTGAGCGTAAACTAACTGGTCATTAATATTTTTATTAGTTACATTAGGCTTACAATGTATTTTCTGTATGGTTTATTTTTTAAGGACTAGTGTGTCACAGACGATTGCAGTTTTTATTTTTGAAAAAGGGGGGAGGGGAGTGAAAATTCATAGCTCCGGCAACCTAAACTGCATAAAGATTTATCTGAACTAGATATAGAATCTACATCTAATCGATTCTAATGCTATTATAAATTAGAGGTTCCTTGTTAGGCTTGTAAGCTTATAAAAAAGCATGTGGCTTCTATCTTGCAGTTTGTAAACGTGTAAATGTCACTATTACCTTGTTTTTATTCGATCCAAAGGTGAATGACCCTGACCTCGAATGTCAAGACAAGCAGTGCGCCGTACTATCAAATCATATGGGATGATAACAGCAACAGCTTCGCATTTCATGTCTCATTTGTAAGACATACACTGATGCTTAACATAGGTAAAAATGATTAACATTCTAATTAGTTTTTAATGCATTTATAGATCTACTTTATTGCACTAGAATCTAGATCTAAATCTAGTAGATCTCTAGAACTAGAAATCTAGACTAATTCTAGCCTATAGAAAAGAATCTATTTTTATTTTTTAATTTATCAAATAATATTGAATCACATTGGAAACTGACTGTGTAATAGTCTAATTATTAGACTCTAATAGCAGTGTGTAACTAGATCTATAAACTAAGTCTAGATTTGGTAATCTATCGTTTTAGGTACGTAAAATCGGCCGCGACTAGTAATGTGAAAAACAGGTGACTCCTTATATTTTAATAATTATTTCACATTTTGAGGAGGATTTATGTTTTGAAAAATACAAAAATGTTTCCTTGTTTCATTTATTATTTATGTACCTGTTTTTAAACATTTGAATTAAAACTTTTCAGTAATAAATGAACACCAGCGATGTTTCCAACAGATGCAACCACGCTCATTTACTATAGCAGCCATCTTGTTAAAGTTTTATTTTTATAGACATATAGCGCGAGATTCAGGCGGAAGACACTCTATTTTACAAATGGCTGCTGTTTATATAGCAAATCTTGCTTGCAGACACAGCTGTTTAAAGTTAATTTCTGGCCTATATTGATATATTTAGCCATTGATTTAGGTTAATTATTCATTTATCTATAATATTTGACACAAACATATCACAATATACTTCTATTACAGCCTTGACAATGAGGTAACGTTTTCGTACATTAATAGCCGCGGGCGATTTTACGTACCCAAAACGATAGATTACCCTAGATTTAGTTAGAGTGACTAGACTTAGTTATAGTATAGTCTAGACTAGAACTTATATTCTAGATCTAGATCCAAATCAGTACAACAGTAGTCATAGTGTAGACTACTATAGTACTGTTACAGTACTGTAGAGTCTAGATATTAGATAATTAATAATTAATATAATATTAATGGGATTGTTCAAGTCACTGCAATAGTCATACACTAAATTTAACTCAGTTAAATTGGGGTGTTGGGAAATTGCGAGATGCGAAATGGCGAAGTGGTAAACTGCGAGAAGGGCGCAAAACCCGTCGAAAACCGTCGGTCACGTGATATTTTTGCCTCGCATTTTACCATCACCCGATACTTACGCAGGGGGGGGGGGTGGTAGGATGCAAAAATATGGGTGTTAGGATGCAAAGCTATCTGCGAAAATATTACCGCGACCAATTTACAGCGAGATTTGTTTTGTGTGTTGTGCCGTAATACATTTAAACTAATAAACTAAATAAATAAGCTATCTCCCTTTATTTTCTTTAGTGATAATTAAATTAACTAATTAAATTAATTAAGAAATGAGATTACAAATTTCCTGTAAATTTTATTTACTATTACAGAAACAGCTGCGTTGTTTCAATACAATAACATCTGCTCTCTATCTTAAATGAAACGTTACACTTTTGACCTCGACCACATTAGTAATTTTTTTTAAAATTCGGTGGAGAAGAAGAGGGAGGGCTATATAGTACTCATTGAAACAGAGTGAAAAATGATTTACCGAGGTATTGACCTTGAATAACGTTGTGGCATGTGGGTATACTTTTCCCCTCGAAAAAACAAGGCAGTATGATATTAAGGTCGCAATTATTAAGTCACGATGTAGATTTAATGAGTAAAAGTGGGACGGTTCGAAATTTATACCGACCTCTCAAGTTTACACCCCCCCCCCTCTAGATTTACCAAGAGGACACTGCTGATACTGTATGCAACAAATTAGATTATATATATATATATATATATATATATATCTATATATATATATATATATATATATATATATATATATAGATAGATATACATATATAGATATAGATATACATATATAGATATTTATATATACTATTCTAGATCTTTTGATTTAAGCCTTATGCTAACTAAGGTCAGGGTCATCCAAAATGATGTGACACTCTTAGTCTTTTTTATAATCAATTTTTGTTTAGGTTGTTGAAGAGTTAAATATTAAATAATAACTAGTGAAGAGTGATCATCCATAAATAACATCACATTTTTTGTGTGATTTTTACCTCTCTTCCCTATAGTCACTCATCATCACAAAAAGCCAGACCCCCACTTCTTTAATGAAGCCACATTTTTGTTTACAACCCCTCTCAAAATACTCAAAATTGCAATTTTTGTATCTTAAAACATTGATTTCTTTCTAAAATATTTAATGCTTAAGGCTAATTATAAAATCTAATAAATAATCTCAACTTTCTTTTACTCATTAACAGAAACACATAAAGAGCCTTCCTACACATTTAGGGATTCTCAACTTTAGCAAAGCTATTCAAAGAAGGTAATATTTCATTTAATTCATCAAACCCACTGCTTGGTAAAGGCCAGGATGATTTGCTAGTGATACAATGATTTGACTCGAAATATCGACCAAGATTTTATTTGGCATCATTCATTTTTTTATTTCATATGCTACTCATCCACATCTTGCTATCTTAATCCATGTAAGACTATTGTTTATAACATTTAGCAAAAAAAATTTCGGCCACATGATGTAATATGTGCACAGTAGCTAGTATAACAAATAGTGTTGATAATTTATTAAAGTTTTAGTTGAGATTAATCTTAAGTTACATTTAAGCATACACGATTTCCATACCATACCTTTAAGTTGCAACAACAGTTAAATATATCAATAATAGTTTTTTTTTGTACTTTGAAAAATTAATTTCTGCACTTAGTGAAAGTTTATATTAAAAGACAATGATAAAATACACATTGTGAACTTAAATGGCATAAGCAACCCTTTTTGTGTAAACCATTGTGCTCTAGGAAAATACAGTGTAGAGGAGTATCAGCTTACTGGGCTGCCCATAAATGATGCCACACTCTTTGGTTGGGGAAGATAGAATTTTAGTTAGTGATTAGAAAAATATCTGTTGAAAAACATTTATCAAATAAGGGAACATTAACTGTTTGTATATTCACCACAACAGCTGAAGACTTGATTGACCTCAGAAACTTGTAGAGAACTTCTACTTTATTTCAATTAGTTGCCACTATTGCAGTAGTGATTAATACCTAATGAAATTTATTAATTTAAAGGCTGCAAAGAAGCTTAAACATGCTGAGTTTTACTCTGGCTTATCAATATCTTGCAAGAGTTGAATCCCCTATCACTTAGTACAATGTTATGTCATTATAAGTGGATCAAAAATGATAAAACAGGGTTAAGTAGTCATCTAAATGATTAAGGACATGCTTACAGCTGCACTATTTATTTGATAAAGTTCAAAGTGTAAAAACTAGGTTAGCATTTATTTTTATGTATATATGTGCTTCTTAGAATATATTTCCATTTCATTTTTTAACAGTCAACTTTATCAGGTGATTTGAGATTTTGAATTTTTTTTATTCTGGCTAGGTTTCAGTTCTGTCAGTTGTCAAATAAAGTAGTGTGACTTTTATTTTAAAAGTTTCAGGGCAAAAATTCAATACCAGATAAGAATATAAAGTGTTTATTGATTGATATTTCCCACCTATGTAGCAGCTAGAAAGCAGCTGGATGGAATGAAGACATATTTTATTGACTGAAAATTTTCAAAACAATGATGCAACCATTTGAAAGAAAGTTTAAAACTCTCTTGCCCATATTTTCAATGTGCTATTTATATTACTAATGTGTTTTTAATTTTTTAAAAACTGTACTAATAGACACAAATTAATGTTTGGATTATTGCTTTAAAAGGAGGTTAGCAAAGTGCATTGAAATTTTTATGTTTCCAAAAATAATATTTATAAAAATATAGATTTTAATAAAAATATAAAGTAAATTTCTTTTTTTTAACATTGTCAACTTAAAAACATTTTGATTGCAGTGATTTGCTTACTGGACGAAAATGTTATGTCGACGAGCTGCTATCTACCTAAAAGAATATCAGAGCCTATCTTCCCGCTTTGCCAACACATCATGGACTGGTCACAGGGCAAAGAGTACAGCAAAGATAATTGATGAAGATGATGTGCCACAAACTGGTGCTGCACTTTTGAGGAGTGATCTCAACAGAGTAATACTCTCTTAGCTATATTTGATCTGATAGCCATATACACACATTCATGTAACTTGTACCTTTGTTTTTATCTAAGTGTTAGGGGGGATAATCAAGTCTAAATTGTCTTTTGCCTCTTAAACTTAAAGAATTTTAATTCACAAGACGAATGACAAGAGAAACAATGATGTGAAATTATTTCAGAGTTGTTTTTTTTCCTTTTGAATTTAATGAGTAAACAGCACTCTAAATCTGCATAATGTTATTGCTTTATTATTGTATTGAATTTGTTTTAAAATCTGCAGGTCAAAAGGATTGTGATTAAATTGGGTAGTGCTGTTATTACAAGAGAAGATGAGTGTGGTTTGTCTCTTGGCAGGTTTGGTTCCATAGTTGAACAAGTAAGTAGACTGAGTATTTAAAAGTATCTCACAGCTTACATATTTGCTTCAATTTAGAAATTTAAACAAAGCTTTGTATAAAATGTATTGAAATCAGAAAAAGATGGTTTTCTTGTGGTTACTAAAAATGGTCTCTTATGTGTCAAGGTTGCAGAGCTACAGAACCAAGGGAGGGAAATGATAATTGTCACTAGTGGGGCTGTTGCCTTTGGTAAACAGAAATTGCGTCAAGAAGCTGTTTTATCAATGAGCATGAGACAGAATCTAAGCAATGTTGAAAGTGGGGTAAGCCAATTATAAGTCAATGTAAATTTCATTTAAAATGACCCACAAAATTAAAATTTAATAATGTTCATATTTTCTTTTTAAAAAAATTTGTGTTTGTGGTTTATTTCTAAACATATCAAATGAATTTTTAAAGGTATATTCATCATTTGTAAATACTTATTTATTTAAGATGATAAAACAAAATTATTATTTTAGAATTAGTTACTTTTTCTCACAATTACCTTTTTTTTTTCATATGTTTGTCACTTGCCCCTTCTAATGGTTTATTTGTGGCTTTAGTAGTATGTGAACATTTGTTTTCCTTTTAGAATAGTACATCAGATCAAACAATACATAAAGTTTCTCCCAAATATGATAATTGTGTTAGACATTATTTTAAAGCACAAATGTTTTTCTCAGAGAATAATTTGTCTTCATGTTTTAGCATGAAAAATTGGTAATATCATGCTTGTTTTATTATTACATGTATCGGCTTTTATAACTAAAATGTATCAAAGCTAGTTTTTAGGAAAAAAAGTTTCCTTTTTTTTTAAAATTGTTTTACTAACCATAATTAAGTAAATATAGTTTTAGAGTGTATAATTTCACTTTTTAGTTTTGTTATGAACTAAGAGACAAACATATTTCTAAACAGATATTTGAATGGCTTTTTGTTGATTTTTAAAAAATTTTCACTAGACTTAAATATTACTTATAAAAATAATTTTGCATGGGTGTAAATTATTCACATTTCTTAAAATAATTAAAACATTGTAGAGGTTGTTAAGCTGCTTATAAGAAGTATTGTGTAATATAACATTATTTAATAAGAATGTGTAAGAAATATTTGAAAGTGTTTACAAATGCTGAGGTTGCACTTTTACAGATGCGACTGAGTGAAAGTAATAAGGGAAAGGCAAGCACAAGCTTTTCTTGTCCTCCCCATAACAAGCTTTTATTTTAGCGTGATCCAAACAATTTTTTCTTATTGACTTTAAAAAAAAATTAGTTTTCTATACAAATCCATGTTATTTATTTATAAGAACATGACGCACAGAAACAATTCAATTCTCCATTAAAGTCACTTTCTTCTTGAAACAAACAGCAAAGTGCTTGGAGTAAGGTAAATATGTTACTACTGGAGAGTGTCGTTTCTTTTACTCACAGCGCATGTAGCACTTTGCCGTAAATACTTAAAGTAGCTGGAAATAATGTAGAAGCTGTTTCTTCGCTGTCCTAATATTTGAACAATTCACATACACCATGTATATCTCAGTATACTAGAGCTTGAGCACATACTTACCTGATATATATTCATAGAAATACATTTATTTTCAACCTGTATTCACCCACAAAGAATTAACAAAATGTCCTGTGTGTGTGCAACAGATATGCTTGCTTTTTATTGACTTCTTCCAACAATTTCAGTTAATAGTTATATAATCATTAATCAAGCATTATCATCATAGTAGTGCAGTAATAGTTGTTTTTTTTAAAAATATGTTATTGTTCACATGTTCAAGTAGATGGAAACTTGATTAAATAAAATAATGAAAAACAGAGTTTTTATTATAGAAAATACCTCGTAATATATCATGGTTGGAACAAGTGAGCTCTTTTAACTTTCCTTTTAATGTTGGCTTTGCTAAGTATTTCCTGTCTTAACCTTACATTTAACCACTTGTAAGCATGTGGATTCAGTCCATCTTGTATGTATATATTATAAACATTTGTACATTATTATATTTTCTATTGTTTGCATATTCAAAACTAACTTATAGCTAATTCAGCTTAGTTTAAATTCAATTTATCATTATTTTAATTGTGTAGTCGTTAAATAGTCCCATTAAAAAATATATAGCTCTAAACACTTATCATTGTATGATATCTTAGAATGCACTGTTTGAAGTCTTGTTGAAGTGCTTTTAGACACCCTTTGTTTTTTGCTAAGACATTATAAACAAGTCTCTTCAGAAGTTGTCAAATATGATATAGAAAACAAAGATTATTTTTCATTAAGGTCCTATTTTCTTATCTATATGTTATTGTTGATGTACTTTGTGAGGTGGGTTGTTGCACTTTTACCTACCTGAATTTAAAGCTGTACAAAATCTGTTATATATCAGGTTTAATAGAAATTCAGAATAATGTTTTTTTCTAAATTGGTTGAACAGCATCATATACATTATGTTGTAGCTAGTTTTTCTTTTTGCTTGAATTAAATTTTTCTTTTAGTTATTTGTCTTAAAATGCATGTAAAACTCTACTAGTTTTTTTGTATATAGATTAATATACTCAAAAAAATGATCTACCCTTGGCTTGGAAATCTATTTAAGGAAAGCTCATGAATTTCAATACAAACTCTTGTTTCATTAAAATTTTAATGCAGATGTGTTGTTTCATATGGACTGGGACCTTCTGTATATTTATTGCCTTATCAGTAACAAAGAAAAAGTTGGTCTTGGATTTCATTTAATCATTGTATAGCATAGGTTACTGCTTTCTTTATCATTATGGGCATGGTTTAATCTCTGTTTTAAAAATGTTTTAATTTTCTTCTTCTAGCTACTGTCTCACACTCACATCAGTTTGGTTTTTAAAAATCAATAAGCTTAAGAAAGATTATGAAAGTTCATAAAAGATTCTAGTAACAGATGTTTCCCATACTAGTGAAATTATAAAAATGTGAAAAAATTCCATTAGTCAAACCTTTCACCTAGAGAAATATTGGATTCCACAGCATAACTAATCCGTTCCAAATATTTTTATAATGCGATACTTTTTTATTGACTGAAAGTAAACAAATTATTTATTCTCAAATAGAAATATCTTACTTATTATGATTTCAATTATGTATCACTGTTTTAATTTCTCTATTTCACTTTGTTAGTGAATTAGGTATAATTATTCAATTATAGAAGAAAAATTGTTATACATTAGGTCTACAAAAAAAAAAACTAACCCACTTCTAAATAGCCCCAAGCTCTCTATGCCAGCAACCTGTTTGTTTTATGAATATTAATTGTCAAAAAAAAAATGAACAAACAACAGTTTAATGGGCCCTTTTAAAAAAATTGGTTTGAGTCAATTGTAGTTATTATGTATGTTAATAATAACTTATTTATAAAATAACTGTTTCAAAATTTCGTGTAAACATGTGAAAAAAACAAAGCTACAAAAATGTGACCAAACTTAAAAGGCATTGTATTTGGGTTTTAATGTACACAATACACAGTGTGTTAGAACTAAATATCTGAAGCAGCTATACAATAATTTTTTACTTCTGTTTTTTGAAAAAGTACTATTCATATTTTCATTAGAAGATTTGGTTAAAAATCACCATAATAGCAATAATATAAAATAGACACAGACTTTTTTCATTGAAAGATAGCATTTAAGTATACAATGATCATCACAATTTTAAAATATTTATTTGAAGTAACTATGTCAATATCTTTTTACCACTGTAGATTAGACCACCATCTCTTGAGCCTAGGGCTTGTGCTGCAGCAGGACAGAGTGGCCTCATGTCATTGTATGATGCCATGTTTCTTCAGTACGGTGTTAAAACAGCACAGGTATCATCTGTTTGTTTTAGTGCTACTCATTCTTTATAAATACTTCTTCAATATAACGTTATCATTTTACTAATATTTCTCTCTTTGGAAAAAAATTATTGATGCTTCTTGAATGTAGTGTAAACTTATTTAGTCATTTCACTAATATTTCTTACTTTGGAAAAAATATTTTTAAAAAAATTCAATTTCAAACTGCTTATGCCTGATGAGCATCAAATAGTTATATTTTCCTCTCAGATTCTGTTGACAAAACCCGACTTTCAAGATGAGCATAGCCGAGATAACTTGAGGGGTACTTTAAACGAACTTCTCAAACTGAATATCATTCCTATTGTCAATGCTAATGATGCCGTAGCTCCACCACCAGAACCAGATATGGATTTAGCTGGGGTAAAAAAAAATTTTTAGAATTAAAATTAATACACTTTGATTTTTAAATTAATTTTTGTATACATTTTAAAAATTATACTTTGAGTATTTCTTCGAATTGTTTAGTACACACAATTACATTGGTGTTTTGACATGAGAATCTTGCTGTATGTGCGTTGTGTAAAAATGTGTAGGTGATCAGTGTCAAAGACAACGATAGCCTTGCAGCCCGTCTGGCATCAGAAATGAAAGCAGAACTTCTGATCATCATGAGTGATGTGAATGGCCTGTACACTGCACCACCAGGAATGCCAGACTCCAGACTTTTGCATACATACACTCCAGAGATGGACCAGGTAGTCATAGCTGGCAAGTCAAGAGTCGGCACTGGGGGTATGGATTCAAAGGTAAGGCTTGGATGACTGTTTTAGTTCATTTCTTTGGTTTTGTTCCATTTTGTATCCGAGTTGAAGCTTAGCTTTCTATTTTAGCTTGTTTATTTATGTCTTTTTAAAATGTGTGTCAGAGTTGAGACTTAGATCACTATCTTAGTTTATTTATGATTTTTTTTTTAAAAATAGGTGTCTTGAGACTTACATCACTATTCTAGTTAATTTACATATGTGTTTTTTAAATTGTGTGTCGGTGTTCTTCTTAAAGACACTTAAATACTTTTGCATTTCACTTTTTTAGGTGAAGGCAGCAACATATGCCCTAGCAAGGAACTGCTCAGTGGTGATATGTAATGGTTGTGAAGAGCACGCAATCATCAACATTGTTAAAGGAAAGAAAGTTGGGACATTTTTTACCAGGGCTCAAGCTAGGGGAACACCCACAGAACTGCAAGCCAGATTAGGTATGCGTCACATGGCTTTTTCATTCAAAGAAAACTTTTATAAAATTCTCTCAATAATTTATGTACTATTTTGCTTAATTATAATTTCAATTTATACAATATTGTTAAAACATAATGTAAAATTTCCTAATAGATTATTATTTTTAAAAAAATTTGTTGTTAATTAACCCTGTTTTATAATAATTTTATTAAGCTCGTGAAGGAAGCAGAAGTTTGCAAGCCTTGTCTGGCATGCATCGTACTGCCATTGTTAATAAACTAGCCGATCTCCTGCTGGAAAGGAAATCTGATATTTTGGCGGCCAACCAACAAGATGTTCAAGAGGCATTTGCTTCAGGTGTGTAGTGCATCATTGCTTAGCTGTTTGTGTTTTATCTCTGAGATACACTTTAAATGCAACATTAACTTTTTAACATTTCATTTACCTCAGATATTTTTGTGTTGGTTTAAGGAAAAAATAATTTATATATTCACATTTTTATTTTTATACCATTAAATGTATATCTGTGTTATCAATGTAATAACAAATGATTTTGAAACTATTAATACCTACTATTATGTACTAACATGATCAACCAAGTCATTTTTAATAAATATTTTTCTTTTACATCTCATTGCATTAACAGCAAAGTCTAAAGATCGACACATTGGTATTATTGTGTGAAATGCTATCTTAACTTCCAAAATGCTAAATTTACCATCATGTGTGATTGACAAAGCTGATAAGCCTGTTAGATACAAAGCTGTTTTGCATATCTTCTTTATAATTGTGTGTACTATTTGAACATTTTGACAAGCAGTTTACCCTCTCACATCCTGTTTTTGCCAGTTTCTGCCTTTTTATAAACTTAATTCTTCACTATCCAATTTAAAAAAAATTATGATTTAATCTGTCGAGAACATAAAATTTAAAGCTATTTCTATTAGATTATTCTATGAAAAAATTTTTTAAAATGTCATTTGAGGTTTATATTTTCTTGCCTAGGAATAAAACATAAAATAGAAACAAATTACTGAAAAGCTTTCAACAAATATATTAACCAATTATTTTTTGGATATAACTTATATATTTTTAGTATGTTAAACATTAAATATCTTCTTCTAGATGTTTTGACCACACCCACTTTCCCTTTTTTAATTTTTCCAGTTAATTAGAAAAGTTCCTTGCATCTTGTTATTGTTTTCAGTTGTATTTCTTTAAAGAAAGGGAGGCTTTTGCAAATTTTCCAGTGTGATTTGCACATATACGCTAAGAATTCTGTTATCGAGGCCTATATAAAATTATCTATAAATACACTAAGCTGATAAAGTTGTGCATAAAAATAAGCATTAGTAATTTTTTTCTTCCATTAAATCTCTTCTATATATAATAGTTTTTAAATTTGTGTGAAAAAAACTACCTCAACCCTTCCCCAGTATATTCTAAACATATTGACTATGAAAATTTAAGACTAATACTTGGACATTTAACCTGTTATAAAAACAGCAGTAATGTGTTAAAGAAGTCAGGTTTTATTACAATGAGAGCAAAAAGAATGTACATATAAATTTTAATTTAAACCTTTACGTAGACAAGTGGTATTTTAAAGCTGTAAACAGAAAATTTTGAAATTTTTGTTTCTTCCTGTACCAGGCATGCAGCAGTCTGAAATGGCGAGGTTGTATCTCAGTGAACAAAAGCTGGAGACATTAGCAGCAGGACTGAGGCAGATTGGAGCCAACTCAATCAATGCTGTAGGAAAGGTTGTGCAGCGAACTCGTCTCACTGATGGGTTAGAGCTAGAGAAGATCGCTGTGCCGATTGGTGTTTTATTGGTCATTTTTGAGTCTCGCCCAGATGCATTACCACAGGTATTATTTACTCTACTTCTTTTGACCCTTTTAAACATATGAAAATAAAATATTAAAATTAAGGTAAAAATTGTATGTAAGTTTTAAAGCAAATAAATATTCTTTTTATCTTTAATTAATTGATCAGGTTGCTGCCCTTTCAATATGTAGTGGAAACGGTCTTTTGCTGAAAGGGGGCAAGGAGGCCAAACACAGCAACAGAATTCTGTTTTCTCTAGTACAAGAAGCTCTGGAACCTTTTGCACCAGTGGATACAGTAGCTTTGGTAAGTGTGCATGTTTTTGGTGGAAGTATTTGATTTATCTGTTACCTTGGTTAGTGTGGTCTGTAACTGATCCATCTAATGGGAGAATTGAAAATAATTTATTTATAGGTGAGTAGAAGAGAGGATATAGCTGACCTCCTGCAGCTGAACCAGTATATTGATTTGGTAATACCCAGAGGATCTCAGGAATTAGTTACACGAATCCAGCAAATGACTCAGGGAATTCCAGTACTTGGTCACAGCGAGGGAATTTGTCATGTGTACATTGACCAGGATGTGGACCCAGAAATGGCAATGCACATTGGTAACATACATTCTTAGTATTTCAAACATCTAATCCTAGAGAGAACATCTCATTTTCAAAACAGTTAAAAAAATTGTTTTAATTAACTAGGTTATTTGTTGTTAAGCTTTCAACATGTGTGTGAAATAACATTGTTTTTTTTTCATCCAATCACAGTGAAAGATTCAAAGTGTGATTACCCTGCAGCATGTAACAGCATGGAGACTTTGCTGATTCATAAGTCACATAGAGAAGGACCACTTTTTGATAGAATGTGTGAAATGTTGAGGCTGCAAGGAGTAAGTAGTGATACTCTTTTAATACTATGCTCATTTACAAAACAGCTGTCATACAAGTTAAGAAAAAGTATTATGAACCTTTTAAAGATATTATTTTAACTGCAACTCAATTTTACATATTAAGGTACTGAGCTATTTTGACAAGACACAAAGTAATTCTTTTAAGAATTGTTTGTCATAATGGTAATTTCTTTACCCAGGTCTTTATGTAATATTTCATATCTTTATGTAATGTCATTTTTTTTAATGTAATGTTGTCATGTCTTTATCAGGTGAAGATCCATGAATTATTTATGTTATGTTGTCATGTCTTTATGTAATATCAAATCTATATGTAATGTCATTTTATTAATGTAATGTTGTCATGTCTTTACCAGGTGAAGATCTATGAATTATTTTATGTTGTCATGTCTTAATGTAACATCATATCTTTATGTAATATCATTTTTTTATTGTAATGTTGTCATGTCTTTACCAGGTGAAGATCCATGCAGGTCCAAAGCTAGGCCAGCTCCTCAAGTTTGGTCCATCTGTTGCCGCATCCATGCGCACAGAGTACAGCTCATTAGAGTGTGCCGTTGAAATTGTAGATGATGTAGATGATGCAATAAACCATATCAACACATATGGCAGCGCACATACAGATGCTATTGTTACAAATAATGGTATTTGAAAAATATTTTATGTGATTATTTTAATTTCAAAGTATATAATATTTATTTTCAATGCTAAACTCATATAATTTTGAGTGAATAATATAATTTTTAAGTGAATAAAAAATACATAGTAAACTAACATAACTGCTTGTTATGTTACCTATTTTTTTGTTTTTAAAATGTTTTGAAATCTTTTTACAGAGGAAAATGCTCACCGCTTCTTTAAAATGGTTGACAGTGCGTGTGTTTTTAAGAATGCAAGTACAAGGTTTGCTGATGGATATAGATTTGGCCTAGGTAACCTTTTTTGGTATTTTAATTTAAAACATTTGACAAATTGTTACCTTAAAACGAAACGTATTTTGGTAATGTTAAACTACCATGTAAATACAATGTGATACCCACAGGTGCCGAGGTAGGTGTGAGCACATCTCGCATTCATGCACGTGGACCAGTGGGTCTGCAAGGTCTTCTCACCCACAAATGGGTTTTGTCAGGCACTGGTCAGGCTGTAGGAGATTTCACATCAGGCAAGTTCAAATATACCCACCAGAACCTTCCAGTTACAGAGGAGCCTGCCAACTCATGATTTATTACAATAGTAGAATACATAAACAATGAATGAATGACATTAGGACCAGACTTGTAATAAAAATAGTAAATAAATGAGATTAATCATGGTAAATGATACTTAGCACAGAGATAAAATTAATTAAAGAATTAAGTTAAATTATCGGCACAAGATTTGATAAAATGTAATCTTTCTAGAATTCCTGATTTTTTTTTCTTATGGAAAACAATAATATTAACTCAATTTTCTGAGTAATGATTTTAGGGTAATTCTAATCAGTCATAATTAATAGAAAAAAAATTACTGTATTTAGCAAAATAATAATTCATGTACATAAAAAAGGTGAAGAGTAGAAAGTAAGTTTTAAAACCATTCTTAACAAATGAGTATTAATTTTAAAAAAACCAACAAATTACTGCTCAGGTTTTCCTGAATGATTTTATTTGGTAAGTATTTGATGTTATTTAAAAAAAACTTATTTTTTGTTGCTTGTGAAATTAATAAAGTAGCTGTCTCAGGAGCCTAGCCATGGCCATTCACAATCTTTAAAAAGTTTCAGTGGGAAATCTTAAGAAAAATATTAAGCTAAATTTATATTTTCACAAGATAAACTGCTAACTCTGACAGGTGAAAACAATTACTAGCGTTAAATGTTAATTGTTGATAATTTGCTTTATTTACCATTTGAGTATTTTTGTATACAGTTGTTTCATTTTACTGAAGGAATTCTTCTTTGGATTTTTTTTTTGTTTGTTTGATGTCCATTCATATTTAAAACTACACAACAGAAAATGTTTTATTGAACAGAAAACACTTGACCCATTACATTATTTGAGCTAGTTTTGTAAAAAGAAAATTGTATAAAAATTCCTTTTATACTTTAAAGAAATAATTTAATACCTTAGGTGTTCAGAAACCCAAGCTTTTTTAGTGGCAGGTCTGTTTTGTAAAATTATTTTAAATGTCAGCAATACTTAAAATTTTGAATTAAAACTAGCGTTGTTCTTCACATTATGTAATTAAGGCTACATTTGTCGCACATTTTATGGCTGAACTAGTGTATAGATGTTTGTATGTACAGAGTATTTTTGTTTACAAGTCACCCTGGTGGAAACATTTCTATTTCTTCACCAATTCAAGATGTTTGTTTCACTTTTTCATAAACTCCAGGCATTTGTTTCAGTTGGTTATTAATTCAAGAGTACTTATAATGTATAATAGAATAATCAACTGTCATCCATTGCTAACTTATAGTGGGTTGTCTGTAATAGTTCGCCATCTTACCCTGGAATGAATATAAAGACTTTCGTCACTTAATTGTACCATTATGTTGACATACATTTATCATTTGTTTATATACATGCATGTTGACGCAAGTCAAAAGGTGCCTTGTTTGTCTTAGACATTTGAACTCGACAAATTACATAATAAAACACTGTGCTGTTTTAACTCTGCTGTGTTGATTAAATTTATTTTGTTAAAACTTCGAACCTTTTGTTTTGTGTGCGGATTTGAAAGCTTATGTTTTGAGTCGCATCATCTACACATCAGGAATAGTGTGCATACCTGTGGGATCTACTTGCTACATTACTAATTGCTTGCAACACAAATACATTTATTGAGGTGTTCACTTATGTGTGAATCTTTAACAATGTTTATTGTTAAACTAATTAGTTGTAATGTGTCACACTGTAACCATGCATCACAAAAACTAATAAAACTCAAATTGTGTATCACTTATTTTAATCAATGATTTAGAAATCGAGTAGTTCTTCAATTTTTTTTTCTTCAATAACTGTAAAAAGGTTAGTAATAAGATATATCCTTATGGTGATAATTTCCAGATTTGTAAATTTTTATAAGGTAAGAGAGCTACTACCACCTGTAAAAAAAACTGTCAACCTGCTGATTAAAAAGGGCAGTTACAAAAAAATAAAATCTAAATAGATCTGGGTTTTTTCTGAATACAAAAATTTACACATTGGTTAATGAATGACGCGCTAAAAATAAAATTACTACACGAGGTAGAAGCCCGGAATAGATCACACACAAGTATAAATTGTTATAAATTGCTTTAGCTGCTCCAGTGCTTAGATAATGCAGAAATTAAATGGTCTGTATTATAATCCATCTTATTATAGAATTTTGCTATTATCATAAGTTACTAATAGGGCAAGTAAATGTGATCTTGCAAAATAAGTTATGACTATGTGATTGCAAAACTGATTTCTATTCAACACAAATACATTTAACATACCATTTATTCATAACATTTTAAAACTGTTAAATTAATGGGTGTTCATTATTACAGATACTTTTGATACTTTCAAACAATTTTTTAATTTAAGAATGGATAAGTCAAAAAGAAATTATGAAGCACTGTACTAAAGGGTTTCTAATAAGGTGAACTTAAATATATTTTTTGAGTAATCCTTAGTTCTTATCAGAAACTCATCACATTGTAAGAAATTGAGTTGTGGAGAATAACATTAAGAATATCTGAGCATCATAAAAATCATTAAAACTAATCATACAAATTTAACTAAAAAAAATAATTCTATCGTTAATTTTTTTGTGTGTGCTAAAGGCAGTAGAGTTATTTTTGATGTGGATATTTTGGAAACGCAAGATGCATTTCAAATTAAATGTGGCAGATGAAAAAATAAAAGAAGAATAAGAAGCAAAAGTAGTTAAGAATTTTTTTAAACCAGCTTGCAAAAAAATGGAAAGATTTTAAGACAATTACATTTGATTTTTAAACCATGTGTGGTTATTTGTCTTATAAAATGGTTCTTGTAAAAAAAGCATTCATTAACAGATTATGGAATTAAGTTAAAAGAAACTGATCTAACAGCAAATGCTACATTAAATACTACTCCCAGAAAAAGTTATTTGTTGTGGATAGCAAATGCTAGTAATGTACTTGTTTATATGTCTAAGTATATATGTTTATGTGTGTGTGTAATTATATATATATATATATATATATATATATATATATATATATATATATATATATATATATATATATATATATATATATATATATATATATATGCCAAGTTAAATTCTAGAGAATTTACTGCCCCCTAACCAAATGCTATAAAATATATTTATGTACAACTCCAAATAGATCTTTAAGTTACAACCTTGTCATCTAAGCATGTGACCTTTTAGCCCACAACAAATGCTTAAATTTTATGTATATTTCCAGATGGTTAAATTCTGATCATATCTGCGTTATATAGTAACCAAGCCGAAAATGTTAGGTTTGTCCTGATAAACTTGAGTGTATTTTAAAGCAAATGCTTTTAATGAGTAAAACAATTTAGACCGATGTTTTAAGTTGATGCTAATGTTGAGACACAAGTCCTTTTAGCACCAAGGTATGAGCTATCTTCAAAATGTAATGATTAGTACTTAAATACGCTCCATGTAGGAATGATTGTTTTCATTAAAAGACTATTGTATAGGTGAATGTAATCAATGTATCTGAATGCATATAGGCTAAAATAAATCTACACAAGAAATAATAGACAGCAGTTTGGGTGACATTTATCAAGATAGAAGAAGCAAGTATATACACATCAAGAGGCCAATAAGTAGAAAACTGGCACACAAAGTTCATAAGCTTACATTTTTTCTACAGTAAACAAAACACAAGTTCAGTCATTGGTAATGTCAACACACAACAAAGACCGCAGGTTACATCACAGTTTCTAGCATTGAGAGGGTAAAATAGGTGAAATGCTAAACTACACAAGTACAATATTAAAATCTAATGAAAGACCTGCAAAAAATGTATAATCCACTTCATCATAAAAGACAAAACAGAGTGCTTAAAGCCTAGTCTAATGTACACAGATATTTGCAGAATCTCCCCCAACATCATAAGTACTAAACTATCTAAAAAAAATTCTTACAATATCATTCTTTTATTTCAAGTTTAAATTATTTGTATATTACAAATCTATGCTTTTACTTAAAGTTGTTCTTTTTGCTTTTCAGCTTCCCTTTTTTCTTTCTCTTCTTTTTCTTTCCTCCGCTCTTCCTCCTCTAGCAAGGCCTCATGTTTCAATAAATTGAGTACTTCATCTAGTTGTGTGGGGCTCAACTTAAGATGTTCTTGACTAAGTTGTTCCAGCACCTGTACCCAATGAATACCAGTGATTAGCAAAAATTAGGTATTAAAAAAAACGGATAAAACAAAGTGGAACAATTACTGTTTACCTAAGGATGATAGAAAAAAGTGGATCCATTACTGTTTGCTTTTAAAACTTTTACAAACAGTTCATTGAAATAACAATAGTTCACCATAAATATTTGTTGTGTGTTTATAGAGAAGTTTTGTTTAACCAAACTTATCTTTTGACAAACAACATTAGACAATTCTCTGCTTTGAAAGTGAAAGTAAAAATGCTGGTTTAAAAAAACAACAACTGACCTTTAAGGCATCGTTGATATCTATGCTCCCATCCTTGTCCTGATCAAGGACTTGAAAGATATGCTGCAGCTTGGAATCACTGGGGACTTTCTTTAACCTCTTTAACGCCTCCATCATCTCATTTATTGAAATGATATTTGACCTAAATGAAAAGAATTTGTTAAATTAAATTCCAACTGTTTTCCCAAGAGAAATGGAGTCAGAGTAATGACAATTAGAGTGAATATTTCTTCATTTATTTCATATTTGCTACCATGACATCATAGGATTATGAAAATAAAAAATGATATGGAAAGAAATTATTTTTCATGTGCTATTTTAAATAGCATTTAGATAATGTTAAGAAAAACAAAATGTTTACATTTGCAGAATTTCTAAAAGTTGTTTTCAGAATTTAATAAACTTAACATACTCATTCTCTCCAGTTATATTATTAGATCTATTATTCATTTCAATCTATAAAATAAGATACTAAAAGTTTAAGACTTTAGGGCCTTTTTAGACCTGTTGAAAGTAATCTTTATTTATATCTAAAATTCTGTATAACCTTTTTTAGACTAGAATTAGGCAGCCATTACAGATCAGTGATACCCTATGAACTTCAGCCAATATATACCAAACTTAAAACTCTATTACCCCACTCTACCACTTAACTAATCCATCCCACCATATAGATGCTACATAAAACTGAGTCCCATACTTGAATTCACCAAGCTGTTCCTGAGTAAGGTTGGCAGTCTCAACATTTTCTTGCAGATTTTTCTCCACCTTTGAGATCTTTTCCTGTATGCTACTCTTCTCTTCTTGAAGACTGGTCACAACTGTGTCTAATCGTGAAATCATGCGGTCAACTTTCTTGGCTAATCTTCTGGCAGCCTTGGACTCCCCAAATTCTTTTTCATCTGCGCCATAAACCACTGCAACATCCTTCAGATCCTCCAAATCCTACATTGAAAATAAAAAACAACAAATTAGTAAATTCTTCTAGTACAAATACTCACTAAATCAACAGTTCATATTTAGTTTTGAGAAAATCAAAATTGTGCATGTCTTTTTTCTCGTTAAACCACATTAAATTCTACTTAGTCTTACCTCTTTATATTCAGAAACTTCATCCTTTAAGCCTTTCAATGCATCCTGTGCAATGTTTATTTTCCTTTCTTTAGCTATTTCCTCAAGGACAGATTCCATTTCATCAAGATCCTTGGTTGTGATTTCAGGTGTGGTTTTAAAACTTTCACTTGGAGAAGTCTGCATAACCTCTGCATGATCTATCAAAACTGAAAAACAAACATGATTATAAAATCAGACAGTGATGATTAAGCTAATGATTTTGTGGACTGGCTAAAATTTAAAAAAAAAACATGCCACACAGCTTACCTTCCTTCTGACTGGGTTCTAATATTCTAGCTGTGTCATCTAAACCAAGTTGTTTAGACTCCATAAGAGTTTCAGCTGCTTTAGCTTCTGCCATATCTCTAACATTCTGTTCTTCCAGTTGCTGTTTACAGTAAAGAACCATTTAATTTTTTTAATTGCCTAATCTTTTCAAAGTATTTCACATTTTGAATATGTCTATAGCTGGTTATCACTCAAACAGAATTGTAACACATCAAAATCAACATTAATTTTTTTATTCATTTTATGATTACTGGAGGGGGGAAGGAGGTGAGCTGACAAATACTGTACTTGTTAATTCATTAAGACCAGTTTAGTTGGCTCTTTTGTCTTAAGAAGACCATACCCAGAGAATATTTAACTATTACAAAAAAAACTGGTGATAATTTTCATCTGATAAGCATTGTCTAATAAAATTGGATGTGTTTAATATATACTAACCTTGATTTCTTTAGCGAGTTGCTCTTTTTCAGCAGCAATGATGGCTTCCTCATGTTTAATAATTTCCAGTTTAGTTTTGTTGTCCACTTCTTCACCAGACATCTCTGCCACCTTAATCTTAGCTTCATCAGCCTGTAGATACAATTGTGATTGTTGATTTTTGAACAGCTGTTAATTTACTTAACAGTGAATAAAAATTTAACAAATTTCATAATACAACTGTCTTCATTAGGTGAATAAACTTCTCACTTTTATGTTATTTATTTTGGCTGTGTTCTCTATTAGGTGTGTTGTATAATCAAATTATTATTCTTTTTGACAGAAACATTTGCAAAAAAAAAAAAAAAATCATTCTAGCCCAACTACCATTTCAGCACTAAGCAATCCTTCAGTCTTTTACCAAACTATTAAAAGGGACATAACTCTGCCATAAAGGGAGGCAAGTTTTGTAAAAAACAATTTTTAATACAACAGTAACTAAGGATTTACTCTTCCAAGATATGTGATTGCTTACACAGCAAAGTGCAAGTTTTGCAAAATGTTCTTGAACAAGTTGCAGAAAAGTTTGTAAAGCGTAGTGTTTGACTGACAACCACAGCATACTCACAGCAGTGACAGCAAGCTGTGTGATGGTGGCTCCAATCTTCTCCTCAGTGGATAGAGTCTCTGGTAGGTAGAGAGTCCTGGACAACAGCAACAGGGAGGTGGGGATTTTTTCCTCCAGATGAAGCTGTAGCCATTGCTGCATCTGCTCTCTCAGTCGTTCCTCTGAGACACCAAGGGCTCTCATACCTCGAGCTCGATTAGCTGCCTGTAGCTCAGCAATACTTAGTGTTTCAATGCCTTCTTTTTGGATCATCTAACAAGGGAAATAATTTATATTTTGTAGTGAGCATTTTAAAATATTAAATGCTTTGAAAATGTTTAAAATAAACTAATAATAACAATAAAGGTTCATCATAGCAATTTTAAAAAAAACACCATGTATTATTATTACTATTTATTTGTTTCTAACAGAATAATTTTAAAATATTATTTATTATCAGAAAGTTTCCTGATTGTATTTTTTAAAAACTTGAAATAACCTTATCATCAGCACGCAGACCACGAAGTTTCATCTGAAGGAGAAATCTGAGCAAAGCATCACTTCCGATTGGAGTGACATTTAACATGATACAACATGCTCTCAGTTGCTGACGTGACAAGTTATCTAGAGTTATCTCATCTTCAAACAGTTTGGCAAATTTCATTATGTCTGTTGTACTGGGCTTGGTTCCTTCTGTTCTAATCTTTTTGTGAAAGAAAAAAGGAATTACAAGATTTTCTGAACATGATACAAAGAAAAAAACATATTTCTAACAGATAGTATTACATCACATGGTTTTTCAAAATTACATTTATACTTTGAACAAACATTTAAATATGTTGGCATACATTGATTTTAAATAATGAATGGTGTTTATACATATTTTTCAGTTCTCTACATATTTTTTTAACGCAATTTCCATTCTGGAGAATTGCGTTTATTAACTCGTCATTTCTGGGAATGGATGGATGAATGAATGAATGTATGGATGTATGAATGTGTGTCCGGGCTTTAAGTCGTATCTCCTCCTCAACGAAGCAATATCGATGACTAGTTCCAAAAGCAATTATGTTAAGCAAGTTACGAGAATGAACATAGGCCATAAAATTTCCGGGTTTCTTTCATGGATTTCCAGGAAAAGCCAAAAAAACCTCGAAAAAATGCAGTTTTTTGCCCATATCTCGGCAACCAGACCACTTAGCGACTTGAAACATGTACCAATCGATTCCTGCCATAATTTAGAACAATATTGCCGAAGAAAGTTTTCAAAAATATCCTCTCGTTCGGTCACAAATTTTAAAATTACATAAACACCTACAAACCGATCGTTCTTCTAGCTTGAACGCACCCTAGCAGTATACGTCAGAGCTATTTTTAGATAACATAAGGAAATTGCGCATAAATGTCACTAGACTTTTTTAATTAACTTGTTTTAACTAAAACGTAATGATAGTACCATGTTGTATGATTCAACTAATAGACAGGTTGGTACCAATGTCTTTTTCTTCACACACTTTTTATTAGATTTATTTAAATTAAGCCAGATTATCCATTGAATAATGGTCTGTGTATGATAAATAGTAAATAAAAGTATATTTTAATTTTAACAGCATCAACGACAAAGCCACCTAGCTTTAAAAATAAGCAATGATTACCAATGCTCAATTTACTGCATGTTTTAGAAGGAGAAAAAAGTTGCAAATTATTATGTTGAAGTTTTTTAAAACGTATTAATATCTTTATAACCGTCTTTTATTTAAAATTTTAACATTAGCATTTTTACCAACAACAATAAGTATTCCTAATTGCATTAAGCATTGCTGATCTTTAAATACAACAAAATAAATAAATATACTTCACATAATTTGGTTTAGTTTAGTAGTTTTGTAATAAAAGACAGATAACTTTATCGCACATGAAAATAATGTTTTATTTAAAGTAAAAGATTACCTTATCAATAAATGAAGCAAACGATTGAGCAGTTTGTCCTTCTTGTTTTTTTGCCTCTACTGCAGACTCCTTGATGGTTTTTTGCAAAAACTTTGCCATTTCTATCTTGGCTTTTAGTGTTTTCTTGGTCTTTTCATTTTCTACTTTCTGTAATAAAAAAAAAATAGTTGCCCATTATTTCACCAACTGAACAAAAACTCACTACACCATTGTTAAACACATAATAAGAACAATTTATATTAATACAAGTTAGATTATGAGGAATCCAGGGGAAGTTATTCAAGCAAAATGTAATTTTGTTGAGTTTTTAAAAATATAGCTTTAACTGTGTACAAAATAAAAACTCATATCTATAGCTTTAATCTGATCTTCATTATAAACTATGTTGTCTACTTATCTACCATAATAAATAAATTAAAAAGGCTACCTCATCTGTTTCTTTAAATGTACTTGGCAACATATTGGGGAAAAAGTGAAGGACAAATGGCAGAAGGAATTCTGCAAATGGAACAATGATGAAAACCAACATTGGCAGTAGACGAAACATATCTGCTGTTGTGCGAACCAACTGAAAAAGTATAAGAAATACTTAAAATAATTATATAAATTAACAAAAAAAGGATATTTCTGTATTTTGTAGACAAGTAAACAATACACGCTAATTTTACAAATCTAAATGTCTATAAATAATAATGTGGGAGCACATCTCCCCTAACATTTCTCATATATTGTTATATAATTATAAGGGAAATATTACTTTCAGTGCAATCTGGCTTTAGAAATGCTTTATATTTTTTTTATACTTAAAATTTTTAATAGAATAGAATCTAGTAGTACTAATAGAAAAAAGAATTGCACAGCAAAATAAATGTGTGCTTTATAGAGTGTAAAATTGTTACTTTATAAATGATAACATGAATTAATTTTTAAAAAGTTATTGACATATCTAATTAAGTCACATTTTATGTCACAGTGCATTGTCATAGAGTCTTGATCTACATGAAAAGTTTGCAGTGAATTGATAGTTTGAGAAATTGGAAATAGTGTCAAAATTAGACTGAATAAAAAGAATAAATCCATACGGAGAGACAGACGACAAAATTGCAATAACTAAGTTTTGACGGATCCAGAAGAATGTAATACATAAAAATTTATCAAAATCTCAATTAAAATTTCTTGCGCAATTACAATATATTCTTCATATTCTGTATACTATACACGATTAAGTAGAGAGGTGTAAAACAGTGGCAACTATCAAAATATCTATTAATTATTCAGCATGATTACAATACTTCCTCTATACTCTGTATATGAGAAAGTAAAAACATGGTAAAAATTACTAAAAAGTATCTTGTACATTGGTTGAGTTAGTTTCTTGAAAATTGTATAAAATAAAATGCAAAGTTTCTTAAGTTTTTTTTTTTTTTTTAAAGTATTTTTAAACCATAAATAAATAATGTTTCTTTAATGTTTCTCCTAATATTATAAAGAGTAAAATGTAGTTTTCACAAAAATGGTAGATCAACGGTCAGTGAGTAGCTATGAGAAGTAACAAAAAAAAATATGTAAAAGGAGAATACCTGTAATGTTTACATATTATTGATTTTTTTTTACCTGGTTGTACTCTCTCCTTGTCAAGCTTTTCCCATTCATCAACTGCCACAACAGTTTGGTACAAATTTTAACATCAATAGCTAGAAGACGGAAACCATGATAGTAATGTTTACACACTCCAACAATTTTTTGCCATATGCTCTTTTTGGCCACAACGGCAGTTTTTTCTGGCTCCACTGCAGGCACAGTGGGAGAGTTTGCACTGTCTTTAAGAGCTTTGACGGTTTTTTCAACTTTTGATTCCTCCTTGCACCATGATGCAGAGGTTTGGATATGTCGAATGGGCTGGTATTGGTAATGATTGGTGACATGATTTTTTACAGAGAATGCAGCTAGACTGGGCAGTAAATTAACGGCATTATGAGATGAGCTAATTTTCCAAGTGTGCTGGGCCTTAGTTACTAGTTGTGAGTTAAGATCGATTCCTGTTGGGTATATAAGATATTTAGATGTAAACAACCAGTTCTGGGATGAGGGTTTTACTGTTGACCTATTAACAGAAGATGCTTGAAACCCACTGTGTTTTCTGGAATAAGATTAAACAGTACAGTTAAAACAGACATTTACAAAGAAGAAAGTATGTTTCAAATGAAGAAGCTATTCTTTTAAATTTACAAATTATAGCATAAAATTGTATCAATTGTTTTCTCTTTTTATCTAATGACATATAGCAGTTTGGCTAAATTTACACCAACTAATTTCATTTCCCTAAACGTAGTGGGCTTTTGTAGATAATTTGAAGTAGTCCTGATCTGCCTAAACAAAGTGTGGCCTAGTCCCCTTTATATTCCCTATTGAGTTACAATTTAAGGGCATGGGCGGGTGATGAGTACCAACTTTCTTATTTCCGAGTCTAAAGATGTAATACTTGGCTAATAGTTATAACTCAAAGAGTTAAGCATAAAAATATTTTTTTTAATTTTTTAAATCTTGCGTTGCCATGGTGACGGCGGCCATATTGGATTTTATTGACGATTTTTAAATGGAAATAACTCAAAAATGGTTTGTACAAATTTCATGAAAACTTAATATAGTCTGCAGACACATGTGTTTAAGACTACTGATAGATTACATTTTCAAAAAAGAAAATAGTTTTTTTTTTACTTTTTTTTTTCAAACATCACTGTAAAAATTTCATTATTTCGTCCAATTTTTTCACTATTTCAACAACAAAAAATTTTTTTTTACAAAAATTTCAAAAGTGTTCTATCAGTTTTATTTGAACATATATAAAGAGTAACTGGAGCAAATTTAGTTCAGTTCTGATAATTATTAACAAAGTTATTTCAACAATTGTACAAAAAAACATCAAACTGAGAAAAACGCAAAAAACTAACAAAAAGTTGCAAAAAATGAAAATTTATCGCTGTATGTCACTAAAATCGACCACATTTATAGCCTGAAGTTTGGTGCTGCTGAATATATTCCTTCTGAGCTTGTTCGGCTGTTAGTTTTATTTTTTTCTGGCGCTCTTTGTTTTACCTAGAGTTGTAGTAAAGCTGTTGTCATGGCGTCTTTTTTCGCGTCCTTCACTGAGTCTTCGACTATGGTTTCCTTGTTTTGACAGCAATGCCATAGCATGCCTGGGCCCAAAATTGAATTATGCTATCGCAGAAACAGAAACATATTTTGCATGGTCTCATGTCTAAAGCCAATTATGATAAGACGATGTCTTTGTTTATTGTGAAAGGCCTTGTTCTGGATTCTTTCGCAGTTGTATACTTACGGTTTACAACATTTTTATTACTGCCACACCATGCTTGAAGCAAACCCTTTACACTTTTTTCATCAATAGTAGGCCACTACATCACATGTATTGATAACATCAAGAAGCAAATCACAGTCGACAATAATTCTGCATGGCTGTGGTTTACAATTAGTACTACCAGTACGAGATGTAACAGTGCTTTCTTCTGTCTGTAAAAACTGTGTCTTACATTGCCGCAGTTTCTTAGTAAATGTGCATATTACATCTGCACCAGTGCTTGTCTGAATAGTGCTAGATTGAGTGGAGGTAGCTGCAATCAGTTGCATTCGGACGTGCCCTAGCTTTAGTAAATTAGTTAGATGTGTGTAGTGTATCTATTTTTAGCGAGTGTTTTGTTCTACGCATTATCGAAAGAGAAACAAATTAAATCGCCTCACTGCTTATGATAATTCACACAAACTAATCTAAACTGTTAATAGTATATTTAATTGAAATAATTATATGTTAAAATAATGTAAGTATTTTACAGAAGCTTAGAGAAACAAAACTAGATCAAACTTAGCAACGCGCTGAAACTAAGGGAATGTTTACTTACGAAGCGAAACGACCAATCGCTAACTAGCTTCCGCCGCCGTATGCCAATGAAAAAATTGAGGTCAAAAATTTGCATACCGGAAAAACCCGACTGAGTAAAATAAACAACTTTATGACGTAGAAAAACAATCACATTAAAATAGGTATTTTGATTGGTCATTTAATTTTAGAACAAATAAAGAAAGGAGGTCACGGCCTTTCCATTGATATGAAACACATTAGGTTTCCGCGAAGCCTAATAGTACTTTTCTAGGTCGAAAAATTGCTATTTTTACTAAAAAATTAAACAAAAGACCCTGTACACACTACATTGAACCCGGTTTTTCATAATTAAATACTAATTTTAGGGTCATAACAATGTCATTTTTAGATTCAACGATGGTTATTCTGTATAGATCAAGTAAAAGTGGGAAATCGATGATTTAGTGGATTTATGACGAAAAGTACACCCGCCCATGCCCTTAAGCTGGATGGATTTCAGCCAATCAGTGTGTTAGAATCCAGGCATAGATTCTATTACATACACAGTAAATAACAGTTACAAACTGCTTTAACATACAGTAGTTGATAACAGCAGTGATAAGAAATTTAAAAATTTACCTTCCAAAATCTTTTTTTTTACACGAAACTGAACATGCTTGGCAGTAAACTAAACTCCACCTTTTTCCTAGAAATTGAAACATTTTTATAACTTTAAAATTTGTGAACAACACATTGTTTTCTTGTAAAAGTTAATAAAAATGAAAAATTATAGTTATTAAGATAGTTAGCATTAAATTAACTTAAAATTAATTACTATAAATGGTGAATTTTTTTATACCAGGGTCCGACAAAAGAATCTTCTTAAAAAAGAGGTGTTAGAAAACTGGTAATTGACAAAATACACACATGGCTAAAATAATTGGCTTGCTAATGTCAATGCTAACCCTAACCCCAACAATAGTCCTACCATACACCTAACCCTAATTTCTAACCATACAACTAGTCGAGATTATAATACTCTTACAACCTGAGACTCCTATTTTCTGAAGTCTAATAATTATAATTATCCTAAATCAGTATCCTCAACCATCAAAATATTAATGTACTATAAATAAGCTATACATCTATATAAGCCTATAATTTATACATTTTTATCTTATTTTTAATGAAGTTCCTAATTTATAATTTAGATCTAGATTCTTAAATAAATCTAATTAGCCTAACTAAATATTATAATAATCTAATAATAAATTAAACCACCTCCTAACTAGTAAAAACAGAAGTTTAGGCCTATTTATTTTTACGAAGTGACTACTCTGAAGAAGCTCCTTCCCTCCAGCGCTGGTCTGGCTGGCAGAAGATGAAAAACACAGTGACCTTAATAGATGCACAATTGGCTCAAATTAAATACTATTAATAGCTGCGCAATGGGCTCAAAGTATCCATTTATTGCTGTGCAATGTGATAAATTTTCCTTTTTAGCCTTATCTTCTGACAAAACTATCTGTAACCTGTGTTCCAGCAGTTGCACTTCGGACGGGTCGTCAGGGGTTGAGGATTCACAGTATTAAGTTATAGTGGATAACTTACTAGTTAAGAGATCTAGACTATAAGTGAAGTATAAAATATTTTATCTATTTTAATAGATTTTAATTTAAATGTACTATTTAAGTATTAATTAAGTTAATCCATGTCTCATCAAGACAACATATATGCCTAAACAATGAACATTTTTTTTACATGACAAGAAAAACCAGGTAGATCTAATTTGAAGCGCAGCTATGCGCATATTCTTCCGGCTAAAATTGGCCTTATTTATTTACTTATTTTTATTAAAAAGTGTGTCTTGCTGACATAAATTATTAAATTTACTTAAAAGTAAAGAAGTATTTCTAGAATAAAGATATGGGTATACCAAGATCTAGATCTAGAATCAAGATCCAAATCTAGAATTCTAGATCTCCACTTTTTAATTTAGATCTATTTTTAGACAAAAGAAAAGACTAAGAGGAAAATGTGGAAAATCATCTGATCATCCAACCGCAGTTTGAGGTCATCGAACAGGTGATTTATAAAACTTCGAACGATTGTTATACGTTGGTAATGATTACGTATGACATGCTTTTTAGAATGGTAATGAAGTTGTTCACCTGAAAAAGACACTCTCCCAAAATTTCCTATTTGTTTAACAATAAGTGAAGACATTTTCTTTTAGTGTATTTTTCAGTGCAACCATTGCAAATTGGGGTCAGGGGGTCAGGGTAGAATAAAAAAGCTACCACAGAACAAATACTGTTTAAAATAAAATTTCCGAATTGAGATTTAAAAAGAAAATTCAAGTGTAATGCATCAGAATTGTAAAATAAAATTCTTATTTATATCATTAAAAGTTTTGAATTTTATCTGTAATATTTTTATTTTTTATTCTGTTAAGAATTTTACACGTGTATCTTTTATAAAAAGCGTAGCAACATCAGCGCGTCAATAGTTACACAGCCACAGCTGAGCCACAGGTAAGGCTCTTTCAGGAAGGAAAAATGAAATAGGGGCCTCCATTACCTTAGACTAATAAAGCTAAAAGAGCCATGCTTTAATGGTTTAATTAAGAAAAATAAATAATTTTCCTTAGGCCTAGAGAATATCCATAATTAATAATAATTATAACTTACTGTAGATTCGAATTTAATTTCAATTTTCAATTTTTATTTACTTTACTGGTTTACCTAGATCTTATTAAAAAATTTAGTACCTACTTCTTTAACTTAAAAACTTTTACAATTATTATTTTATAATTTATAGGCTGTAGTAATAGTTACTAGATCTAGATGTAGATCTATCTATAGTCTATAGTAGCAAAGTTTAACTAACAATTTTTTAGTTTGAAAATAGTTAGTAAGACTATAATATATAATTATATATTATATAATTTTAAATTATATATTATATAATTATACTGCCTACTGAACTATAGTATGTATAGTATTTATTTATAGTTAAGTAAATTACTTAGTTAGTATAAGTATACTACTCCTACTCAACTTCCTACTCAAGTATACACTGTCTACATAGAGTCAACTAATTTTTAGTTTTAACTACAAGTATTTAGTATTACAGTAATACTATTACTATCAATTTGATAGACTTTCCTCCTACACTAAGTCTAAGAATATACTACTGTAGCCTAATTGTAATCCCCCTTCTGCTTCCCCACTAATAGTGATCACCAATCACCTTTACTACTATATGTACACACTAAACAACTTGCTCATACATATATAAACACAATTCACACTATAAATAACAATAACATTCACAATTATCAAAATGTAATACAGAAGAACATAGCTTAGCACAACCATTAGCACTTATATTTATAAGCATTGCCCAAAGTTGGTAACACATATATTTTAACCCACCCCCTTCCCTACTCATTACTCCTGACATCACACTTCATCCTACCCTCCCCCAAATAGTTTTTATTCTTTTTAAAACACCTTTTTAAAAAAGAAATTAATTCAGCTCTGTCAAGATAAAGTGCATTGATAAGTTTACCAAAATGCAAAATAACAGCAAAAATTCAGTTTAAAAGAATAGCATTTTAAAATGTTAAAGTATGACATAACATTTTCTTAACCCCTTTACAGCATCACATATGATCATAAAAGTCTGACCTCCAACTCAAAATAGTAAAGCTAGATTCATCTCCTTTTCCCTGTTTATGCCCAAGACACATGGGGCAGATAAAGTAGAGTTAATCTGTTTCAGAGACCTTGGCTTACAAGGGGATAATGTGGTCAATACTATGCCCAGCCGCATTTGTTTCCCTAAAGTCAGTTATTCATCAAGGCTGGGTGGACTCAGGGATGTTCTACTGATTTGAACCCAGATACTAACTCGAGACTTTTGTGTTAGCAGTCTAGCTCGCTACCACTAGGCCATGCCATCCCATCTAAAGCTAGATTAGAACAGGAAAAAGATATTTTAAAACAGAAACAGAGAAATGTTGATTGAAAAAATCATTTTATGTAGCATCTATTAAATTTTTAAAATTCCTAAACAGGTTATACTTCATATAACTTCTATAAAAAACAGACTGATGTTTGGCTAATTTTATAAACCCATAATTGAAATCTCATTTCTATGTCATTTGTTCCAGCAAAAATGCCACAAAATATGCAAGACTATTGGTTGTCTGAAAGTATTAAGGATAAAAGATTTGAAGATCAGTATGACCTTGGGAAAGAACTGGGCAGGTAGGTTGCCATATCTTATTTATTTTGCATGGCAAGGACAATTGTTACATTTTTACATTTTAGGGTTCTGGTACAAAGACAAGAAATTAGGTTACACATTTTTGTTAATTTATATCTATATTTTGCAGCCATTTAACATTTTTGATTAATTTTATTTACAGTAGTAGATATTTGCAAAACAGCTTCAGTTTTTTTATAATGTATCAAAGACATGATTTTTAAAATAACTTTTTAAAATCATATTTATGAATACATAGCTGCAATTAAAAAATATGATAAATTGCTATGAGTATTTTAATTTTGTGATTCTTAATATAAAGATTTCCTTATTTAAAAAAGAAAGAATTTGTTTAAAAGGGGATAATGTTGTGTCTCACTTTTTGTAGAGGCTCAACAGCTGTTGTATACAAATGCACTGTTAAAGGAACAGACCAAGCATGGGCAGTAAAGATTATTGATAAACGCGTATGTATTAAAAATTTATATATTCATAATTTTTTTTTTAAATAGGGAACTTAGGGGAGGGTGAGGGACTATATATTATAAAAATGTATCAGATTATTTACATTGCCTGTTAAAAAAAGCTTACTAGAACTTCATCTCATATGATAAAGACAATAAGTGGTTTATAATATTTTAATTGTGTCTATTTGACCATGATGTTGGAAAAAAAGGTTAAAAATAGTTTATGCAGAAATTGTGTAGATTTCATTAGTCTACCAAGATTTAAACAACTAGAAGCATTGTCAATAGTGCTAATTGTCAGTGTTTCTTGCAGACATCTTTTCTTGGGGTTGGGAGGGGGAGTGGGACGACACTGCTTAAAGTATACCTTAAAGTATATATTATCTATATATATATATTACATATTTTGTCTTTACCTCCACCACCCCAATGAGATGCCTGAATAAAAAATTCAGTTCATTATTCAAATTGCATACAAGAAGAAAAAAATACCAACATAAAAAGTTTATCCTGTTATTATTGCAGAAAAATAAAGTGTGTTACAAGATGTTAACTAAGATTTATATTACTACAGGTTGAGCACAAAACAGTTTTGACAGAAGTTGGCATCCTGCTCAGGCTTGATCACCCAAACATTGTGAGTTAACAAAACTAAACATTTTAAACTTCCCTAATTGGTAGACAATATATTTTATTTGAACAAAATGAAACTTCAAAATATCTGTAGATATATGTATATCTATTCTAATGCTTTGTAGTGTTGGACAATAATGTAATTTATTTCTTTTTACAATGTTCACAAAATAAGGTACGAATGAAGGAAGTTTATGAATCTCTTGAATATGTTTATATTATTCTTGAGTTAGTCATTGGATCTGAACTTTTTGAGAGGTAAATTTATATAATAAACGTACATACCTGTACAGTTTTTTTTAAATTCAGTGGTTCCTTATAATTAAAATATAGTATTCTACTTTATCTAAATGAACTCACAGCATTTTTTTTTAACCTCAGAATTGTATCCCAGCAGTTTTATTCAGAAGAACAGGCAGCTATTGCTGTAAGAGACATTATAACAGCTGTGGATGTGAGTGGATATTTTGTTTTGATAGTTTTGATCTATTTAAATGTTTTGTTATTCTTTTTAGATCTAGTTGCAGTACAAAGGAAGGTGATAAACATGAAAAGAAAGCTTTTGTTATTTTTGTTTTCATTATTGAATCATAATCATTTCCAGTATTCCATTTAATATTGTATATCTATTTATTTTCATATTTTAAAGTTTGTATACATCTTTAATTAAATTAGTGAAATTTGAAAATTGTAGTATTTTCAAATTTTTAATAAATATGCCAAATTCTTATAAAATACAGACCTATCTGTAGCAATATCTATTAATTAAACAGAACTTGAATTATTACTATTTCAGTATCTACATAAACATAATGTTGTTCACAGAGACCTTAAAGTAAGTTGTCATTTATTTTTCAAACAAAACCCAGAGAAATTCTTTATGTTGAATTACGTTTGATTCTGTTATTGATAATTTAGTAAAAAATGCACTTTAGAGTGGAAAGAACACAATTTTGTTGTTGGTGGTGTAATTAGATAGGGGCAATGTTAATTACTTATCAATGTTTGACACTATATGAGGACAAATATAAAGCACTTCTAAAATTACCCTCATTAAATTAATAACTTGGCTACTTGTATTTTATTGCTTTTTGTTTTAGCCTGAAAACATACTGTATGAAAATCTGTCACCAGATTCTAAATTAAAAATAGGTAAGAATTATATATCTATAGAAGAATCTTTTTCTGCTCACAACATAATGAATGCTTAAATTGCTATTTTCAGTTTTAATTTTATAATTTTTAGCTGACTTCGGACTATCAACCATTGTCAGCAATAAAGTGTCTCTTGTAACTGTTTGTGGCACACCAGGATATTGTGGTGAGCATTATTCTAAAACAATATTTTTATTCAAATATTTCAACCCATAAATTTAGTCACATGTTCATCACAAGTTTATCGATTATATTTTATTTAAAAACCCTGTTGATAACATCATTTTTAAGAATACGGTTTTATTTTTAAATTAATGAAGATAAGAATTTTATATATAACAATTTTAAAAATAAATTTAAAAATTAATAAATATATAAAATGTTCACTAATTAAAAAATTTACGATAATTTAAAAAAAAAAGTGTTTTCTTAAATTTTCTTTTAGCCCCTGAGGTGTTAAAGGGCGAAAAATATGACAAGAGCTGTGATATGTGGAGTGTGGGAGTCATTGCTTACATTATGTATGTTTGTAGAAACTGTTTTAAAATATCAACTGAATAATTATTACACTAAAATATTATTTATTCTTTAAAATGATTTATTTTTATATTACTACACATCATTATGCAGGTTAAGTGGCTATGAACCATTTTATGCAGAGAATGAAGCATTAATGTTTAAAAATATATTGAAAGGTCAATACACATTTGATTCTCCTTGGTGGGATGAAGTCAGTGAAAATGCTAAGGTAAACAATTGATTGTTTTTTTATTTTCTTAATCAATCGCAATATATTTTAACAGTTTTACCTTTACAAAAAAATGATTACTTTAAAAATTCTTTTAGGACTTAATAAGGAAGTTGCTGGTTGTAGATCCTAAGAAAAGACTAACCTCAGCAGCAGCTCTAAAGAATGTTTGGGTAGCTGGAGTGGCCAATAAGAAGGATCACAAGGAGGCTACTGTTGAAAAACTAAAAGAATTCAATGCTAGAAGAAAACTTAAGGTTTGTATACTGAATTTGATGTTGAATATACTATATCATCATCTTTTCCCTATTGTGCCCAAGACACATAAGGCAGATGAAGTAGAGTTCATCTGTTTCAGAATCCTCGGCATATAAAGGGGCATTATTGTCAGATCTATGCCCAAACACCTTTGTTTTCCTTTGTGTAAGATATCCATCAGAGCTAGGTGGACATTCTACTGACTTGAACCTGGATTTGAACTTGTAAATTTTGGGTTAGCAGTCTATCTCTCTACCGCTAGGCCACACCATTACATAAGGTACTATATAATAAGTATAAAATGGTTTTATTGAGAGAATTTTTTACATTGACAGTTTGCAACTGACACATTAATGGCAGTGGCAGGGGCAACCAAAAAAATGCCTCTGTTCAGTCTGTTTGCACAGGACACTGAGGATAGTGTACAAGAAGAAATGGAGGTGAACTAATTTTTTAAAACTCATGCTGTTAATACATTGGCAATGTTTTTTTTTACTATGACTGAGATGTGGAAAATATAACTTTGAAAATTCTTATATTAATTAAAAGTTCTTGTGCATATTGTGATTGCTATTTTAGTTATAAATATCTATCAAAAATAAAAATATATGTAATATATAAATATAAATAATATGTAAAATTACTGTATGAAAAAGAGCCCCGTATTAAATCTAAAGCATTTTTAGCAGAGCATCAAAAATTTCCTAATTTAATTCTACACCAGCTGTTAGTTGTGAAAAACATCTAATTTTATTGGTTTTTTTTAAATGTTGTTATAAACTTTTCAATTGTGTAAGTTTAGACATTTTAGATAATGATAACAAATATTCTATTTTTTTCAAATGCACAGTGGTAACAGTTGAAGCTTTAAAATGCCATTAAGAAATTATTGTAAAAAAAGCCTTGATTTACAAAGTATTTTTATAATTACTGTATTTTTCTTGCTGAACTATTTTCAATCTTCCAAATAAATCACAATTTACTATGTAAGCAAAATGTGTTTGTCATCTGTTTAAATGACTGTTGTCATTATGATTGATGTTTCTCTGATTTTAACAACATTTATCACTATTTTACTGTTTTTGCCATACTGGAATACACTTGAATTTATTGTGTTAAAAAACAGTCATAGAATTCTTTTTAAAAACTACCACGGATGCATTCATTGAAAACCACTCAGTGGCTAAAATATGAATATGGTTAAAACATAAACTATACAACTTACAGATTACAAAAATAATTTTCAAGAAGTCAAATCTTAGATTGTGCAAACACTTTATTAATAGCTTTACTTCTTAAAATTGTGTACATTAATTGCCTAATAAAACAAAACAAAGCAATGCAGAAATGTCATAGCTGTTGCTACATTTTCATAATTTTACAATGTGTTATGATGTTAAACAAGCTACTAGGTTATGTTTGCTTAATCTTATGCTACAAAACTGGTCCTACTTTAAAAAATAAAATTGTGCCCTAAGCCATTAAAACCGTAACCAAAAACAAATTGCATAACCACTACCTTCCATTTAAAGGGGGAAAAACAAAACTGAAAATACAAAACACTATAACACCAGACGATATATTGTTTCTTTTATAACTGATACATCAAAGTTAAGTAGATGAACCTGTTTCAAGACGCGTAAAAAAAACACGATGTTTAAGATCAGAGTTTTCATTGAAAAGAAACAGCTGTTTTTCTTGAGCATGTATGACAGTGAGCAGTGACTGTACATTAATGTAAAAAAAAAGCTTTGTTTATCATGAGCTGTTTCCTGCAGTATAAAAGTGTCTGGTGAAAATGCAACAAAACATATTTGTGTTGCTAACAAAACAAAATACTAAACCTTTTCTATTTTTAAAAGTTACCTAAATTTGTTTTAAATGTACAAAATAGATATATATTTCACCACAAGGGGTTTGAATTTCTAACATTTCAGCAGTCTGACAACTATGAAAGAAACATTAAATAGAAGTGTTGTACGAAATATTAATCATTTCTCCAATTATAAAAAGCAATACTCAAGGAACATTTTTTTTTCTCGATGTTATGATGAGTGGGTAAACATTACTGAATGTTATCATTAGTTGATGCATGAGGCAAAAGAATAATTTTTTTTAGCAGTAATTAGTAAATCAATTTTTCAAAGTCGCTTACTTTAAAATACATTAGAACAATTTAGTATAAAACAAATACAAAAATATATTCGACTCAGGGGTTAGAAACAAGACAATATCCAAGTTTAGTAAGCACACTATACATATTGCTTATATGTGGAGAACACAACAAACTCTGACAGTGTGCAAACAAATAAGACCCACTAAAACATTCTGTTTAAATATCATACAATAATCAAATGAGGTGCAGGAATTTGAATGTTCACAGCTAAGGCTCAAAAGATGCCTACAATTATTAGCATTTATTTTTCAGATTTTGTTTCTTCTTGTAACAGAATTCATTTTTAAAATCTTAATTTCACAATGTAAAAGTGAATCCATTTTAGTAGTGACAGTCCATCATATATGTTTTACTCTCAGTGGGCTTTTAATTTCTTGCTTATAAAATAATATATTTTTTTTCCACTTTTTTCTTTATGTTGGTTGAAGGTGGTTGCTGATAATGTGGAATGCTGTTAAAGGCCACAATAGATGTTTAAAAGGTTTTGTGGTGTTTCCTTCGTTCAGCTGCTCGTTCAAAGTACCAATCAGACAACTTTTCCTCTTCCCTCACCTTCTGCCTTTCATAGGCCTGTCTGGTGTACCAGTTCTCTGATGGACCGTGCTCTTCTTCTAAGATGTAGCTTTTATCACAATGCTTGTCAGCCTTATCACAAGCAAATGTTTTCGCTCTTCTGTTGAAGTACCATTGAGATTTCTCATACTGACGAGAGTCAAGTCTTCGCTGCAGTTCTCTATCGGATGCTTTGTTAAAAATCCATTCCGCTCGTTCTCTCTCTTTTCTTGCATTTAATCTATATCTTGCTCTTTCCAGTAGCCAGTTTTCTTCTTCAGCATTGGTATTATTGTTTTCTAATGAATCTCCGCTATCCATATTAATTTCCTTAAAAGATGTTTCAAAATCTGAAAGATAGCGCAGGGTAATATGTGTATTAGCTCGGGTAGCATCCCCTTGTATATCAGGGTTATCTCCTCCATCTTTACCATTAGCAAAAGAAGTTTGTCCCATAAAACTAGAGCCATCTTTTTTATTGACAAAATGCTGTTGTGCACTATTCCCCTCTCTCTTGTCCTCCTGCTCAGCTTGAGTGTGGCAATGTGCCTCAAAGGCAACTTCAGGTTTGATTGAGTCACACTTGTTTTCTTCCACATGGTATTTTGGATTCATCTTGTGCTGAAATGCTGTTGAAAGCCACTGATTCTGACACTTAACCCACTCTAGGTCTGATTTCAGAAGTAACTTAGAGTTGGCATTCACATTATAAAAATCTTTGAAATTTCTTTGAAGTATTTCTAATTTACGTTGTTTCATTTTTCTAACATTTTCTAGATATATGGGCGTAACTTTTAAAAGGCGAGAAAACTCACTGTTGATGGTTTTTATCATCTTTTTAACCTGTTTCTTATCAGCATTGCATTCAGCACTAAATTTGCCTAGAGTTCTGCAAGGATTTTGTAGAAGCTGTTGCTGATACATTTTTCTAACCTTAGATACACACTTACTGTGGATATCCAGCTCTATCTTTCCTTTACTCAACAAAGACTTTGGCAGATCGGTGCATAGTTTTGTAAGCTTTGATGATACCTGGATGACATTGTGACCCAAACTTTCAACCATTCTCACCAAAGAAGGTTTCTTCTCATGCCAGATGTTCTTGATTTTATGCCAAGTGTTAGCCACCTTTCTACCAACAGAAGCCCCTGTTTTCTTTAAAAGCTTCCCAAGCCGACGTGGCCAATAACCATCTTTCTTATCCCTGCTGTATGGGGGTGTTGGTTCATGTGGCATAGATGCTTTATGACTAAAATGGTAGGATCGGTCAATGTTGTCGAAAGGGTAATGTTCATCTTCGTTAACAATGCTTTCTAGTACATCTTCACCATTCAGATTAAAATCTGCAGCCAACAACTGCTTAAAATCTTCCATAATATCTGTTACGTACATGACCAGAGTATCCTTATCCAGTGCAACATCACCCCACTTCTGGGTGTCAAAAGTGACCTTAGCAAATTGAAGTAAAATCTCTTCAACCCTCTTCCAAGCGGTGTGTATAGGGTCTGAATGTGACATCCTATCAATGCTGCGTTTCAGGATGATGAGCTTCTCCTGGAGGTAGTCTACAAGTGTGTCTTTATCACTCCCCCTTCTGATGTCGTTTAAAATTACGTTGATGTAATCCATAATCATTGTTTTATTCGGTACTGTTTCTTGCAAAGATTTTAGAGGGGACTTTTCTAAAGTATTTTTTTGTAAATTATTGATCAAATCTTCAGCACCTTCCCAAACTTTGTGTACAGAATCAAAAACAGACTGTTTCAATTCAGCAACTCCAGATAAAAGCAAGGAAAGATTAGCAAAATCATCAAAAACTGAAACATTCCATTTAGCAATGTGTTGAGTTAATGTAGTGATATTGGTGGATAAAAGCCTCTTAATGCATTCCACGTGCTCTGCATGTTCCTTCTCACTCTCCCACTGTTCCCTGTCTCTTTCATCTTCCAGCTCCTCATTGTCCCTCTCCCTCTCCTTCTGCCGGCGCTCCAACAAGTACAGCTGCTGCCAGCGCAGGGCTCGCTCCTGTTCTCTTGTTAAAGACTGTTGGAGTTGTTTGATATCTAAAGGAATGGGAAGAGCTGCTCTACCTGGAGAAATGGAAGAAACTTTGTATAGCAATAACATAAGTAACATCACAAATAGAAATGGTGGAAACTTTGTAGAACAATAACATAAGTAACATCACAAATAGAAATGGAAGAAACTTTGTATAACAATAACATAAGTAACATCACAAACAGAAATAATCTTAATTAGTCAACTGTGTGGGACAGAGTGGACAAGCTGACTGTCAAGTCTTGAGTTTGAGGCTCAAGTTTGTCCTGAGTCGTCGTGTCCCCCCCCCCCCCCCCCCCGGCTTTAATGGATACTTAACCCTAGTGTAGTAAAGTAAAGGCGCCAGAACAAATGAGTGATGACACAATCCCTTCATGTGCAAAGATTTTAAAAAAAATGTAAACTATATGAACTAGCAAACCTAAATTAGTACATTGTTTTTTGTCCAGTAAGTTTTTCAACCTTGTTACAGCATCTTTTAAAGAAAAGAAGGAAAGAAAAGGAAGGTTAGAAAAGAAAGGAATTCCCAAGCAAGGGATATCTGTCAAAGAGCAAAAGCTAATGTCCTATTCATAAACTAAAATAAAACAGTACACAATTGTTTGTTACTTTTTTGTAAGAAGTCAGCAGCACTGTGACCTTCTGAGACTGGTTTTTCAATGTCTTGGCTGTCCTGCACAAGTCTATCATCCTGTGTCACCTTGTCCAGGTCTACAAGAGTATCATATGTGGTGCTTGCATATGTGGGCTTATGTTGTTGCTGCTCTTCAATTTTCATTATGCTGTAGCTTTCAATGAATGGCCGTAGCTTTAAGTAGCAATGATACCTCATGACCTGACTCAGTTCTTCACAAACAACGAAATCTGTGATGACTTTTCTAATCATTGAAAATCCATCTCCAGAACTTTTACCATCTTCTTCACCCTGAAAAGTTGATGATCTGAATTCAATTATTTTTTAGAATCATGAACCATCATAAAAGTGCATTTAGTAAAAAAAAAAAAAAGATAAAGGTATTTGATACAAGCTTGAAGAGTAAAATAATATTTAAAGATTGTGAAGAACTATACTAATGAAGCTGTTGTTTGAAATGGATGTCAAGGCTTTTATAGGAAATTCACCAAATTCAAGCCCCACCACTCAATATCAGGAATTAGCCCTAGACAGGCTTGGACCTAAGCTTAAAACCATTGTTCATTATTTGCTTAATGTGCCCCAAGTGTTGCTAGTAAAATTACGTTAATTTAAAGTAAATCACACCTACATAATAAAAAAAAAAGACCATCACAATTCTTGAATGAAATTAACATTGTTCAAATTAGAAAAGTTTATTAGCTAAAGAATTAAAAACTCAACTAGATTTAACAAATGATTTAAAAATTGTCTAACATACTCACATCTGTTGCTAAAATATGTAAAGCTGTATCATAACTTCCAACCTGCAGCTGTAACAAAAGAAACCTTCTCTCAGCATCATGTACAATGAGCAAAATAAAAACTTTAATCTATTCTTAACCTTCTGCTGAGATCTTCACAAAATGTGTTTAAAATAAGACTACCTTAACAAAACATTGCTAAAAAATTAAAAACTAAGGCTAAAATACACTCATATAAACAGTTGTGCATTGTGGATAAATTAAATGGATTAAAATATTTTTGTTTTAATAAATTATCGAGTCAAATGGGGCACCAACCTTTAACTTGTCCATAATGCTGTTGAGCTCTTGCAACTTTCTTTCACCCTTCTGGAGCTCTTTGATCTGGCTCTGAAGTTGGTAAACTTTTATTGACTGTACCTCGTAGGCTGTTTGCCACTCTTCAATCTCCAGGTCAGTAGCTTTGTATGATATAAAACATGGTAAAAAAAGTGTTACATTTGTTGCGCTTCTGTATAAATTATCAAATTTAATTTATATTATTGTATTTTAATTTTTAAAAGAATGAAATATTTTGTTTTATGATGCTAAATAGCGATATACTTTGTCATCTTTTTAAGGTGATTTCTGTTAATGTAAAATAAAATTCATTACACAACAAAATATTTGAAAATCAATATTTTCACTTGCCCATGATGATTCCTAAGCTAATACCCATAGTGAGGATAGCAGCAAGGACCACAATAATATTGAGGATGGTACTCAAATGGTTGTTTGGGCAATGAATGTAATTTCTTGGACCAGCTTCTAGTGGTAAGTCGCCAATATCAGCAAAGACTGACAGATCTCCAACATCATTATGAGCTGAGAGGGAACCAGTCTCACTCTGCTCACTCTCAATGCGATCGTCAACACCTTCTTCATTGGAGGACTCTGTATCATCATCTTGATCTTCTTCTTCTGCATTGTCAAATCTGTGCTGTTCATACACTAGACAAATCAACAAATTTAGAATTTTTAGAATTACAGCTTTTTGTTGCTCATAGGTAATATTGAACTAATTCAAGCAGGATAATTTCCAAGCAATTATAAAAGTCATACCCGAAGCCCTCATAAAACTGAAACTTGGAGCAATGGAAGAAGCAGGTGGTTGTACATTTTCACTGTCTTCCTCTGAATCCAACCGAACGAAATCTGAATCTGAAAAAAAAACAAAACTGGTTTTAAGCAGGTTAAGACACAAATTAATATAGCTCCCAAATGGCAAGATTGTAAATTTAACACACAAGATTATTTTAACAACTTTTTAAAATATATGAATGTGAGTTTAATTAAGTAGAAAATATTTTTAATATGCTTAATTAATCAAAGAACTAGCTGTAATAAGAGAATCTCAAACACATCATCCAGTGTATATAAGACTGCTGTAACTAGTAATATTTACCTGTATCGCTTCCTGTTAAGTCACTGACAGGTGACATAACAATGCCTGTGTCTTCGAAAGTTACAGAACAAGGAGAAGATGCCTTTTCCTCAGTTGAACTGCTGTCTACTAAATCACTAGGCTGTCTGAAAAACATAGCCATATAATGTATTTCTGGTAAGAGTTTTTGTGCAGGTTAAGGAGCACAAAGCTTGAAATGAAATTATTAGCTATGAATGAGGGTACCTCTGAGTTAACAGTTCAAGACAGCAGGCTCCCATACTTTCAACTACTTCACCATCATTGCCAGCAACTGCTTCAGCATCTGGTGTAGGTAAAGGTGAATGAAACTCAGAACCTCCTGGTTCCTCACTACAACCTGCTGGATCACCTTGCTGCAAGGGAAACTCTTCGTTTACCTCAGAGACACACGGTCCAGGGGTACCAAAGGACCCAGCTGATGTTGGAATGCCCACTTCCTCACTACTATTGTTAACAGCATCACACAAACTCGACTGGACTTCTAAATGTGTGTCTTCCTGTCTGGATAATTCTGCAATATATTCCTCCTCTTGTTCTTGATTTGAAGAGCAGGAGATGTTGAGAATATCATGCAGTTTTTCATCATTGGATGACGTGTAATGCAAGTCATCACTTCCATGATCTAGCAATTTCAACTCTCCTAGAAAAAGTCAATCCATTGTTAGACATAAAATCAAATGTATATGTATGTGTGTGTGTATATATATATATATATATATATATATATATTACACACACATGTCAGAACACTTATTTTGGTTAAAATCCATTAGTCACCTGACTGAAGGTCTCTGTTTTTCAAATGATATGAGACAGTCTCATCTCCTTCACAATGAACCACCTCAATAGAACTTTCAGATGATTCAGAGTCTACATCTCCTGACTGAGTTAAAAGATTTTTTTTTAAATCAATAAAGTTTATTTATTCTTTAGAAAGTTAGATAATCTCACTTAAATACCATAAACATGTCAGGTTCTTTAAAAAACTAAATAGCTCTTAGAAGTTAGTTTCAATACTGAGGCTACATTAAAATTGAAAAACAAATGATTTAACTCTGCATTGTTGTGAAGGGACAAATGTGTTTTCCACTACTCTCCAGCCATACAGAGGGTTGTGTAATGTAACCGAGAGCCTTGTTTTTGTCTACAACTGGTGATGTCCCATAGGTGTAATTAAATGAGTGCAGAATTTGGTTTAGTTCCCATGGCAATAAATAAATCAATTTACATTTTTAAAAGTTTTTTATAATTCAACGTTGACCTGTAAAGGAGAGTCTTCATTATTTTTTTATTCTGTTTATATCTTGAATATATTTAATCGGTCCTATGATATTTTTAATTACATCTCTTGCTTTATCCCATTCTTATAATTTGTTTGTGAAACATTGTGCTTGCACACCAACTGTGAGCCAGTGGGTCACAAAACCAATTACAGGGTAACAGATGGCCATTGCTCATTGTTAACCTTATCAATACTTAAGTTATCAATTCTAAAAAATGCAAGCTACTACCATCCAAGTTATTTTATGAAACAATCAACAGTCAGATATTAATACTCCTAAACTGTACAACAATTTATCTAGCTAGAATTTTTCCCATTTCAAAATTAAATTACGGAAATATTTTGTAACTTTACTGACCAGTATTTCTCCTTGATTATCAACAACAGTCCAACCTGAGAGAGCTAGTGCCTCACTGTTTTCCTGAGTATTTGACATATCCTGGCATCTGATGTTATTTCTAATCAAAATACATTATTTTGTTACACAGTTACTTAAACCAAATCAAAATGCAATCAAACAAAAATTTGTTGATAAGTTTATTAAAAATGATAAATATTAGTATCCACAATGATTATAATGAATACTATTAAGTTTATTATTACGCCTTGTGCTAAATATTGATACACATGAAGTTGATGAAGGCTTGTGTTAAAGAAAATTTTATTAATACTTTTTTATTTAGTATTTGCATGGCTCACTGAATACAGGTTTTTGTTTTTGCAAACCTTTTTCCAAGAGGGGGGGGGGTGTTAGAGAGGAGGGTATACCAAAGTATTTATTTTCTATATATAAACTAAAAAAAATTTCATTTCATTTGGCAGTGAACACACCTTGAACAACACTGTGTTGTGTTAACTATATATTCTAAAATCTGTAAAAACAAAATAAGTCTGTTTGCTATTTTTCTTAAGTTCCAACACTATTATCAATAACCAATAGCCAGTTTTAATTGGAGTATACAATAAATTTATTTAGCTCTAAAGACAGGCCAAATCAAAATTAATTATTTAGAAACAAAAAACAAAGTATAAAAATACAATAAATAATTATGTTTCTTTATTAAACTATTTTAGTCTTTAAATATTTGATATAAATCTTTGCTCTTTAGCTTCACAGATCATCTAATTGGTGATGTCAAAGAATTTATCTAGAGATACAGATTTAAACTAGACTTAAGCTATTTTTCGTCTGTCCGTAGCTGTAAATTGTAGGTCTAGCTTTAACTAGACTCTACAATCCAAGCCAATAATGAGATTCTGTACTAAACTATTTCAGGCCATAATAATTTTATATAAATCTTTGTTTAGCAATGGAATTGGCTAAATTTTAATTTAAATATTTTAAAATAATATTCACGTAATTTTTTTTACGCTGGCTTAAGTTTAATAACTCCCTATAATTTCACCATATGATATATGCGCCTTGCTGGCCAAGATGATAGTATAGTATGTAGGTGGTATGGTTTCCAAACACATCATGTTAATGTTAAATTTTTATGTTTTAATTTTCCCTCATAGAAAATGCACAGCGCAAAATCACAACACATGTGATTGGTTCTATTTCATTATTATTAGTTTGACATTAGCTTTGACAATTTATTCATTTATTATTCAAATGATGTTCGAGCTCAGAAAATCTTATACAAAAATATTGACGTTTTATAAAAGACAAAAACATCTTTTTAGATGTGAATGATAAAGTTGCCTATCGGGACATGGGGCAGGTGAAGTAAAGTTCACCTGTTTCTGTGACCTCAACATAGGAAGGGATAGTGTGGTCAGACCCATGCTCAGCCTAAATAGGTGTTTTAAAAAACAAAAACATATATGAAATGTGACGTCTTTTTAAATGTGGGGGTCTGGCTTTTTGTGATGTGTGACTGTAGGGAGGGGAGAGATAATAATTGTCAAACAAATGTGACGTCATTTGTGGATAACCCCCAAAACCCACAGTTATCCTAGGAAAACGGGGTCTTGTAAACGTAGACAAATCTCAATCAACTTTTATCTGAGCAAGAAGAAATTACACTAAATCAGGGGTCTCCAAACTTTTCAAATTTCAGTTCGGGGGCCAGTTCCTTCCAGGCATGTCTTTGATTTTTCTGGGCAAAGTTCCTCAGCCATCAGCAACAAACGTTTTTTTCCGTGGACAAAATTGATCTCCAAGGGCCGGATAAGAGGACATCGCGGGCCGCGGCCCGCGGGCCATAGTTTGGAGACCCCTGCACTAAATGGAAAGTTTGATCAAAGAGGTCAGCCATCACATAAAATTTCAACAGGCCTATGCACTGCATACTGCATAGGCCTGTTGAAATAGTCAGAAATAGTATGCAGAGAGAACTAAAAAATTAGACTTAGGTCTAAATAAATATAAAATTATTAAATAGGCCCTAATAAATTATTAAATTATATATTAAATAATAAATCAAATCTAAATAGGGTGTAGGCCTAGCCTTTTTATAAATTAAACAATAGTCTTTGACTTTAAGTTAATTTAATAGGCCTATTAAATATTAATAAATAATAGGCCTAGGCCTATATAAGTATATATATATATTAATTGATATTTAATAGGCATAGTATAGGCCTACTTAAATTAGTTAGGGCCTAAACATCTAGTAGGTCTATCTACTTAACTTATTTAACTATTCTACTAGTACTAGTTCTAGCATTAGGCCTAAAAGTGCCTAGATCTAGATCTTAATCTATTAAAACTAACTCATTACACTTTTTTTTTAACTGAAAGAAATAACTCCAACTCCTGCCTAGGACTAGAGTCACTAGATCTAGAAATCTAGAAGATTGTAAGATTTTGCATTTACCGGACGACTAACAGTTTTCTTTAACTTTACTATGTGTGGCTGAGTATCTATTAAAAGTGAATAAGCCAAACATAAAGCAACACGTCAGTCTATTACCTTCACTTTTGATGAAAACTGAAGGCAAATCCTTACTCAAATAGTATGCAACTGACCCAGAACATTTCCTGTAAAATTCCCTGTAAAAATAACAACATGACCCCATAACCTACGTTTAGCCAGGAGCAGTTTTTTCCCCGCATAAATTGTAATTTCCTTGTAATCAATTTAGAAAAATAATTATCGGTCCGAAACAATAAAAATAATAAAATAACTCAGATATCAGATCAAACGATACATTAAACAATAACCCCCTTATTAATATACAAAGTGTTATTCTTACGAAACTACGACCATTAATAAAAACCTGGACATGAGAGATGACCTACATACATAGGCCTAATCTCCTAAATCAAGTCTAGACAGCAGAGCATAAGCAATACAGTTTTTTGTTCGGCTATACAGGACTGCGCTTGACCAGGGAGCTGAGAAAAAACCAGTCGGCCAGCATGAAAGACATTATAACTCACCAACTTTAAATGAAGTCGCGATTGTCATAGCTGGCGAAGAGTTCAACTCGCGTGATATTATTCTTTATCACAGAAATGAGAAATGGTAATGTTCAGTCTGTGAAACGCATCGGTCTTATGACTTATGATGCTTTACTCATTGCTTTACAATACCGTATACCCCATAATATTTTGACAAGGGGAAGATGGGTATCATTTCAATATCAAAATGATAAATCTAGAAACAATTAGTGCTATGAAGTACTATGCTTATCGGCTGATGATTCATGAATTGAAAATCAAGAGAATAATTTTCCATCAGTACATTGTCGACATGTATGCTAAAATTGAGAGCGAACGACTTCTTTTTATTCGACTGAATCAAGCCAAACTGCGCTCAGAAGCAACTACTACCGATGCCAATCCCAATGATATTGGGAAAATGGTCATTTTGCCAGCTACATTCATAGGAAGCCCACGGCACTTACACGAGTACGCACAGGATGTGATGACCTATGTTCGCAACTACAGCCGTCCAGATCTATTCATCATGTTTATGTGCAATCGCAAGTGGGATAAAATCAAAGAACTTCTTTTACCTGGACAGTCACCTGCGGATCTTCATGACATCATCGCAGTTATATTTTCTTCTAGTAGGCTATTAACTTGAAGTTAACTGACAATGAGCAAAAGTGATTTTAAAACAAATTCATGGTATATTTTGAGCAAAGGGTGGGATTACATAACCTTAACATTTGATAGTTATGTAACAATGTTGGACCATTTTAAATCTACCATTAGCTTCAGCATATACAAATGTCATATTATAGATTAAAATAGCGTTACATTTAAAGAATGACTTCTTATCACATTGATTATTAGATGTTTTAAAAAAAATTGAAAGGGGGGTATTACATAATCTATGAGATTAGTAGGTTGAGTAATCGAAGGACACTTTTTAAAATAGCATCATTGGATTCAGCATACAAAAATCTATAAAATGTCTTAAAATTACATCAATTGATAAAGTATTTTGGCTTTTATACCACTTTTAGTGAAAAACGCTTAAAAATTTGGTCCATACCCTCCCAGTATTTTTCCTCTTTCAGGGTCTACCCCGGTTGTCTGAAAAAACTGCTGTTTTTTAATGACTAAAAAATTCAAACTGATCTGTAATCAGATTGACAGCCCCTATCCAAATATGTAACTATTTTATTGTTTTACTGAAATTAAATTTTTGCATTGGCCTAGCTTTAATTTGAGACCCCTACTAACTTCTAATATAACTAAGCTAGAACTCTCAAATTTCTTCCACACACTGCCAGTAAAACAAATAGCAAACCCAAGTTTTTTTCAAGATAGTCAGACAGATATAAATATAAATTTATTCACATAAAAATGAGCCAAAGCACAATTTTACCAAAGCACGAAAAGGGAGACAAAAAGTCAATTTACAGTCATTTATAAAAAAATCAACTAATTAAGCCACATTAATAATATAAATGTTCTAAGAAAGAAAATTCAAAGCAGGTTAATATGAAATAAGCAGGTAAAGAATTAGTAAAGAAAGTAATTAGCAAGACCCGATTCTGCAAGGTCAGTTTATAAAAATTAGAAATTTCATCCTTTTTTAAAAAATGATAAAAAAAGTAAGGTATCTTAATAAATTTTACACCATCTTAAAGCACACGATGCTCTTAATATATAATGAACACAGAAACATAAAATAATCATTCTGCAAAACAATACAAGGCATCCTTCCTTAACGCCCAAAATTAAGAATTTTCATTACCTAACATCTCGCAAAAAGTGTCCTTACTTTTAAGAAAGTAATATAAATTGTGTAGGAAACATGTTAGCATTACTTTGTTATAATAAACTAAATAACCATACTATTACTTTACTTATATACTATAATAATAAGAAATTCCATGCATTTTAAAAACTGACGAAGTAACAACTAATTTAACTGAAATTTTTTTTAAATGATCCTAATAGTTTTGTGATGTTCATCTAGTTTTGTTACTCTGGTCCCTAATCATGACATGTTTAGCATAAATTTACTGTTATCAGTATATTTATAGTTAGTTATTGATCAATGTCAACTTCTAAAAATGGCTAGGTCTGTAACTTGTACAATTATCAGAAATCTTAGAGCAGGTTAAAAAAGACAGGTCAATATCCTGATAGGGCATTGTAATACATGATTGTGAACTGGCATCAAATCAAATTATGGAATCTAATATTAGTAAGGGATCCTTCCATTGGTCCAGAGCAGGGGTCTCCAAACTACGGATTTGATAGGTAATGCGGCTCTCGGACTGAAACGTTTGGAGACCCCTGGTCCGGAGTATAGAAAATGTCTGTGAATAAAAATTATTAATTAGCATTTCAAATATACTGACTTATATAGTAGGCCTGTATATCGTTATACCTACTTAGATATCAACCATGTAACTTTACATCATTATAAATAATAAGCAAAGTGCATACAATACTAACATTTGACACGGTTTCCTTCAAAAACATTTAGGAGTCCTGTTGTTGCTTACACAAACAATATTTTTTGGCAGGACTTTCAGTTTCCCCTTATTTTATGCTAACATCTTGCTCTGTTAATAGAATAATATTAAAAGTAAGGCTGCTCAATGTTTTTTAGATATAAAATGTAAGCACTATAGATAGTTCTACTACTATTAACATGAAAGCAATAGTGAATCTAACTAATCTAAGTAGATCTAGTTCTAGAAACAATTTTGGACTAAACTATTTAAACTTTAAGTGTTAATTAAATTATAACAGTTTTATGGTAAATCGGGCGCCTGTTCTGAATATATAATTTTGCCGGCTGTAAAATCATTTTTTCATGTAAAAAAAGCATTTAAAACTTTTAAATCTATAATTTTTAGCATTAAATTACATTTTACACCGTGCAAAGTCATATCATCTTAAACTACCTAAAGGGCTTCCATTCTACTTTCTATATTAGTTTTTAGTGAATGCGTATGTATTATGGTATCGGATCTTCGAGCGTTGCCGCAACCCGCCCAAATTTTTTTGCGCGCAGCGAGTTTTTTTTTTTGGCTCATTTAGAATAGAGTCCTTGCAAACACGTGACCTAAATCACATGATACCTACGTCCGCCGCCACGGTGGTGTACACCAGACGTAAACACAATCAGCTGTTCACCAGCGCTGGACGCGTTCACTGTATGTAAAGAACCGCACCCGCGGAAAAGGAAAAATACGTTACAAAAACTTGAACTCTTAGGAATTGAAGATCCTTATACTATACTCTTATTGACAGTTTCGTGGATAATATAAATATGTGGCCGAAATTTCTAAATAAAAATACTGTTAGCAATACTGTTTGCGTTTAGAGTTTAAGTAGACGAATCTGATCAAATGCAGTAATATATTATAGGTTATCTAGATCTGGTTAATGTAGATACTAGATTCTCTGTTAAGTACAAGATTTAGTAGCAACAGAGGCGTAGCGACCCCTCCCGGCGCCCGGGGACGTAATTTCAATTTGGCGCCCCCCCCCCCCCCCCCCCCCCCCCCCATATATTTTTTATGTTTAGAATTCAAAACTGCAGCTAAAATGAGCTTTTAATTTTATTTCCAACCCATTTTGGCGCCCCTATGGTCGACGCCCGGGGACATTTGTACCCCTCCCCCTCGCTACGCCTCTGCGTGTCAAAAAGATCGACATTAGTTTTAAAGACGTAGTGCCAGGCTTGCTACAATTGTTAACTGAACATATTAATTGGTAGATCTAAATGTATCCGATATAATTTAAACAATGGTTTTAAGAAAAAAATCTTGATTTAAAAGATATAGGCTATGCAAATCTATTTTCATGATTGCCTGAGTAAAATCAGTGCTCGGAGTAAGCAGAGTATAAAGAGCGCTGTTGAAGTTCCAGCAAAACGTCACTAAGAGTACAAACAAAACATTCTACAAATGTATATCATTTAGATTTAATCTAAAATTGCAATCTTCAAATAATTTTGCACTTACAAATACAAGTTCATAAAATTAATTGAAGACTAGTAAATTCCTTTGTGTTTTTATTTTCATTCGGAAACAATTTTCTATACGTTATTAATTTTAAATTGTTTTTAGTGTGGGATGGAGTGAGTGACGGATAATACATAGATATAGATGCAATATATTCAAACTATTCATAAACTTAAAATGCATAGATAAAAGCGAAACAATATAAATCTTCTATGCCAATACTTACTTCTAGTGTAGGAAAATTGAAAGCCAGTCGGATCATGGAGGTTCAGTATGTTTATACATTGGAAGTATCTACAATTCTCCACATTATCATTTAAATTTTTGACGTAAAATTTCAAGGATCTGTTTTTAATCTGAAATGTGTAATGTGCCGCTGAGAATCGTGGCGACAGGATACAGGAGGTACTGTTTCGATCTTTCGCAATGGATGTATTGAAAATCTACAAAGGCAATAGATGGACATCAGACTTTTATATAAAAAAAAAGTAAAACTTAAAAAAAAAAAGAAAAGCACAGTCCTAGTCCTAGTCATCTCAAGTTAAAAAAACGGCTTCATATGGCTCTGCATAATACGAAATTAAAAATTTGCATGACACATAAGACAATAAATTAAAAAATCAACTAGTATCTTCCCTTTGGGTAA